GGACTGGTCCGGGCTGCTCTCTGCCTGAAGAGGTCAGGCTGGGTCTCTGTCGATGTGAATCCGCTGTGTGCCTACTTGTTCTTGTTCACAGCACCTGTCCTTTTCCAGGGTGACATCCAGCAGCTGCTCTTCGTCTCAGACCACCGAGCAGCTTACGATTACTGCGAGCACTACAGTCCTGACTGTGACACTGCAGTCCCTGACACCCCCCAGTCACAGGACCCCAACCTCGATGAATATGTGAGTCAACCCTGGTTGTAGCCATGGGCTGTGGGAAGACCCCCCAGGAAGGGGTGGTGTCTGGAAGCCAGAGTGAGAAGGGAGAGACACATAAGTCATGAGACCCCCTACTGTAATGATCCCTCTGGGAGAGAATAAGACTTTGACACGGGATGAATTGTGAGGTGCCTGACTGCTGTTACTAAACATGCTTTTATTCCCAAAGGGCTTGGTTCATAGGAGTATTGTTAAGTGACATTCTCCTCATGAAACTGTCCCAGATGCTACACTGGGGGCCCTCCTACTCTCTAGCTTAAGACCTGGAGAGGTCACCTGTGAGCGAGTGTCAACGCTGCGGCCTGTGGAATAAGTGTCTGGAGCAGGCTGGCTGAGGCTGCCGGATGGGCTGGAGTTTAGGGCTCTTTGTGGTAGAATGAGATAGTCCTTTGTGCTCCAGAGTGGCAGCTCTTAAGAGCAGCTCCCTCCTGAGCATATTCAGCGTGCATCCGGCGTCTTCATCACTCTGCTGGAACCTGCTGGGTCTCCACATCTCCTGGCACATCCACGCACCTTGCACACCAGCTGTGCCTCAGTTTACTTTGTTTGAAATCTTTCTACCACTTTCTACTACTTCCAAATAAAAGAAAATCCCTTCCCCATTCAGATGGGACTCATGTCTCAAATCGCATGAATTCTTCCTTGTTCTATCTTCTGACCTCCCCTTCCTTCCTCACTAGTCAGAGCAGAGCCAAGTACCCCTTCTTGAGCTGGAGGTTCTGGGGAGTTGGGGCTGGAGCCCAGACCACTCTTACGTACCCTGGGAGTGGGGCTCAGAAGGGGCTTCCAGCAGAATTCCACAGCCGAGGCCTCCTGGCCTGCCCTGTCCTAGGGCCTATGTGGGAAGGCTTCTGGGATGAGGCTGCCTCTTCTGTCACTGTGGTCCCTCCTGTGGCCTCCAGGATTGTGGTTTGGGGATGAGGGTCAGAGGGTGTTTTGAGTGAGAGTATCTTGTCATACAGCCCCACAGTCTGGCTGGCTGCCCTGGCCCTTTGGTTCTAGAACTTTTAGTCATCAACTCTCACTGGCTCCTGCTTGAAGGGACCTGGGGTGCCCTGTTACCTCCCTTAGGCTTCTTAAGTGGCTGACTCAGCTTCCCAAGGAACTGGGGAGGGGAGAGTTGCATTCTAGGGGCCACGGGCAGGTTGGCCACGGGCTAGGCTCTGCTCTGTGGGGTTCACATTTTTTTTTTAGCTTATGAAATGTTTTTTCTTTCTTTCTTTCTTTTTTGTGAACGTGACTATAGGCTGTGTTCTGAGAATTTTTTTTTTTATTACTGTGATTTGGGTGAAGATTTACAGAGTAAATTCACTTTCCATACAGCAGTTCACATATACTTTGTCTCATGTCATTGACCACAGTTTACCACAATGCAACAACTTCCCTCCCACTTCTTCCCCATAGTTACCTCTTCCCAGTGTCCATCCCTCCATACTCTCCTGCCCCCTGAGCCGTCTCCCTGTGCATAAGCAGCCCTTCTTTCTCCCATGATTATTCTCTCCAAGGCGTGTGTCTACTTGAGGTTAATTTTTTACTCACATGCCTCTACTTTGTTTGGCTGGAAACCACAGGTGTGGGTTCCATTCCAGACCTGAAGAGCAGCTAGGGGCCATAGTCTCAGTGGTTCCACCAGACTCTATTGGACCAGAAAACCTGGTCCCCACCTTCTTTTTTTTTTCCTCCAAATGATTTTGGGTTTTTTTCCACATTGTTCTCCCTCTCTATCCAGGATCTACTACATAGATCCCCTTCCAAGTGAATGACAGTGGTAGCCGGGCACCATGTAGTTCTTCTGGTCTCATAGTTGTATAGGTTGCAGATCGGATGGTGTACCAGTCGCTAGGACTAATTGTTTCCATTAATTTTGGTTTTCTTCTTTCTTCTTTGCTCTTGACAAGGAGAGACCCATTGTTGCATGTAGATGGCAGCTTGCTAGCTTTTAAGATCCCAGTCGCTACTTGCCAAAGTAGGAGGTGGAACAATGTTTTGTATATTATGTTATGCCAATTGAGCTTGATGTCCTCTGCGACTATGGTCCCAAGCCTGCAGGTTCAACTACTCGGTCCCTCTGGGTAGCAGGCTGTGACCAAGCAGTGACCACAACCTTGCCCCTTGTCAGCTCTACTATACACCTGGGAATTCTGATCATTCACATAAACTTATAGGACCATTGTCTGCCAACCCTATATATGATCTTGGATATACTCCCCATTTCATAGACATACCTAATCGTTTAGCCTGTCCACCTATCTATCCATCCATGTACCCAAGTTTGCCTTCACTGAGAACTCAGTACTGTATATGCAAAAGGGTTCATATTTGTTGTCTGTACCTCCCATGTACCTCTCTATGTCCTTCTCATCCTCAATGCTGCCATATTGGTCACTCACATTTGGTACATTGCCCTTCTCTTCACCCAAATCAATATTTATCTCTATCTATCTAACAGCAGTCCCTCCCCTCCCCTCCCACCCCTGGTAACCAACAAAGAAAATTTCCTTCAATAGATAAACCTTTCCTTAACTTTTACAATAATGGACTAATACAATATTTGGCCTTTTGTGATTGACTTATTTCACTCAGTATAATGTCCTCCAAGTTCATCCACGTTATGCGGTGTTTTGCAGATTCTACATTATTCTTTAGCGTTGAATGGTATTCCGTTATGTGTATGTACCATAGTTTGGTTATCCATTCCTCAGTTGATGGACATCTAGGGTGTTGTTTTTTAATTTTTTAAATAATATTTTATTGTGTTTTTGGTGAAAGCCTACACAAAAAATTAGGTTCCCATTTGACAATTTCTACACAAATTCTTCAGTGACATTAGTCACATTTTTTCACAGTGGGCCCACATTCTCTTTCATTGCATTCTGGTTGTTCCATTTCTTGTGCTCTAGTTTCCCCACTCCCTTAACTTCTCATCTTTACTTTAGAGTAAATGTTGACCTTTTGGTCTCACAGTTAGTTTTTTTTAATGAAGCAAGTACTCATGGGCAATATCCTCTGTTTTGTGTGTCATTCTGTCATTTCTCTAACAGGTGACCTTGGGATAGGTTTGATTCAAAGAGTATCTCAGGGTGATAGTCTCAGGGAATACTCTGGTCTCAACTAATCCAGGAAGTCTGGACTTCTAAGAATTTGAGCTCTTTTCTGCATTTTTGTTCCATTCAATCAGGGTCTGTCTATTGTGGCCCTGATCAGAAAAATTGGTAGCCGGGCACTATTTAGTTTTCCTGGTCCCAGGGTGGCTGAGGTCATGGCTCTTGTAGGCTGTAGCCCTGTAGATTAGCTTCTTCTCTAAGACTGTATGGTTACCACTCTTCCTGGGCTGAGACCTGAGATGAAGAAGCAGTCCATGGCCTCACTCCTTCCTCATGCTGTGTGTTGGCTTTCAGTACCCAGATGGAGAGGGTGAGGGTGACACCTACTACTATGAGTATCCATACTACGAAGACACTGACGACCTGGGCAAAGACCCCACCCCCACCAAGAAGCCTGTGGAAGCTGCTCGAGAAACCACAGAGATTCCTGAGGTGAGGGCCAAGGGGGTGGCATGGTAGGCTCCTGTCATATGATGCTGTGGGTGCAGGGATGGGATCAGGATGTGAGTTTTATGTGTGTGTGAGTTTTGTATGTGCACATGAGTGTGTATGTACATGAGTGTGTCCAAGCATGTGCATGTGTGAGGGAATGAAAGTGTGTGAGTGTGCATGTGGATGTGTATGTATATGTGAATGTGTCTGAGTATGCACATGTGTGAGGGGAGATAAATTGTGTTTATGGATTTGTATGTGTGTGTGTGAGTGTATGTGTGTCTGAGTATATATGTGTGTAGGGGAGTGTGAGCATACATATGTGTGTCTAAGTATGTATGTGTATGTGTGTGTGTGTGTGTGTGTGTGAAGGCAGATGTATTTGTGTGTGTGAATTTATGAGTGAGTGTGAGTGTGTGTGTAAGGAGCCCTGGTGGTATAGTGTATAAGGTATTTGGCTGCTAACCAGAAGGTTGGCAGTTCAAACCCACCAACTGCTCCAAGGGAGGAAGATGATGCAATCTACTTCCGTAAAGATTTACAGCCTTGGAACCCAATGTGGGGTCGCAATGAGTCGGAATCCACTTGATGTTAGTGAGTTTGGTGAGTGTTTGCATGTGGGTGGGTTTGAGTATGTATGTGTGTGAGAGAATGTGAGTGTGCATATGTGTGTCTGAGTGCTATGTAAGAATATATGTGAGGGCAAATGTATTATGTGTGTGTGAGTGTGTAAGAATGTATGTGTGTGTGAGTGTGCATATATGTCTGTGTAGTAAGTTTGTATATGAGTGTGAGTGTGTCTACTCTTCCAGGGAAAGGTGACCTGGTTCTAAGAGCTTGGAAGTTTGTTCTGTTATTGTTTTTTGTTTATTTTCTTACTCACCTGCCATAAAATTCACCCAATGCAAGTGTGACCTTGGTGGTTGTGCTATCTCCAGGCCAGTAGGTGGCAGCACGTGAGCCACTGCCTGTCTCTTACCCACTCTATCTGCCTCTCCAAGTGGACTGAAGTGGCCCTTGTTCCCAGAATCCACAGGGCTCTTGGTTTGCCGCGGGTCAAAACCCAGCCTCTTGCTTTCCAGCTACAGAGATGTTTGAATGTGTGCATGTAGGGTCCAGGCCCTGGGACCCTACTGCCCTAGTAACTCTGCCTCTCTCTGCTGTGGCTGCTAGGAGCTGACCCTGCCACCCACAGAAGCTCCTCCTGTGCCTGAAACCAGCGAGGGGACCGGGAAGGAGGATGACCCTGGCATAGGGGACTACGACTACATGCCGAGCGAGGACTACTACACACCTCCCCCTTATGAGGATATCAATTACGGCGAGGGTGTTGAGAACCCTGAGCAGCCCACTGACACTGGGCTAGAGGCTGAAATTCCCACCAGCACTGTGGTCACCACCAATTCATCCAACGTAATTTCTGTCTCTCCCTGTTGACTGGTTTAGGGGAAAGGGGAAAGGGTCAAGGCTAGGGGTCAAAGCTATGAGGCCTAAGTTCTTCTTTCTCTGCTTCTTGTCCTTAGTTGTCTTTGTGTGGCTCCCATGTCCCTGGTCCCACCAAACCTTGGCCTTGGACCCTCTGTAGAGGGTTGTTCTATTTTATTTTTTACTGAAGTTTGGATGAAAGTTCACAGAGAAAATTAGTTTTCTGTTAAACAATTTATATGCATTTTGTTTGGTGACATCGGGTGCAGTCCCCTCAGTGTGCCGCAGGTTGTTTTAAATGCTTCCCAAGGGATTTCATTCTGAGCAAGCTTGGAATTGCTGTCTTGCTGAGTTTATCTGCAAAGTGGAGGGAATGACTCCTGACCTCCCAGTCTCTGGTTTAGGTGGAGACTGGGTGAAGAGGTGCATGTTTACAGGCACAGTTTCTGAAAGAAGTTGTGGTCTGGGAGTAGGCAAAGTGGACACTTAGATGAGCTAGGGATCCAGAAAAAATCAGAATAAACCTGGGCAATGCTGGTGAGACAGACTTACTGTCAGGCGGCCCTGGGTTGGAACCCCTGCCCCATCAGCTATTACCTGGGTGAGTTGGGCAGCTGCAGCACCTCTCTGAACCCTGTTTTCTCATTGGGAAAAGGCAGCAACAATGCCCTTGCTGGGTTGTTGAGGGATTTTCAGATCAGGAGAGAGTTTTGTTATGTGCAGAGCACAGAGCACATACTGTAAGCGACCATGGTCTAAATAGAGCTCCTGGTTGCCAGGGGGGCACACTGGGTCTAGTGGTTCCAGACTCAAGTGGCAGCACTAAGGATTTGGAACACTTGATCCCAGGGACCCTAAGCCAAGTGAAGGCCCCTGGCTGCAGGCCACTTTCCTCGGGGGCACAGGGCAGTTGGTGCAGGTGCTGAGGCCTGGCTCTGCCCTCACTTGTCCTGGAGCCTTGGGCAAGTTTGGGGCGGTTTGGGAGAAGATGTGTAAAGAGGCTACATGGGGTCCCAGGACCTCTCCCAACAGGCCAGACACCACTTTGCAGGTTCAAGTGTTTTGTGACTCAGGAGGCAGCCTGGGAAGGTCGGGGTTGTCTGACCCAAGTCCTCAGTGGGAGGGACATGTCTGTCTGGTTCACCTCTGTGACCTTAATGCTGTGCACAGTAGCACCTTCCCGGGTGACCCCCTTTGTCTTCCTCTCTCTCCAGCCAGCACTGCCCCCAGAGGAAGGGAGGGATGATTTTGAAGGGGAGTTCACCGAGGAAACCATCAAGAATCTTGATGAGAACTACTACGATCCGTACTTTGACCCTACTATCTCCCCGTCAGAGATCGGGCCGGGAATGCCGGCCAACCAAGACACCATCTACGAAGGGGTGAGCAGTGTAGGCACCCCCAGCAGGAGCCTGTGGAAGGGAGGGGGCTCCCCTGGGTCCTTCATAGGGGTGAGGGCAGAAATCCTAGGGTGCAGTAGCAGCATGGCAGGTGACACGAGCAGATGCCTTCATAAAACCTGAGTTTTAAGCCAGGCTTGGAACCGGTTCATTCTGGTTCAGCCCCCATCTGAGACTGCATTTCCATCCCAGATATACTGAATCAGCATCTACATTTTAACAAGATCCCTAAGGGATTCTTATAGATCCCCAGGGTATTATTATGTATACATAAGATCCCTGGGGATCATGTTAAACTATAGATTCTAACTCAGTATATCTGGAGTGGAAATGCATAGGCTCACCAGGGGGACAAACCAGAATGAACTGGTTTGAAGCCCTGATTTTAAGGGGTCTCAGGTGCTTAGAATTGGATTCTGAATAATTCATGCTCTGTGGTACCATAACCATCTCAGATTCCCACATGGCCCTCTTGTAATTGGCTCATTTACTCCCTGGGCCTGTCTTCTGGGCAAGGAGAGGGGAAGATGCCCATGTTAGCAGCTGTCTTGGTTTGCTGAGTCAAGTAGACTTTGTGTGACCTGTATTTCTTCTTCTTCCTCTCTTTCCCTCTGCCACTGACCAATCCCAGATTGGAGGACCTCGGGGTGAGAAGGGCCAAAAGGGAGAACCTGCAATCATCGAGCCAGTAAGGAGGATTTCTCTTCTCTCTGGTTGCTTTGGGGACATGGTGGGTTCTGCAAGTTATGACTAGGTCCAAGGGTCTCTTGAACACTCCCCACTGGGCCACTGTGACAAGCTGTGTAACTACATAGCCTTTACTCACCACTTATTATTACCAAGACATTCTAGAAGCTCCTCAGGTGGTGGAAATAGTCCAGACCCTGATTGTGGGAGTGGTACGTGGGACACACATTGATCAAAGCTCCACATTGTGCACTTCCTATCTGTGGTTTTCACTATATGTAAATGTTACCTCCATGAAACAGAAGCTCAAAAGTCTTGAGAAGCAGGGCAGAGTCTCTCTGGAGGAGGGTCAGTGAGGATTATCTGCATACATTTTCAATTTGGTACTACAAATTTGTAAAACACTAATGCATCCAGCAGTAGTAGGGGAATAGTTAACAAATAGCTTTGCCTCTCCCTGGCCTGTTATGCAACCATTTAGAGTAAGCTTGAGGCAACTGTTGAAACATGGAAAACTGTTTATGAAACCATGTCAAGGGGATTAAATAAAACAGCACTGCCCTGAACTTGCAGTTGAGTATAACTCTACTGTGTTAGGTACTGGATCACGGATAAGTTAAAAAGCAAAACTAAATTGTTGATAATATCTTAAAGTATGGAAACTTAATGGAAGGGGTTCTGGATGCCTCTTATGGGTCAGTGGGTGTCAGTGGTGGGATAGTTCTCTGCCCCCAGTGAGCCTATGGTCTGTTTGGGAGCCAAGAGTCCACCCTGTGGCCTCAGCTGTGGATGTGGTGCCACACGGGTCAGCTCTTCTGGGCGTGGCCTCCACAGCTGCACAAGGGGGGAGGCATAGCTGTGTGGGCTGGGAAGAAGCTCTGGATGGCCAGAGGGTAGAAGGAGCCAGCTCCCCAGGCCCACCCTGCCACGTCCTCTGAGTGCCGCAGGGAGGAGGCGAGTTAGGGAGCTAAGGCCAGACTATTGCTTCTGAGGCCACAAGTGGTTCCTGAAGGCTGAGCTCAGGACCATGTCAGGGACTCCTGGAGACCCTGAGGACCTTGCAATTCCTGGGATGGAGAAATCCATTTGAACTCCATGCTTCTGTGACACTGGGAAGGTTTTAGGAGATTTTCTGACCACCTGTAACTTAGCACATCCTGTCCCCCAGAATCCATTTCTTCCAGAAAGACCTAGAGTTCCATGACCAGGCAAGCAGGGTGTGTCCAAAGCAATGGTCCAGCAGGTGTCTCTGGGGATGGAGCTCATAGGCAGTTGAGGTCCAGTGAGCCCCCATGGTGAATGGCCCTTTACCTGAAATAGAAGTGTCTAAGATGATAGAGAGGATGTCTTTTTTGGCTCTGTGCTCCAAGACACAGCCTGGGATGTCCAACCCCAGCCTGGTGCTGTCTCTATGTCTATTGGCTGATGACAGAGCCTTACCAACCTGGATCAGGTTGCCCTGGTCAGAGGGGCCATGTTCTGCCAGTCCCTCCTGCTGCCAGGCCTGGGTTCTGCACCAGAGTCCTGTCCCAGGGCTGGGATGTGTTGGTCCCCACTGGGCCACTAGACACACATCCTTCTCCCATACTGGGAGCCTCCCTCTTTTGTGTTCTCTATGGATCCAAGGAAGTGAGGGCTCTCTGGAGGCCCAAGAATTGGGGGGTGTAGGAGATAGGGAAATGATGCTGAGGGAGACTCAATGCCAGGCTTCCCCTTGCCTGGCAAGATGAAGAACCCCAATGCAAAGTCCCGGTAGAAGAAGGGAGACCCGGGGGGAAGAACAGCAGTCAGCTCGGGTGGAATCATACCCAAAGAATGTGGCTGACAGAACTCATCCCAGTCTTTGGGAGGAGTATATGCCAGAGGGTCAGCAACACCGAGGGCCACTCCTCCAGAGTCTGCCATGCATCTCACTGGGTTTGGGACTTAAGGCTATGTTTCCCCACCTGGTTGAGTGTCTGGGTCCCAGGTGGGCTTGCTTTTGACTTTGGATTTCTTCCATGGTGTCCCCATTGCTTCAATGAAAGGGGAATCTTACTTGGGAAGGAGATGGGGTCCCAGGAAGGGGAAGGTGCCTGTGGATCCCTCCTTGGGGTGGGCTAGGCTGACACCTCTGTCTAGATAAGCTTCACATTCTTTTGTTCCCTGGAGTAGCTGACACTGTAAGTGTGGATATGGTGTCCAGCTTGGCAAGTTGGAGGAGGTGTGCATAGGAGGGGCCCAGACTGTTCCACTGCAAGACTTGGGCCAAGCAGGCAGTGGGCGAAGGTAGCTGAGAGGAGAGAGCTGCGAATATAGAGGCAGCCAACCAAAATATCACATCTCCAGAAAATCCACATCTTCGTTGGGGAAGAATGAACCATCTGGATGCAGTTAAGGAAGGATCCCTGTACTCCCCCACCTGGATCTCATTCCTTCCCAGTCTCCTGCCCATTTGGGGTGTCCAAGGGGTCTTTGGGCAGTCTCCTTGGAAGAATCATGTAAAGCCTTGGAATTTCTTAACCTGGAGCATCGCCAGATGTCCTCAGTATCTTAGCTCCTCACAAATATGTGGCAGCATCCTGAGACAGCCTGAGTGAGTCCGGCCAGCTGACCTCGTGTGGTGCCAGCCCTGCAGAGGTGGTCAGCACTGTCTCCTCTCTTCCCCATCACCTGCTCTCACCAGTCTCCCTCTTGGGAGCTACCCACTCACTGTAGCTGAAGCTTATGGACCCAGTTTCTTCTCGCCATCCACATCAGAGCCATGGTGGACTGTTTCTCACTCAGTTCTGGCATCTTCTGTCATCCATCAGCTCCAGAGGCTCTGAAAAATGACAGAAACCCACTCAGTGGAGAGGCTTATCACAAGACAGAGGTGGTGGCTGAGCTGGCAGAGCCCCTAAGGGTCTGGAAGTCCCAGATTCAATGGCTGGTATCACTGGCTAATGTCCCTCGCAAGGGACGTGGGTCACCCCTTCTACCTTCCATTGTTCACTTTTTCTTTTCCTTGTCTGTGCTGTTTAACTGATTGGCAAAGCAGAGTGTCAGCAAAAGTGAGGGAAACTTCCATAAGATGAATTGACCCATTAGCCACAACACTGGGCTCAAATGTATCATGACGCTGGTGTAGGACCAGGCAGTGCTTCGTTCCGTTGTCCATAAGGGTATATGGGCTAGAGCAGACTCAATGGCACTTATTTTGGTTCTCTAGTGCTACTCTAACAGAAAATACCACAGATGACGGCTTTAACAAACAGGAGTTTATTCTTTTACAGTTCGGGGGGCTAGAAGTCTAGGTTCAGAGTGCCAAACTCTAGGGGCTGGGTGAAAGAAAGCCCCTTAACCTTGGACTTCAGCTCTGCCTCTTGTTTCTGGCCCACTGGAGCTAGAGGTGTCTCTGCACTCAGGCAGCTGCTGGCTGCTGAGGCCAAGAAGCCCAAGATAACAACAACAACAAAAAAGGCACAGCTCCAGTATTACAAAACAACATGGCAGGCCACTAGTTAAAGTCCAGAGAGAGTCCTAGGATTGGCAGGAAACGTGACATGCTGCTAAATGAAGACTCAGCTACATGCAGGGTCGAAGCATGCCAAAGAGCTGCTGAGAACTTTCTCAAAGTTGCTTCTATATGGAAGCAGACCACATCCCTAAGGCAGCTAGCTACTCAGCTGCACTAGTAGATTCCACTATGGAGTTGATGACCAATCTCATCATGGGGAATACTACATCCAGTTGCCCAGCCACTCAAAACCAAGCCAGTCAAGTTGACACACAACTTAACCACCACAACACCTGACAACAACAACCAACTGATGGGTGGACTTCATTAAGACTTGTCTAGAGTTCAGTGTATGAGACCTATGGCATGTAGTCACTGTTCCCAGATGAATTTTGAGAGGGGTGGTGGCTGTGGGGAGTGGGACATTGCCTGATGCCCTGCAGCACATAGTAAAAGCAAGGTGGCAGGTCTCAGAGAATGGAAGTGGGTGGTTGCACTTGAGGTGGTGGTGGGCACAGTGTGTCCCTGGGTGATGCTGCATCGCTGATCGAAGTCTGTGTGGGAACGTGGAGCCTCCCTCTGCTAGACTCACTCATCCAACAATTCCCAGCTTCCTTCCTGTGCTGACCCATAATGATCCAGCTGCCCTCCAGCAAGACCCCAGCCCCGTGTCGCCCCAGCCCTCCAAGAAATTGTGTTTGAGAAGAAGACAGCTGCAGTTCCCCAGGCAGGTTCCATCGGCCCTTCCTCACTATATTCCAGCTCAGCACTGAGCCTTCTCGCTGCCTGGGTCAGAGGGAAATGGAGCTGGCGTTTGTGACTGTTTGGATGAACTCTCTGTGGACACCATTGCACAGATATTTCTGTGTATGCATCTGTGTAAACATAACCTGCATCTTTATGGCGCCTGGGCCTCTCTGCTGGGGAGACAAGCTGGTCAGCTGGTGGGCTGTGTGTCCCCTGTCCTGTACCCAACCCCATGCTGTCCCTGGGGCTCTGGTGGCCTTTTTACTCTGAAGAAGTTAAGACTTTCCCAGAGGACCCTTACTTCGTGAAAACCCTCGGTACAGTGACAGGGACATCCCAGAGAGGAGCAGCTGGGTGTGTGCTTAGTCTGGAGAGAAAGGTAGGGGACCAGCTGGGACCCTTCCTCTCCCCTTCCCCAGTGGCTGTGACAACTGGGGAGAAGCGTTTCATTGCATCCACTGTCTAAGCATGTAGCATGCATGCAGTCCAGGAGCAGGCCACCCAACAGGGTTGGGCACAGTGTACAGGTCAGGGGACCCCTGGATGCATCCTGGCTGTTTTCTCAGCACAGATCCCTGAAAGGCCAGCCTTCCCTTCCTCCCTGAGGGAACATTGGGCACTGGGAAGAGTGGGGCCCCTGCATGGCTGAGTCAGGAGGGATGAGCAGGAGCTGGGTGAAGAGGGTATGTGCAGGGAAGCCCTTGGTCAGGGACCCTGTCACAGGGAGCAGAAGCCCAGGCTTCACCCACCCTGTGGGGCTCAGGTGGAGGGGATAGGAGGCGTTATCCCATTTTTGAGGTAGAGAAAGAGAGACCCAGAGAAGATAGAGGCAGGGGAGACCTCAGCCTGGTGAGGTGAGGGTCAGAGGAGGGTTTCTGGGCTGGGGGAGGGCTACCAGGTATCCATGTGAACTTGTAGTGTTCCCCCACTTACTTCAGGCTACGTGCGTGTTGCATTCCAGAAGCACTTCTGCCTGGAGGCAGGAGGGCTGGCCTCCTTGAGGTCTGTGTGGGCACTCCAGACCCTCAGGGGCAGGGCCCGCAGCTTCAGTTCCTCTTGTCCCCAGTTCCTTCCTTATCCTGATCTGGGCCCAAGTCCTGGGGTACACTCTTTCCCTAGGTTGCTTCACTGTGTGCCTGCTAGGGCTCTCACTTTTGTGGAGATAGGAGGCCTAAAGGGGCCTGGAAGGGGGGCAAGCAGTCTGGATACTCCTCCTTTCCTCCTGGCATTCTGAGGGAGCTTGCCACTATGCCTGGAGATGCAAAGGTGACAGTCATCCCATCTCCACAATCCTTTCCTTATAGAGACTGCTGGGGACCTCTGAGAGCACAGCTGATAGATAGATAGATAGCTGCCATCCTTTGGCTCTAACTCTTGGTGACCCCATGCACAACAGAACAAAATGGTGCCCAGCCCTGCAGCATCTCACAGTTGTTGATATGCACAAGTCCATTATTGTGGCCGCTGTGTATTTGTAGTGCCTTCCAAACTAGGGGGTAATCTTCCAGCACTATGGCAGATGGTGTTCTGCTGGGATCTATAGGGTTTACATTGGCTAATATTTAGAAGCTGGTCACCAGGCTTTTCTTCTTAGTCTGTCTTGATCTGGAAGCTCCACTGAAACCCACCACCATGGGTGACCTGCTGGTATTTAAAATCCTGGTGGCATGGCTTTCAGCATCACAGGAATACACAAGCCACCACAGTACAACAGACAAGACAGACAGGTGGTGAGAGAGGACAGTAGATTCTGCTAAGTCTCTAGCCTCTTGTCCTCTGAATTTGGAGGCTTCCACCCTGCTGGGCTCTCCTTTGTGGCTCACGTGGGCTCTCCTCATGCGGGCCCCCCTACGTGGCTCACTCGGGCTCTCTTCACACGGATTCTCCTTATGGGGCACCTCCTGTGTGGCTCACCTGGGCTCTCCTCACACAGGCCCCCCTGCATTGCACATGTGGGCTCTCCTCACACGGCTTTTCTCTTCTAGGGCATGCTCGTAGAAGGGCCACCTGGCCCTGAAGGCCCCGCTGTGAGTATCAGATGTCCCCATGATTTGTGGGAGGTGTCATTCCTTGGGGGTTAATGACAACCCTTAAAGCCCCTGATATTCAAGAGTTGGTTTGGGGCACTGTCACCTTTAGCAGGAACCCTCAGCCCAACACTTCTGGCCCCACCTCTGCCCTCATGTGGCCAGCTGGGAGGTGGGAACCCCCATGGAGTTACACCTCTTCACTGTGTCCTGATTTTATTTTTCATTCCAGGGTCTTCCAGGACCTCCAGGAACTACAGGTCCCACTGGCCAAGTGGGTGACCCTGGAGAGAGGGTAAGACTGCAGTTCCTGGAGACCACACACTCTAGGGGTTTGTCTGTGTGTCTTCACTCTCTCAGACTGTCTGTGTGTCCTTCTGCTCTGTGGTCTTCACACTTCCTCAGAGGTAGAGATAGCAGTGGCCAAATCTTCCCTCACCCCACTTACTAACTCTACCGCCCCTGTGGCTGGTCTGTCATTGAGTGCTATGGAGGGCCACATCACAGGCCCCATGCAGGGGCAGGTGGATCCAACAGCCTATGTGTCCATGGAGGTGCATGTGCTCAGCACATGTAGCAGCCTGGTGGCCTTGTTTTAGTATAACAAACAATGGCAGTCATAGCACAAGAGCCTCCTATGCTTTGCCCAGTGTGGCCCTTCCACAGAACTCACCTCTACTCTTCCTCAGTTTGTGAGCGTTCTTGGTCCCAATCCCTCCTTATTGAGAGAGTCAGACATGGGGAAGACACAATCCTGGTCAAATGAAAGCTACCTCTTGTTGCCTAGTGGGAAGCTGAGCCAACAGTCAGGATTTCACCCTGACACCTAGTGGGGGCTCGCAGTATTGCAGCCTCAATAGCTGCCAGCGTGGCTGCCTTTCTCCCTCTCCCTCTCCCTCTTGCTTTTCTGCCAGGCTAGTGGACCTGGGTATGACTACAGACCTGGTACTCAGAAGACAAGTGGTAGATACAAGAAATAGAGTGTATGCATCTAGATAGCCACTGTTGCCCACACAGGGCAGGGACCTAATGGGGATGTGGGTGGGTAGATGGAGAGGTGGATGGATAGTCTGGTCATAGGGATGGTATATTGACTGTGAGAGTGCCCATGGCTGTGACGGCATCTGGGGCAGCTCTGGGGGAGATGGCTGTGCAGAGGTGCTTGTCATCCCAGAGCAGTTGTGGGCACAGGGCAGGTCAGCTATGAGCCTGGATGCCTGGTTCTGGTGGGAAGTAGGGAGAACAGGACAGGCAATTGCAGGAAGGAGAGCAGGGGCCAGGGTCGTCTTCTAGCAGAGATAGAGGAGGTGGGCACTGGGTTGACCTTTCAGAGGGAATAGGAGTAGGGTGAGCAAAGGATGTGTGTGTCTTTGTTCTTTGTGGCACTAAGGGGAGCCCAGTCAGCAATGCAGCCAGACTGGGCCTTGGATGATATTCTTCGGGTTTCTGTTGCTTCTCTGGTTCTGGGGTCCAGAATAGACGGGCCTTATAGCATGGTGAGGGGTTTGGCTGGAAGCAAGCGGCCCTGGCTGGCCTCCGCCTGCCCAGCTTTCCCATGTCCCCCAGCTTGGCAGCCAACTGTGCCTGCCCTTACATAGCCCACGTTCTCAACCCAGCCTCAGAGCCTAACTTGAGCTCTTTCAGGGCTGGGGGCTGCAGCTATAGCTCACAGTTCCTCTTTTAGGAATTTACCTACCAGAAATGTCCCCCGCATTCATTGTGGCAGTGGTGTTGTCATGATGAAACTGGAACCCATCCAGACGTGCATCAGTAGCTGATGAGTTAGATAAATGATGAGCCCACCATACATGGGGCCAGATGTTATATAGTGAGGGTGAGCTACACAAAGAAGTCCACGGTTTGCCATGAGGAGAAAAAGCAAATTGCTTGAAAGACTCCATTAGGGAGATAGAAAACGCCACCCCTCACACACAGCACACACCCCATAGAATAATAAGCATGTTGTATCGTGTGCACTTCCAGCTCTTGTCTGCATACAGAATTGTAGCTCTGGTTACTGCTGCAGAGGGGACAGAGGACTTACACTTTTCACTTTCTATAGAGTATTAGGGGAGCTCTGGTAGTGTAGAACCTAAGGCATTTGACTGCTAACCAGAAGGCTGGCAGTTCAAACCCACTAGCCTCTCCTCGGAAGGTAGGTTGGGCACTCTACTTCCGTAGTGATACTGCCTCGGAAACCCAAGGAGGGGTCTCCATGAGTCGGATCTGACTCAATGGCAGTCAGTTATAAATTATTAGAGACTATTTTACAAGAACATGGGTTCCTCTGTAATTAGAGAATGACTACTAAAGAAAAGAAGTGGCAGGCAGATTTTGATTCCATCCAGATGGTTCTATATGCTTCTGGACCATTCCAGAACCACTAGTTTTTGTCTTTTTGGCTGAGTTGGGAGTCAACGTACTGTTTCTGCCCTGGAAGCTTTGCTGTCGGGTGGTGTTAGCATCATCGCTCCAACATTGTGATTGGTGCAGAGACTGGGATCCACAGCTCACACGTCTCAGGTGTGGCCTGGAGGAGCCTCCACCTTGGTGGGAGGGGAGTTACACACCCATCTGTATGCAGAACAAATCTCATCTAGTCAAGCTAGCTGGGTGTCTGTCTGCCTGGATAGGCAACAAAGAGCCGAGATGATGAGATATGTTTTGCAAGTGAGGTGCCTCACCAGTTTTATACCTTTCCGGTGCTGAGCTAGCCAAGGCACATCTTGAGGTTGGTTCTGGGATGCCTGTGTGCATCTTGCTTCAGAGGCTCCATCACTCAGTTTGTGGGGGCATGGCTGTCATTGGTCTCTTCACGGGTTATTGGAGTTGCATGAGGTGAGCTTGTGTTCCCGTGGACTGTCTTCCTGAATTTGGGTTCCACGTGGCTGTTGAAGCAGATGGACACTTCAGTTGATTGTCCACCTGAGCCACCATACATGCCAAGTCAGGAAGGCGAGACCAGTGATATGCCACCTTCCAGACAAGGCAGGAGGGTGAGGCCTCTCCCAGCCACGAACCTTTGATTCCTTGGGCTGCATCAGTCTGTTCTGTGCGATCACTGTGTGGACAGGAGCTTGGCACCCTATCCCTGCCACCTCCAAGCATTGCCTAGCCTTGCCCCTGTCCCTCAGCTCAGGCCGACCCTAGGACTGGATTGCAGTCTCCACCAGCCCCAGCTCAGACTTCCTCCCCTCCTCCCCTTCTCTGGGGAAGCTCTCCCTGCCCCCAGCCCACTTTAATGCTCCTCCCTTCTCTGGCTTTCTGGAACATTCCCTGCCACAGGTTAGCATTGCTTTTTGCTTCTACTGTGTGTGACTTCTGGGCTAGTGGCTCCGTTCTCCTTCAGCACAGCTCTCACCTTCACTGCACTCTGACCTAGATCTCTCTGCCTCCTTTGTCATAGGGTCCCCCTGGACGCCCTGGCCTCCCCGGGGCCGACGGCCTGCCTGGCCCTCCTGGGACCATGCTCATGCTGCCTGTGAGTATCCTCGTTGAGGGGGTGGGCTCAGGGCTCAAAGTGCTTTGGGCTTTGCTTCCATTTCCCGTCAGCTTCAGACCAAGCCCCACTGGGCCAGACATGCCCTGGAGAAGCCCCTGGGTCCTGAAAGGCCATCCTCACTAGAGGGGTGGGTGCTTGACTTCCCTCAAGCGCCAAGTGCTACAGTGGCTGGGCCTCTCCCCTCTGGATCCACCTATGGGCCAGGGAAGAGGAAGCAGGAAGTCACTCACTGTGGCCTGACGACTCAGGGGACACGTGAGATGGGACTCTAGTGTGTAGTGATGATTCTTCACTCTGTGTGATGGGGGTGGGGGCATTCTAGACCCCGTGGATGGCTCCATGCTGTCACCTAAGAGGCCGATGGCATCACCTCAGCCCCGGGTGACCCCACTCCTTACACCTGCAGTTCCGGTTTGGAGGGGGTGGAGATGCAGGCTCCAAAGGCCCCATGGTCTCAGCCCAGGAGTCTCAAGCCCAAGCCATTCTGCAACAAGCCCGGGTGAGTGTGTGGGAATGAGGGCAGAGCTGGGGAGATGGAGCAGGCAGAGCTAGGAGGGTGGGATGGAGCTGAGGAAGTGGGCAGAGTTGGGGGCAGAACTGGGGGTTGGGTAGAACTGGGGAGCCAGGGCAGAGCTGGGGGGACAGGATAGAACTGGGGGAGGCAGAGCAGAGCTAAGGGGGTGGGGCAGAGCCTGGGTGAGTGGAATGGGGACAATGGAGTGGGAGGAGGGTCTGGGGGGTGCAGGGGACACAGAGCTTGGAGGGCGTATCTTTCCTACCTTGAGCCACTCATATCTGGTAGACTGTCTTATCCTACCCAGTTATGGGCACCTGTGAAGTTTGAGAGACTTCTCAGGGGACCTTCATCCATGCTGACCACCCAGATTCCTAGATGAGGAAGTGGGCTGCCTTACCCTGATGACCCAGTGGTATGCATCCTGCCACCTGTTAGCCTCTTCCTCTGCCCTGCCCTCTACTGGGTCCTGGAGGTGGACAGAGATGCCTCCACAGCTCGGGGAAGGTGGAGCCAGGCACCCTGGGGAAGAACTCAGTACACAGAGCCCCTCTCTGGCTCTCTGCTGGGTTCTCAGAGGCAGAGTCCACAGAGGGGCGGTTGCCTCCCTGCTAATTAGCTAATTACGTTGTCTTTCTAACCAGTGTAGCTCTGTATTGCTGATTGCCAAAGGTGAATGCAAAGGCTTCCCTGTGGGGTGGGGGTCCTTGCGGGGAGCGCCCTTAATGGATCCTCATGGGAAGAAGCTAGATCATTGTGTTTGTGTAATACTTACAGAGCTGGCAGCTGAGCAGATGTTCAATATGGGAGGGTCTGGGAGCTCTGGTGGTGTAGTGCCTGAGGTATTTGACTGCTAACGAGAAGGCTGGCAGTTCAAACCCACCAGCCACTCCTCCGAAAGAAGGTTGGGCAATCTACTTTCGTAGTGACTTCGCCTGGGAAATCCAAGGAGGGGTTGCTATGACTCGGGCCCAACTCAACAGCAGTGTATGTTTGTGTAATCACAGGATGATGTAGTTCCAGGTTGCTGCCCTGGAATAGATCACCCTAGAGATACAATGTGGTGTGTAACATACCCCATTACCTGCACTGGGGTTATTGCCTCAGGGGTGCCTGGCTGCCTTTAATCTGTACCAAGTGGTGAGGTGTTTAGGAGGATATCTGATAAAGCAAAGATCATCCGAATTTAAAACGGTGATCTCAGCAGAGTGACTCTTTAAGGAGGTGGTTGATACACACGTGGGCTGAGGAGCCATGCTCAGATGGGTCATGGTGGGTGACAGAGCTGGGATGTGGGGTGGTGGCCTTGGTTCTTGGCAATGAAGACACCAGAGCCAGGTGTCTGGGCTGGGCCCTTGGTGGCTGTGGTCTCACATTGGCTCTTCTATGGGTCTGACACCTGGGAAAGTCTCCTCTCTCCAGCATTTCCTGAATGGCAGGAGAGCCTGTGGTGGCTCTGGGGGAGGGAAATCCCTTGTTACTCCCTTAGTGTGAGCTGCTTAACTGTGGGATGCATGCCCCACCCTGCCCAGGAGAGGAAGGGGCATGTCACATGCAGCTGAGGCAGAGGTTTGGGGCAGACCCGACAGTAGTGAAGGCTGAGAGAGGAGAGAGAACAGGTCGGAGGCTCCAGACACCCCAAGGGGATAAAGGGTCCCACAGAGGGAGGAAGTGGTTGCATACCTTGTCCCATCAGTACCTTTCTTGCCTCACTGGAGTTGGGTGCTGACAACCCTAGGGGAGCTAGTGTTTCTAGAAGGATCTGCTGGAGGTGCCTGTCATTTCTTTCTCTCCTGGCCACGCCACTTTGGCCACTTCATGCATATCTGTTTTCCCTTGCAGTTGGCGCTGAGGGGACCAGCTGGTCCAATGGGTCTCACTGGCAGACCGGGTCCTGTGGTGAGTTGTTTTGTCTGAGACTCAGTGCTAAGTCAGGCCTGTGCCTGCCTATGCCACTGCAAGGTGGGGGCTATGGCTGTGTGACCCAGGTGGACTTGGGCCCTGCGGCTCTGCTCTGCAGGGGTGGGCAGAGGGAACAAGCCACATCTTCCTGCTGCACCAGCCCCTCATGAGAATGGGGTGCACAGGACCACCCTACTAATGTAGGCAGCTGTGCTGGGGTGAGGAGGGGTTGCCAAAGTGACCCTGCAGAGGATACTCTTGAAGCTATTACCAGCCAGCACCCAGTTGGAGAGTGTGTCCAAGGGGCAGAAGAGGACTGAGGTGATTAGGGGACTGGGGACATGCTAGGGAAGGTTCCTAAGTGGAAGCACCACCCATATGTGGGACTGAGGACTCCAGGCCTCTTTCCTTCTGGGCCCTTCATCATCGTTTACACCCATGTTTCTAGAAGATGGAGGGATCCTTAATGTGGGGGAAAATCCCAGGATGTCATCTTCTCAGTGACCCATTAGCATCCCTGATGCTGCCGCCCTGGCCCTGGCGGCACGCCCTTGGCTTTGGTCTCCTCTGGGCTCCTTGCTGCACAGTTTGTGAGCAGCACGTGCCAGGGGCCCACAGGCTGGCAGAACGCTGGGATCTGTGGAGTGTGAGGGGCGCTTACAATTTGCAAGGAGACAGAGGATTTAAAAGGCACATTGGTCCCCTGGCCAGCCCCTTCCCTAGCTCACTAGGAAGTCCCTACTCAATTCCTCAGGTCCTGAATTTTAGGGCATCTCACCTTGTGACAGGCCATGAGCTGTACACACCTGTCGCCCTGAGCTCTCGGCTGCCATGGGCCATGATCACGTTCACCTTGGACAGAGAGCTGTGGCCATGAGCATTGAGTTTTTGTCTGGATCTCTTCCTTATTTTTTTTTTGTTTAAATAACATTTTATTTTATTTTAGGTGGAAGTATATACAATAAAACAGGTTCTCATTCAATGTTTTCTACACAAATTGTTCCATGACATCAGTTAGTCTTCACCATGTATCAGCATTCTCACTACTTCCATTCTAGCTGTTCCATTCCCAATAACCTAGGCTCATAACCTCCAATATATGATTTTCATCAATGGTGGGTGGAGTTGCACTGTCTAGAATTACAGTCAAAATCAGGAAGTGTTTGTGTGTGTATGTATATGTGCATGTCTGTGTGTGTATATATATATGTGTGTATATATATATATATATGTATGTATGTATGCTTATGTCTCTATATGTATGTGTGTACATGTGCATATGTATGTATGTGCATATATGAGTATGTGTATGTATATATGTGTGTGTATGTGTTTATGTATATAAAATAAAACAACAAGGGTCACAGAAACTGATACTCCTATGACATAACCTATCACCCCACAGGGTACGTTGAAGACTTAAGATCATAGTCTCGTGGGACAACTTGGTTGGTTGACATAATACATTCATTAAGTTGTGTTCTGCATCCTACTCTGGCAAGTAGTGTCTGAGGTCTTAAAAGTTTATAAGCAGCCATATTGGACTTGACTTTACTATTGGACTTTACTCTGGAGCAAAAGAGAAAGTGGGAAACCCAAGAATCAGAGAAGAAAGTAGTCCATGGGACTAATTGTCTGCATGAATCACTGTCCTTCTACCCTAAGGTCAGAAGAACTAGATGGTGTCCTGCTACCACTACCATATGTTCTGATCTCCACGCAATAGATGGATCCTGATGGAAAAGGAGAAAAGTGTGGAACAGAACATCAATTTTTTTTTTAAAAAAATCTAGGCTTAACTGGACCCACTGAATCAGGAGGAATCCCTGACACTATCACCCTGAGATAAACTCTTTAAACCTTGAACCAAAACTGTCCTCTCAAGTCACCTTTTACTAAACAGCAGGTTAGCTCATAAGTCACGAAATCACCCTTGAGTACTGCACTCTTAAAAACCATCTATATGAGACCAAATATTGGAAACTGTGAGATTAGGTTATTGGGAACAGAACAGCTAGAGTGGAAGTAGTGAGAATGTTGATACATGGTGAAGAGTAACCAATGTCACTGAATAATTCGTGTAGAAAATGTTGAGTGGGAACCTGTTTTGTTGCATACATTTTCACCGAAAATACAATAAAATGCTATTAAAAAAAAAAATCAGGAAGAGATCCAGACAACTGCCTTTCCCATCCTCCTGAAAAGTTAATTTCCTCCCTATGCTCTGTTTGAGGTGGGAAGGCCAGGCACCAGTCCTTGAAAGTGGTCCTCAGTGTCCTACCCTGCAGGGCAGATATCTGTGGTTCCCACCCTGCCCCTTCCATGCCCACCTTGGTAGATTTCCTGCCCTTGCCTCCTTCCTCTGAGCACACATAAATGCAAACGTATCTCTGTAGGGTCCCCCTGGGAGCGGAGGCCTGAAAGGAGAGCCTGGAGACATGGGGCCGCAGGTATGTGGGCATGGGCTCTGGGGTCACTGGCTTGGTGGTGCTGCATGCTGCATTTCCTGAAGGGAACTGGGGGAAGCTTTGTTGCTTTGGAGAAAGCTGAAAGTGGAACCGAACTAAGTGCAACATCTGAAGCAGGAACTAGGCGGCTTACAGCTCTGTCCCTGGTCCTCGATGAGTGAGCAAGTCCTGGGCCAGGCTCAGCACTACCCACTCAGTGGAAATTGGGACCATGTGGACAAGCACAGGGCAGGCTTTGCTCTTTTTTTGAAGAAAATGGACACCCCACAGACCTTTTGTTCTCTGATTCCTGGCAGGGACCCCGAGGGCTGCAGGGCCCTCCTGGCCCCTCAGGAAAGCCTGGAAGAAGGGTGAGTGTTTCAAACTCAGGGCATGTGTGGGAGGAGCTGGGGGTCCACATGAGCAGTGGGCTTGCTGTAGCCTCATCACAGCAGCTGTGGACATGGACTGTGGAAAGCCTGGCTTCTTCTTTGTTCATGAGGAGTGTCCATCTCCAAGGCCACTTCCGGTAACAGCACTGTGAGCCCCAGGCAACTGCCCAGGAGGGGTTCTCTGAAGTCTGCCTCTGCCCCTGCCACCTAGGCCTCTGTCCTGAGCGTGCTCATTTAGTTAATTGTAAGGATGACTCAAGGATCTGTGGAGGGAATCTCTGCACGAAGCTGAGAGTTGGACTAGAAGATTCAGAGTGGGTCAACCCACTCTGGAGTCCTGTGATTGCTGAGCAGTCAATTGGGAGATATAGCTGAACTCCGATTCTGAGTTCTATTTCCTTAAGGTTTTCTTGGTGTCTCTGTAAATACATCTGGTCGAGTTCCACCAGAGTTAATCTGTTTTATCAGTTGTTGTTGTTATGTGCTGTTGAGTCAGAGCATAACATAAAAACTGAAGATGGAAGAGAAAATATGGCGGAAATGGTTTGTAATGGGACTAGTTGTGGAGTTGATTGTATCTAAACAAAACTGCAAACTTGTTATAGTCCAGTCGGTGACTCAGGGCGATCCTGTGTGTGCAGAATAGAACAGTTCCATAGAATTTTCAACAACTGATTTTTTCAGAAGTAGACAACCACACCTTTCTTCCAAAGAACCTCTGGGTAGACTTGAACCTCCAGTCTTTTGATTAGCAGTTGAGCAGTGAACGACGTGTGCCTCCCCTCCCTACTCCTGTATCAGACTAGGGCTATGCATATGCATAAGGGGTAAGGTAGCAAGTGCCCCTGGCCATCCCTGATAGAATAGGATGGTGGAGGAGGGCACAGAGCCAGCCAGCTCCAGAGCTCGTTCTTTGCTCATGTAGCCTGTGTGGAGGGAAACACTGGGCTGGAGGGGCACCAGAATCTTCTGTAGAGCAGGACATGTGTGGAATTGGGTGCCTGTTCACACAGCTTCCCTTGATCATTTCCAGCATTTTTGTGTTTTTCAGGAGCTAGGCCCCTGACTTGCTGGGCAGGATCTACTTTCAGTACTTTCAGCTACTTTCAGTAGCTCAGTACCTTTGCATCCTTGTGCCCCATGACCTTTAAGCCTAGTGAGCCTGGTCCTCTTTGGAGTCTATTCTGGTCTCCTCTCTCCCTTCTGCTTCTTGGGGTGCTCTGAGAAGCCCAAGGCCTCTATTCCCAATGTTCTAATGGCTCAGCAGTGAGGAAGGGTTTCTGGGCCTTAGTGACTGGTATGTGCTGGGAACCCACCCTTTACACTTGGCCATGGGGAGTGGAGCAGAGAGAAGCTGGGAGCTGCTCCGTCACACTCACATGTGCTGCCATCTGGTCTCTGCTGATACTCTTGCTGATACTTCTCCTTAGCACATCAAGGTCTGGCTGAATTTAATGACAGCTGGCTGGTGGACTCGTCATAGCCTCATGGGACTCTCCCATGTAGTCATTGGTGGCAGACCCAGGCTGTGTCCTTCAGCCCATGTCTAATGAGTTGGGGACCTTGGCTTTTCTGTGGCTGTCTCATAATGGCAGTAGTGGCTAGAGAGTGGCCACCAGGGATGAGGAGGTCTGGATTATAGTCTAGATCTATCTTTAGGCACCTCTGTGGTCTCAATGATAATGTCACCCTCTGGGCTCCAGTTCCTTCTTCCATAGCTGGACTGACTGGGTTTTTGCTTGCTTTCCCCTGTGACTCTCTGGTCTTTAACCTGACTTCCACATGCAGAAGGAGATGGGCTTCACAGACACACTAGTGCGTGCTTTCACCTGAGTTATAAATGAACAGCCCCAAACTGACACAGCTCTTCATCCTTGTTCGTCCAGCCTGGTCTTATCTGCCAATCATATCATCGTCTCAGAACCTCAAGAAGTACAGTTGGCCTCATCCCCATTGGCAGTGCAGGGTAGTGAGGCTGGGCAAGACTGGCCCCTGTTCTGATTCCTACAACATGAAGCATAGAGCAGCCTCAGAGCTCCCAGGTCAAGAGCTTCCAGGTCTGGTTCCTGTGGGGCTGTGGCCCACGGTGGCCATGTCTTCAGTGTTACTCAGCTTGGTAGAAGAGGAAGCTTCCTCTCAGAAACCTTGGTAAACTGGCTACTCTTTTGTAATGACAATTAACCCTGCTTTTTTCCAGGGACGGGCTGGGAGTGATGGAGCAAGAGGAATGCCTGGACAAACTGGCCCCAAGGTAGGGCCACCATTTCCCACTCTCTCAGTGCCCTGGACATGGTCCCCATCATTGCCATCATCACTATATTATGGATATGATCATGGTGGTGCATAATGACCTGTAGCACTTATATCCATGTTGGGTAGAAGCTTGAGGGGGTGAGGAGAGTCCTGTCCAGATGTGTCCTGTCCTGTGGGATGTTGACATGCACACAAAGGTTGGTTGGGGGAATTTCATGATCAAGTGTTATGGTTGGAGCTGGGTTTCTGAAAGGTGGAAACAGATTTCCAATGGACAGCATGGGGAACAGAATCCCAACTATGAAAACTATTCATGATGCAGATGAAAAGCTTACACACACATAGGGACTGACACAGGGAGTGCCATGGCCTTCAAGTTGTCAGGCAAATCATGAGTGTAGTCTAGGGGGCAGGGAGACTCCTTGTCAGACCACAGAAGGTCTCAGCTCTGGTAATGGAGAGAGGGACTAGTCATTGTATAGACCAAGTAGCTGCACTGGGGTAGCTTTTGGCCTTTGAAACTATAGACCCTCCTGCTGTTGAGGTCCAGAGCATTGATCTCTCTGCCCGTAGCTTCAGTGTGATATTTCTTTCCCATTCTGGAAGGGTTTATCCAAGATCATACTGGGGGTAGAGGCAATATTGATGTTCTCCAGTGAGGAGATTACCATGGTGACAGCAGATGTGATCAGAAGGGAGGATGGAGACTGGGTCATCAAACAACACCTGATGTCCATTGGCCTGATCACCTCATCACTGACATGGATGAACTCTGAAGAGCTTTGCTAAGTCTGAGCTGATGAGATCTCTGGACATCTGTGGTTTGAGCTGATAAGAGGAAGAGGAGACTGTCTTAGTGCATCTACCTCTGTAGAGTCATGGGCTTCTTTCATCCACAGAAATATCCAAAGCCTAAATCATTCTACCCTTGCTTCTAAATTACCTAAATTCTAAATTATCCTACATTGCCCTACTCATGAGATAAGGTGCTGTTCCTGGTGGGGAGCCAGGCTGCCAGAGGCCCACCAATCCTGTCTATTTTCCAAGTGGGCATGTCAAAGCTCTTCCTTTGACAGCTTTTATTGGTGTCCAGGGAGAAAAGGCTGGCATTGAAGACCCAAGGCAGAGAAATATCCATCACACAGAGTGGTATGGGCAGCAGGGTTCTTGGGCCCCAGATGTATAAGTGGGCCAGGAACTATGAGCCATGTGTATGGATAGTCTCTAAGTGCCTCTTTCCTCCTCACAGGGTGACCGTGGTTTTGATGGCTTAGCTGGACTGCCGGGTGAGAAGGGCCAGCGGGTGAGTATTTCTTCTCTAAGTCCTCAAGGATTTTGTGCAGCAGAGATATTTCTGGGGAGGCCCTTCAGAGAGCCATCAAATTCCTATGTAGGACTGAGCCCCATCAAACTGAGAGTGGTCACTCTAGTGGATCTGGTGGGACTTGGGGGTAGAGATGATGGTGGAGATAGTGATCCCTCTGTGGATGGAGTTAGCTCCCAAACTGGGTTTCTGATCTGCAGTTGATAGGGAAAGAACCAATCGGCCCACTCACTGGAGGGGCATGTGAGGGAGTGAGAGATTAGTCCTTCCTCTCAGAAACCCTTGAGTTCTGCTGAGCGTGTGCCATCGCATCTCAGGAACTTTAAATGGTCACCATTTTGAGAACTGCAAAGGGAGTGTTGCAGAATTAAATGGAGATCATGGGAGACTGGGATGATCTGAGTGCCTGTTCCAATTGAAGAGGGTCAGGGGCCTTTAGGGAAAGAGACCAGCATACTGATAGGGCACTGTCCTCAGCACCAGGCACACCCCTGTGGGAGCTCTGGGAGATGGCTGGAGGGGGACCATTTCCTCACATTCAGCTTTACTGGTGATTTTAAATCTGTGGCTCAGCAGGAAGGGGCTTCTGAGTCACCCTCAGTGGCACATCTTCATCCTATGGATGGGCTCAGGTGTTTGGAAATACCCATGAATAACTCAGAGCCTTTTTGGGTCAGGTATAGGTCACCAATTTTGTGTTATACATGAGGAGAGGCTACAAATGGTTAAGATGAGGTTTCTAAAGAGCAATCCAGAAATGCTTCCAGCAACGGGCTCTGTCTGCTCTGAGGCTCTTCAACCAGGCATCTCCTCAGAGATCCCATATGCTTTGTCTCATGGCCTCCATGGCAATATTGTCACCTACACTGGAATCAATGAAGCAGCTCAGCAGATATTTATCTCTTACTTATTGTCTTTGGAGTAGATGGACACATCTGTTATATTTTGGCATATTGTGAATTTATATGCATATGTGTGTGTTTACATGTGCATAAACACACACATATGCATACTTATACCTGCACCTGTACACACATGGACACATGCACATGTGCACATGCACACAAATGGATGCACACACATGTTTGCTGATTTCGCCAGTTTGATTTCTTTGTGACAGTTCGTAATGCACAAAGGGACAAGCTGTCATGATTTAGCCAGGGCTTGTGTACATTCTCCAATAGCCATATGAACAGGGGGTGCACAACCACAGGGGTGGTCCCTGAACCAGCAAGATTCAGTGTGACTGACTGCATGCAGGCCCCTGAAGCTGCATGGGCATGGGCTTACACAGTCCTGACCCTCATGGAGGTCATGACCCAGAGTGATGGGCCTCTTGGGGGCTGGAGTGCCAGGCTTGGATGTGGTCCTGCATCATGCAGCTTCAGGGAGCCCACCTCAGTGTCCTGGGCTGCCCTCCTGTCTGTATACCCCTGCCTGGCCCCTGTGCTTGCTCAGTCTAACAAATTCCCTGCCTTCAGGACCTCCATGCCCCCTCTGCCAAGAGTCTTTGCAGCTACTCATTTGCCCATTCACTCCAGGGCCCATGATCTCCAAAAGGATCTTATCTGAAACTAGAAAAGCCTTCAGACTCTACACAACATTTCTAAATCACACTTCAAGGAAAAGTAAACAGGGGTTTGAGACAAGGGGTGGCTGATGTGGACCTTTCTTTCTAGGGTGACCCTGGACCTTCTGGCCCCCCAGGACCTCCGGGAGAAGATGGAGACAGGGTATGTATTCTGTGATATCTCTCTCCTTGTGTCTGCCTGCCCTCACTCCATGATTTGGGCAGAAAATTGAAGATAGAATCCACGTGCTGTGTGACTGGTCCCTGGCGTGCTAGGGTATGAGCTGGGAAGACAAGGATCTGAGTGTGCAGGTGGCCTGGTGGTTAGCACGGGCTGCCCAGGACTTAGAGATAAAAGCAAATCACCAGTGTACACCATTTATTTTATTGTTGCTTCAGCTGTCACCGTTCAGAAAGACATGGCCCATCGCAGGAGACAGGTGCCACATCGTGCCAGAAGGGAGGAGGGGATACAGGGGAGCCCCTGAACTCCACAGTGGCACAGCTCATCTCCCCTGAGGTGGCCAGAGTTGGGGCCAGTTGACCTAGAGGGAAGGGTAGGGGGAGGCATGTAGGAAGTAACTATTGGCTGGCTTGGAGAGGGGTGGGCCAGTTACTGGGAATGTGTGACTGGAAGGAGGATGCTGAAGCTGTTGTCCCATGAGGGGCTGGAGTCAGGCATCCCAGAGCTTGCATATTGCCATGTGTGGCTCCTTAGGGGCTGAGGCTAAACATTTTCATTAGACCAAAACACAGTTCTACTGTGGCATAGAATGCACCTGACTGTGGGGTTTTAAGCCCCTCTTTTCTCCTAGCCCCCACTGCCCAAGTCACTCAGACAGTTTTTAGGAGGACTTTAAGGATATTTAGTTTAAGAAGCTGCAGTCAATGAAAACGAGGAGCAGGTGGGCATCAGAAGACAGCCTCCAGCAGTGCTGCTGCCATCAATAGCTTTTTGTTTGACATTGTCATCAACACTGACTTGCTCTCCCATCTGGGCCTCAGCATATCACCTGTGATATGAGGAAGCAGAGAGGCTCCTCTAGATGTCCCTGCGAATTCTATGCTTCTCAAGTCAGCAGAGGTGTGTGTGCTTATGTGCATGTGTGTGTATACATGTATGCATGTGTATATGCATGCATGTGCCTAAGTGCATACAAATGTGTGCATGTGTGCTGTGTGCATCTTTGAGTGTGTACACGTGTATGAGCACATGTCTGTGCATGCACATGTGAGTATACATGTGTGTGCATGCATGTGTGGGGGTGCGTGTGTCCAGACGTGCGAATGTGTGTGAGCACACATATGTGTATGCATGTGTTGTGTCTTTGTCTGTATACTATATGTGTACCAGTGTGTGCACACATGAGTGTGTACATGTGTGTGTACATGAGTGTTTATTGTGGGAATGTGCATGTGCTCCTGTATATGTGTGTGCATGCACACATGTGCATGAGTGTATGAGTGTGTGTGTGTGTGTGTGTGGTGACAGGAGGAGGGGAGCACAGTGCACTGGTGGAGAACAGTGGAGTGTGATGACATCTCCTGCCAGTGAGCCTGTCAAGTGCAGAACATGCCCCTCCACCAGAGGAAAGATGTGGCCTGGTTTGCTTTGGTGGGGCCTGTTTCAGACCCTGGTGGAGACCTCTGGCTCCCAGGGGTTGGCCCAGGGATCTCTTGGTCACCTGCAGCATACACACTAGCAGGGTTGCTGGCATAAGCACCTTCCAGGCTGTTCTGGGTGGCACAGGGACCAGAATGCCTGGCATATGAGGATGCAGCCCCAGCCTACTGAGCAGCTTGTATAGCTTGTTCCTACAGCCACCTCTTCTTTCCCCACAGGGTGATGATGGAGAAGTTGGGCCCCGCGGGCTTCCTGGGGAACCTGTAAGTCTGCCAGCCCTGCTGAGTGGAACTCTGGGCCATGTCACTAGGGATGGCTCCTTGGGGGTTGCCTTGGAGTGCAGTCTAGAATTGAATGGAGCAGAGATTAAAACAGTGGCCTGGCCTGGAGAACAGAGACAGACACAGAAGTTTTCCTGGGAAAGAAGGAATGGGCATGTCAGGAAGTGGGCAGGTGCTCTCAGGAGTAGATCCTGGGGCTGCTAGTGAGGAAGCCTAGGCCCTCCAGGGGATGTGGTTGAGTCTGTAGGCCACAACCTGTGGAAGTCTCCAGGCTACATCATATGGGATCCAGGCTGCATCATGGGCTGAATCTGTGAGTTAGCACCAGTTGGGACAGCCACACCTTCAGAAGCAGAGCCTCAGCAGCCCACCTTTGACCCAGCAAAGGAAAGCTGGTTCCCCTTAAATACACACATTTTTAGAGCCAAAGAAAATGTCCTCAGCGACAAAAGATGTTAATCATTCTCACCTGCTGTTGCTTTTCACACGCCCCTTCCTCGGCCTCCCTGTCAGCACGGGTGGCCGCTGCTGTGGACTGATGAGCGGGTGTTGAGTGCAGGCGGGCTCATCCGGATTGAATTCTGCCCTCGTGTCTGCTTCACTGCTAAGGCAGATTCATCAAGCTCACTCTTACCACATGTCTCAGCAGTACCTTCTGCAGCTATTAACTTCTAAAAACATTTATATGATTTGGTATTAGAAAAATGAAGGTAACATCTCAGTGGCAGTGAACGTGGACAGGAATTAAAGGCATTGTCCAAGGGGGCCTTGGACACAGGCTCAGTAGCTCCCTGGCAGGCAAGTAGGTGGGGAGATTCAGGGTTGGTCCCTTTTGGGGGGCCAGTGACAACTGCTGGCACACCTCGGGGCTATGATCCCTTTGCACACACACATGTTGTCATACATGCATGCTGCCCTCTGCCCGGGGAGGAAGTGACTCAGCTGGGTCTGAGGTGGCCACCCTAGAAAACTCAGAACTTCATGCTGTTCTCGGACACCCAGTCAGGCTGCCCCTGCTGCGACCTAGTTTTGCCCACTCTTTCCCCTGGCACTCTCTGACTCTCTTATATTACTGCAAGAGAGATGCTCGAGCTGGTACAGGAGGTCACACAAAAGCACCCTGTGCAGTGGGACACAGTTGTGTAGCCTGGCTCTGGGAAGGCCCTAGCAGACCGAACAGAGCCTACCAACCTTAAAGCCCCTCTCTCTCCTTGAGAACACCCCTTCCTTCCCCTCCGAGCCCCCCATTTCCAGGTACCTCCTGTATTCTGGTTCCCAGAGCAGAATGGGGAGGTGGGGGGAGTGGTCTGTAGACATGCAGGTCAAGGAGGAAGCTTGGGCTCCTGACCCACAGCCAAAGCTCCCTCCAGGAGTGGGGCTGAGGACCAAAGGTTTTGTCCAGAGAACGGAAGGTGGGATGAGCTCCCTGGCTGTGTTTGACTCTTCCTTGCTCTTCTCTCCCACAGGGCCCTCGAGGTCTGCTTGGGCCAAAGGGGCCCCCCGGCCCTCCTGGGCCCCCGGTAAGTCCTGAGATCAGCTACTAAGCTAGTGGCCCACTTGGGCCTTCGGGCTCTTCATCAGAGCTAACTTCGTGTACACCTGCCTTGCCCATGTGGGTTGTTAGTAGGCTGCTGAGCCCACAGCAAAACAAACAGCAGCAATGGGGTTTGCAGACCCCAGACAAGCTGCTCCCACAGCCTCCCCTCTCCCAGCTGTGACCCTTCCCAGCACACAGTATGCATTGTTGCTGTTGTACACACTGACTCCACTAGTGTTTTCTCCCTGTGTAAGAGAACTCCCAGTGGCTCTAGGGGGCTCTGGTAGGTTGCAGCCCAGACCTGATGAGGCTGGAATCTGCCCCTCCAGGCTTCCTAGTCCTCTGCCCTCCTTTCACCAAACTTAAGACCTGCCTGGGTGATGTTCAAGGGCTGAGTAGCTGGTCAATCCATAGCTGAGGACCCTGTGAGCTGCCAAGTAGGGTCAGATTTAAGATCCAGCCTGCCTTCCCCCTTTACAAAGGGGAGCCTATCATCTGGTATGCTTTGGGTAGCATTCACACCAGGGGAGGGGCGTCCTTCTGAGCCTTGTGGGCTCTTCTGCATTCAATCTCTTTCCTCCTAATCACCCCAGGGTGTGACAGGCATGGACGGCCAGCCTGGCCCAAAAGGAAATGTGGTAAGTATCAGGGTACTGCAGTACAGAGTCCCAGTGCATGCTTCCTGGGAATGCTCCAGACATTGGGGTCCCATTACTTTCAGAACTAGATGGGAGAGAAGAGGAGGCCACAGTGCACACCCTTTAATGGAAGAATGCCTTGTATCAAAAGCCCAGTGTCTGATGCTGGCACCATTGCAAGCCAGGCCCAGCTGGTGCACATGTGGGGGATGGGGTGATCAATTCCTGGTGTCCAGCAAGCTGGTGGTGCACTGTGCTGTGAAATGCCCCCAAGGGAAGGCCCATGGGCACTATGTCTACTTCAAAGGCCTTTGAGAGACTATTTTTGGGTCCCAGGGTGGGGCAAATGGTTAACATTCTGGGCTGCTAATCAGAACGTTGGTGGTTTGAGAGGCCACCCAGAGGCCTCTCAAAAGATAGGCCTGGCTATCTGCCTCTGAAAGCCTTGAAAATACTATGGAGCAGTTCTGCTCTGTGCACCCGGGGTCTTCGTGAGTCGGAATCGACTTGACGGCACCTGATTTTTAACTGGTGGGAGACTTGAGCATGACAGGACAATCTGGAACATTTCTGCCCAAATCAAACACTTTTGGGTAGTTCCTTTCATGGCCATCGGGGGCACATTTGCACAAATAAACTAGTGCTTCTCGTAAGGGGTCATTGTCCAGGGCTTGGAGGTCCCGAGTTCTAGTTGGGTCTCTGGATTGGGCCCTGCCTCCCTCATCCTATTTGGGCTGTTGGGGAGCATCTGGTGCTGTTTGGGACAGTTAGGAGCAGATTGAGAGGACAGATGGTCAGGACTCTGGGAAGAGTCCCAGCCAAGGGTGGCCTCAGCCAGTGGGCCCTCCCCTTCCTGCAGAGCCCCTTGCAGCACCTTTGCTTTTGTTTCCTACAGGGTCCCCAGGGAGAACCTGGCCCCCCAGGCCAGCAGGGTAATCCAGGTGCCCAGGTAAGCAAGCCTATGGGGCAAGCTTGTTTGGCAGGTGCAGGAGGGAGGTGCAGGTGTTCAGTGCAGCCCCTGCCCTCTGTTGCTGCGTAGCCCGAGGGCAGCTGCAGCAGGAAGTGGCCAGGGCTCGGTGGGGCCCTGCAGGGCTGGAGAGATGATGGGCAGGCGGAGGGAGGGAGCTCTGCCTCATTTGTGCCCTGACCTCTCCACCTGCTCTTCCCCTGCAGGGTCTTCCTGGCCCCCAGGGTGCGATCGGACCTCCAGGAGAAAAGGTATGGGGCCTGAGCAGACAAGGGAGGGGGGTGGCTGGCATAGTGTCCCAGCTGCTCACCCACCTGTGCCTTGCGTCCACCTGAGGTGCAGTGGCTGTGTCCCTTTTCTAGATGAGCTGAACAATGAGCTGTCTCCCTCGTATTTATCCTTCTATCCATTCACTCATTCGCTCTTCCTCTATGTGTGTCTGAGCTTGTCAGATTTAGCCAAAAACAAAAATTGCCTTTGAATTTGAGCTGTTTATTGGAATTCAAATTTAACTGTCTTCTGTGTGTCTGTGTTCTCTTGTCTGTTTGTGTATGTGTGTGTATGCCTGTGTTCTCTGTGTGTGTTCTGTGTGTTTACATGTTGTGTGTGTGTCTTGTGGGTGTATCTGTGTTTGTGTTCTGTGTGTCTTGTGTGTATTCTTGTGCATGTTCTGTTGTGTGTTCTATATGTGTGCCTGTATGTCTGTGTTCTGTGTGTGCCTGTGTATTCTGTCTATATGTCTGTGTATTCTGTGTATTTGTCTCTGTGTTATGTGTATGTTTCTTTGTGTTCTGCATAGGTGTTCTGTGTGTCTGTCTGTGTGTTCTGTGTGTCTCTGTGTGGATTCTATGTGTGTGTTCTATGTGTGTGTCTCTGTTCTGAGTATATATGTTGTCTGTGTGTTTCTGAATCTGGCAGTCCTAGCTGTGTCTTCAGCACCTGCACTGTGTCCCAGGCCTGGGGAGTGGCAGGCCCCTCCATAGCCATGGTCTACCCTGGGCAATAAACTGTTTTATTTAAGTCACAGCACAGACATCTCAATACTTCAGACCCCCTGTGGGCTTGTGTAAACACAGATTCAGGGCCCACCTCTGAGTTTCTGACTTGGCAGGTAAAGGGTAGGGCCTGGGAACATGCATTCTGAGAATTCCCCTGGGGATGAGGATGGGTCTGATGCTGGTCCTTTGGTGACCACACTTTAGGAACCATTGCCTCAGGAACCATGAATGCCTGGAAGCGCGTTCACACCTGGATTGCCGGCTCTGCCCCGCAAGGCGAGGTTTAACTGAACAGAACCAAGGAGGCTTGGTCTTGGGGGAGACTGGCCAACCTAGGCAGGGGGGCTGCTGAGGGGCAGAGGAGGCTAGTCATCCTGTAGGTGCTCCTGGGGGCACTGACACTTGAACCGGAGTGTGTCGAGTAGTGCATTGTACTTGGTGGATGACTTTGCCCCAGGTGCAAAGCATGAAGGCCTGTAACAGTGGAAGTAAAGGTTTCTTCTCAGGGTGCTACAGGCACTGAAGGCTTTGCCAGAAGGAACACAGAGCCCTGGGCCAACCTTTCAACCAGTGTCCTTGGGAACAGGCAGAAAGATGGGGAAGAGAACCCCCAGGTGTGTCCTCACAGAGTCTGTGTTTGTTTTAGGGCCCCTTGGGTAAACCAGGGCTCCCAGGGATGCCTGGTGCTGATGGACCCCCGGTGAGTACCTCTGCTTACCTTACCCAGCCCTCCTCACCCTGTGCTTGCCCCGGGGATAGGGGCTAAAAATTCAGGTAGAAGGCTGCTTCCCCTTCCTTGCTTCATGTGAGGAGATGATGGGTCTCATTTATCCTCATACAGCTCTGTTGATGAACACGAGAGCTTGATTACTTGGAATTATGGTTGGGGCATGGTTTTTGTAACATGTTTCCATCAACCGGTGATGATCATCTTAGCTGTCATGTTAGTCATCTCAGAGTGTGTAGTTCCCAGAGCTGAATCTTGCAGCTTTAACTATTGAGGGCATTGCTGGGCTCCAAGATGTGGAGTGTATCATCACCAGTATTTGAAGAGAAGAGATAGGGTGTGGGGTGTGTATTTTTGGTCTTCATGTACAAGGTGGGAGGTGATCAGCAAATGCTTTCACAGTGTGTGAATGTGCATCTGTGGAGCCAAATCAGAAACTGCCTAGAAATAGCAGGTTAGTGACAAATCCAATCTGTAGCAGGGTGTGTGCCCATTAGGAGTAGGGAGTGTGTGTGAACTGTCTGCAACCACCAACCTCTCATAGGCTGCTTCTGGGTATGTCTTAGAGTATTCAGAGGATGCTGAACAGAGACCCTATGTCAGAAAACAAGGGGAGTAAGACACAGCACATCTGTTTGGTTTAACAATTCCGTTAAAAAGACCCCACAAGGAAGTTAACTGTGCTTATAGTTAATGGTGATGGTTGGACCCATGCCTGCCTATTTCTGTCTCAACGGCCAAGGATCAGTTGGCCTGTGGCTCTCAGGTCACATGATACCATCTCTTCCTGTGATCCAGCACATGGTCATAGCCATGTCCACATGCACCAAGCACGTGGGAGCTCCCAGCCACCTGGCTGTGTGGGAGCCTGGTGCTCAGTGATGAATGTTTTGAGATGTGTTGTTTATAGTTTTAAATTTATATTTATATGTAATTGCATGTTCTAATTATGAAACAGTACATCTTGTTTTAGAAAATTAGGAAAATAAAATGAAAACCACCCCTGATCTCATCTCTGAGATTAGCCACTGGTGACAGGTAGAGGTATATCCTTCCAGACATTTTTTCTCTTTGTATCCTGCAGCACTTAATGGGATGGGACCTTAAAGGGAGCCTGGGGCTGGAGGGAGGAGACCCTAGTGGGTATGGGACAGACCACTTTCATGACTATAGGTGTCCCTTGAGCTCCACAACTGACCTTATCCCTTCAGCCCTGAGGTCTCTGAAAAATTCTGTATTCAAGATAACCTCTCTGTCCCCAAGACCAGTTGGGTCCCTGCATAGACTAAACCTCTCCCCACCCTCCCTCCACCCCCGGACATTTAAACTTTAAAATACAGGAGTTCATTGGATGCTATTGGAATGTGGTTGCACTGGTTCATTGATGCCGGTGTTAGGTACCGTTGAGTCAATTCCAACTCATAGTTACCCTGTATGTACAACAGAGCAAAATACCACTCAGTCCTGTACTATCCTCACAATTGTTGCTGTGTTTGAGCTCATGGTTGCAGCCCCTATGTGTGTCCATCTCATTGAGGGTCTTCCCCCTTTTCACTGACTCTCTACTTCACCAAGTATGATATCCTGCTCCAGAGACGGGTCCCTCCTGATAACATGTCCAAAGTACCTGACATGTAGTACTCTCCATCCCGTGTATTCTGGCTGTACTTCTTCTAAGACAGACTTGGTCATTCTTCTGGCAGTCCATGGTATATTCAACATTTCTTCACCAACACCATAATTCAAAGGCATTAATTCTTCTTTAATCTTTCTAATTCATTGCCCACATGTATAAGAGATGATTGGAAATATCATTGCTTGGATCAGGCACAACTTAGTCCCAGAGTAATTTTAAACTTTTAATACTATAAAGAAGTCTTTTACAGCAGATTTGCCCAATGTAATCCATTGTTTGCTTTCTTGATGGCTGCTTCCTTGGGTCTCCATTGACCTTGAACAAAGCAGGGGGAGATCAACACTCTGTGCCCAGAGACACAGATCCAATGGTCTTATGCAAATTTGGAAGGAAAAGAATACTCAAAAACATTCTTGCTTCAAAGGCAACCCAAAAACAAAAAAACAGCTGCTGTTGAGTCAATGCCGACTCACAGCAACCCCAGGTATGTCAGAATAGGACTGTGCTCCACAGCATTTTCGATGGGTGATTTTTTTGGAAGTAGAATGCCACGCCTTTCTTCCCAGGTGCCTCTGGGTAGACTTGAACCTTCAACCATTGGGTGAGCAATTGAGCACATTGACTGTCTGTACCTTCCAGGGCCTCCATATAGGCAACACATTGTTGAGAAACCTGAAGAGACATTTTTTTTGTTTTTGTTTTTTCTTGGTTTGGTTTCAGTTTTGGCCTTAGTTAAAGGACTGAAGGGAGGAGGGGGAGGGAGGGAGGGAAGAAAGGAAGAGAAGGAGGAAAGGAGGAAGGGAGAAAGGGGATTTAAAATTCTTCTAGTAGTATGAGGTGTTTCCAAGCACACTCAGTGCACTTAAATGCATTTTTAAATATTTCCTGAGAGCCCACAGAAGGAAAATGGTTAAATGAATCATAGCTCAATGGAATATTATGGAGCTAGTAAAAATTGAATTTCAAGGAGTATCTAGTGACATGAGAAAGTGCTCACAGTAAAATATTAAATTACAATATATCATATGATGCTGGTTTTGCATTGACTGTATGCAAAGAAAATAGATTAGAAGGACTGTGTCACAAATTAGCTGTGGTTGCCTCTGAGTGGTGGGGTTATGAAGGATTTTAATTTTCTTTTCCCCTTGCCTAATGAGCATATATTACTTTTTTAGTCAGAAAAAATCAAATACAAATAATTTAAGCTTTATTATTTTTTCCATTATAAAAGTAATGTTCATTATAGAATATTGGAAAATGCAAACAAGTAGAAAGAAAGAGGAAAATGGTCTAGCTTTTTATTGCAGAAAAATCCATCACACTTCTCATTTTGGTATATTTCCTTTTCGTCTTTTTCTGTTCAAAATTTTTAATAAGAGAGTTTTGTCTTTTTTTTTTTTTTCCTCACAATCTTACTGTCATTTTATAAATTCAACTTAGAATATATCTAAGGAAATGTGGGAGTCCCTGGTAGTATAAACGGTTGACATGCTGGGCTGCTAACTGAAAGGTTAGCAATTTGAGCCCACTCAGAGGTGCCATGAAAGAATAGCCTGGCTATCAACTTCCAGAAACTCAGCCAGTGAAATTGTGTGGAGCGCAGCTCTACTCTGACGTACATGGAGGCGCCATTGGTTGTAATTGACTCGAGGGCAACTGGTTAAAGAAGTATAGCCTCAATTCAAATAATAGTAATAATACTTATTGCAAACATCTAGTCATTCACTGTGTGTGGATACTTCTCAGTGCTTTATAAACATCCTTGTTTTAATCTCCTGGGAAGCTCTGTGGTCAGGTATATTGTAATGCCCAACACATCAATGAAGAAGCTACCATGTGGAGAGGTTAGCTGTTCCCTGAGTGACCAGATGTTGGGTCTGCCCTCAGGTGGGAGACTCCAAAGCTCCACAGACCACCCCCACCCTGGTTCCTATAATAAAGGCCCACCAAGACCCTGGAATTAGCAGAAAGGGCAGGACTCTACTCTCCTCCCAGCTACTCCCAAGCTGGGGTCCAGCCATGCCATGGGAGCCCATGCCTCTCCTGCTATGACTTCCTAAGGGTGGGAGCAGTCTGGGGCCTACAGGTGCCTGGATTTCCTCAAAGGCTGGAGCCTCCCAGGGTCCCCATGCCCCCAGGTTCCCTATGGGTGTTACCCTGGCAAAAGAACACATGCGCCCTCTGATGCCCTTTGCCAGAGTGATCAGCTCTTTCAAAGGCATCAACCCCAGTTGTGCAACTGACAAGGACAAGAAAGAAGATGTTAAACCATTTGTTCAGAGAGGAATCTTGGGTCTAGTAGCATGGCCTTAAATTGGTCTATGGGTGGTCAAAGGAGATGTTTAGGACTTGGGGGATGCCTAAACTGTGAGAGTATCCAGTCCACCCTTTATTTTATACATGAAGAAGTAGAGGCTTAGAGCAGGCAGTGACTCCTCTGAGGTCACACAGTGGGTAGGTGTAGCTGAAGTGGGCCCTGCCCCCAGCATCCCCACCACTCCACAGCTTCCTCTTCTTACGGGACATCGTGGGGATGGAACTATATTTGCAGACAATAAGGAGCATGCTCTCTGAATTTATCCTCTGAATTTGGCCCCCTGTGTGAACCCAAAGACATTACATCCTTGCTACCAGCCTTGGAGAAAGTCAGAGAAACACTTCTTCCTATGGAAGGAAAGGACCTGGGCCCAGGTGGACAGAGATGGTGACCAAGGGGATGTGACCATTTCTGCTGACCTTAGCATTGTGTCTGTCATGTGAAGTATAGGTCCCTGGAGCTCCCAACTCCCCTCTGAACTTGTGATTCCCCCTGGGGGCTTAAGGCACCCACATGGAGACCAGTTTGCACACAGGGACCCTTCACAAGTGACAGGACTCTACCTCTACCTGGTCCTGCCTTTCTTGGTGTTTCTCCTACAATCAACAACTCCACATTTCTGCTGCTCCAGAAATCCTGGTATCTGGCTCTCAGATCCGGGTCTCATCCCTGGTCTTGCCGGAACTTGCTCAGCTGGATCATCTTGAGAAAGGCTGTGGTGTCCTTCTATCTTCTGTGGAGTCCCTGCCACGTGGGGGCCACATGGACAGAGCCAGGACTTGTCCATGTGTGCTGGTTTCAAAGTCTGTTTCCCTCCAGAGTGAGGCTGTGGTTCTTGTCCCCATTTTACAGATGAGGTAGCTAGGACTTGAGGCTATACAACTAGCTCAGGGCCATACAGTAGTGAGTGACCAAGCTGGATTTGGCTCTCCTTGATGTCAAGTCCAGCTCCTGTTCCTGTGGCGAGGGAGGGACGAGAAGGGATTTTGGCTGTCCGTATCCCTGAAGAGGAAGCTGAATGTGCAGGAGGCTGGTTTTGGAAGTGGCAGCTGACTAATGGAGCCATCTCTCTTGTAACAGGGGCACCCTGGTAAAGAAGGCCCCCCAGGAGAGAAAGGAGCACAGGTAGGTACTCACTGCTTCCCCTGCTCCCCTTCAGCAGAGAGCAGGCCCGGAGTTCTCGGCTTCACCCCTGCTCTGGGCCAACCCAGTGAGTCAAGGACAGCTCTAGCCCTTCCTCAGGTGCCTGACCTTGAGAACCCTCCCTTGGGGGACGGACCCTGGGAGCCCTCCCTCTCTGTGGTCACCTGGGCCTAGACCTGCCCTGTATTCCTGGTTAGCACAGGTGATGGATGCAGATAGAGTCAGCATCTGCAGAGCCCAGCACTCAGCTCAACCTTGATTGTGACCCAACTGATGATCTTGTGGTTCCGGAATGGAAGGTAGAAGAGGTGGCAGAATGCTGATGCAGGCAGGGTTTGGAATTGGGAGATGCTGGATGGAAGAGGAGCTAGGGCAGGGTCTGATCAGTCCAGGGACAGGAACATCCTGCAAGCACCTTTGTGATCTCTCTGCTGCTAGCATAAAGGGAATATGCGGATGTGTGTGTGTGTGGGGTAAACCACAAGCTGTTGACCTGAGATGGTGCTAATGGTCTTTTCCCTCTGGTTTTAGGGTCCACCTGGCCCACAGGGTCCGATTGGCTATCCAGGCCCTCGAGGTGTCAAGGTGAGAATCTACCTGGAAGTCATGATTGGGTCTACAGTGAAGGGCTTGGTGGTTTTAGGGATCCCTTCAGGGATTAATCCTCCCTTAAGCCCAAACTGGGTGGCCCTGGCCTTCTGGTCATGTGAGTTCAGTGACTGGGCCCTGGGACAGTGGAACTGAGCTGTAGACTTGAGTATGACTGGCTCACTGCAGAGAATACTTTCAAGATGAGCTGTAGCAAAACATCGGTGGACAGTGGCTGCCTGTCATCAGGGCAGCATCCTTAGCCTCCTGCCTCTTCCACTATTGCCTGGTATCTTAATTTGGTAAGGCTGCTATGAGGCTAATACTATAAGAAGAGAATGTGTTTCCTCACGGTTCTGGAGGCCAGAGACTAAATTCAGGATGCCGGTTCCACCGGAAGGCTCTCTTTGTCGACTCTGGTGGAAGGTCCTTGTCCCAGCTCTGTAGCTCTGGCGTCCTTCAGATCCCTATTTATCCACCTCCATGTAGCATCTGTCTTCTCATTTGTGCTTGAAGAGGCTGAAGACACACCCATGAAGGCATGGGTAGGGCCTCAGGAACCTAACAAAGAGAACTCTCCTCCCAAATGGGATTGCATCCATGGAGACAGGGGTCAGATCCCAACAAGGGTTTTCGGGGGACACAGTTCTACCCATAGCACTCTGTATCCACTCCCTGATGCTGACTGCAGCCTGTTGCTGACTCAGATCTGGGACGGGGCAAGGGCTAGGGCCTCTTGCCAGTCCTTCTGGGCTATTTTCACATTCACGGAGTGAGAAGACTATGTCTCTGCCAATGGCATCCAGGCCGACAAGAGCTGTTGTTACATGGCTTTTGTAACAACAGCCTTCTCTGGGCTTGATTCCCCCATGTGAGTTCATAGGAGATGTCTGCCTACTCACAATTGTGTTTCTTCTCTTCTCAAGTCTCTGGGAAGCTTGTTAATGGGCCCAGAGCTCCAGAGCAATATCCCAAACACAGGCCTGGCTGTTTTATCCACACTAACCATGTTTGCTTTGAACTGTGTGATTCAATCTCATGGTGTACTGCCCCCTAGTCATGCCTAGGCACATTTATGTGCAGAGAGTTGTGCCCCAGGAAAGCAGCCCTGATTGCGTACTGGCTAAGCAATCGGTTGCTAACTGAAAGGTCAGCGATTTGAACCCACAAGTTGTTCCATAGGAGAAAAATGTGGCAGTTTGCTTCTGTAAAGATTTATGAAGAGCCTATGGGGCAGTTCTTCTCTGTTCTACAGGGTTGCTATGAGTCAAAACCAACTCGAAGGCAGTGAAATGCAGGAGGGGGGCATTGTTCTCCAAACGTACTGGCATTGTCATGCCTGAAAGCTCCAGACTCCCATCCATAGAAAAGGAAAGGTGCATCTTGCCTTCCAAGTGGTTTCAGCTTGATTAAGAAAATGTAGTTCATTTGAGCAATTTGTATGAACACACTGATAAATCCCTGCCCTGATCCATCAAGTTCACAGTGCTATGTATTTTCCAAGAATTTCTATCACTGCATTCCAGGTGTGTGCCAGCCTGTGGTGTGGCTGTGGCCATCCCAGGTGTGTGCTGGCCCGCACTGTGGCCATGGGAGCCCTGATCTTTCAGGAACTTGCTCAGAATCACACTAGAAATCAACACACAGTCAGGACTCACACCCAGATGATGCTAGTTCCTAATCTGTTGCCCATCCTTGACACCCTGAGGGCCCTGACTTTCAAGTCCTAGGAATCAAGATGACCCAAGTGTGAGAGCCATGGAAGAGAGACTTCCCAGCAGCTAGGAGCCTTGGGTGGGCAGCTTTCTCTTTGAAGCATGCTTTTTGCAGCACGCTTAGTACATTTCATAAGAGCGATAATTTCATAGAAATGCTGATTATGTCAGCTCTGTGCATGTTTGTTTTACAAATTCTTGCTGCCTAGTGAAAGCCTTTGCCAGCTCCCGTACATGGCTAATTGCATAATGCTGCTTCTGTGAGCTAAAAAGGTGTTTGCTTTAAATGTTTATGAGGAATGCTCTTATCTTGTCTATCTGATTAAAATTCATTCATGACATGAGCAATCCAGTCAGACTTGGAAGCAGTGGGTAGAAGGAAACCAAGATCTAAAGTTATTTTCATTGGAGAAATAGATCCTCATGTTTCTGTGCATTTGAGAGAGGAAGTGGCATCCATAGCCTAATCAGTGGTGGCGAAAGTGGGATTGATGGGCAGCTTATTGCCATATGGAAAGGCAGCCCTTGGTAAGGGGAAAGCTGGTTGTTCTCCACCAATGTCCTGCCTTCTTCCAGAGAAAGGGGCCCCTGGGTCTTTCTTGGACTCACTGAACAGTTTAAGCTGCTTCTATACCCTTCTATTTCTTGGCCCCTTTATGACAGGCATTGGTTTGGGCTTAACTGTCAGCAAAATGAAACCCATTCTCATTAGCCTGCAAGCACTGGGTGGGCTGGCAAAGAGCCCAAACGTGAATTTGCACTGATGCCCTGGATGCACCCCTGCCCTCTCTGGGCTCCTGATTTCCCTACTAGGCCATTCTGAATCTCCCTTTCCCTTTTCTCCAATGCTGGCCACACCAGGGGCTTGATCAGCAGTCTAGTCAGTGGTTCTGAACCAGGCTGATTCTGTCTGCCTCCCCTGGGAGACATTTGGCCATGTCTGGGGACCTTTTTCATTGTTGTAACTGAGGGTGCTACTGGCATCTCCTGGGTGGAGATGTTGCTTGGTGTCCTGCAGTGCACAAACAGTCCCATCACAAGGAACTTCCAGATGTCAGTAGTGCCAAGGCTGAGAATCTGGCCTGTTTGGATGCAGCACATTCATTTGTCTGCTCACCCCTACTCTGGCTCTGGCAAGATTGAAGCCTCAAGCCTAAGAAGAATCCAAGGGAGTCTCTGGTCTTGCCCTCTCCCTCTTGTTTTCAGAAGGGCATGGAGAGGGGAAGGACGCTCCCAAACACACATAGCAAGATGAGGAAACTGTGCCTGCCTGCCCTTCCTGTGATGGGGGTCTCAATTCTGTGGAAGAGGACCCACATAGACCTGCGCCTCCTGGTTAATGGTTAACACCAGGGAGAGGGAGATGGACCCGGTTTCCACTTCCATTCGAGATCACACATTATTTAGTGGGTCAGATCATGGATCTGGATGTCATATCGGAATCTCAGTCATATTCTTGGTCACACCTGCTTTTCCCTGTGAATTTCAGAGGAAATAAATGGAATATGGGATCACAATTGAGTTTAGCAAGTGTGGAGGGGACTCAAAAACCCCAAAACCAAACCCACTGCTGCTGAGTCAATTCCAACCCTATAGGGTGGATAACAACCCTACAGGGCAGGGTGGAACTGCTCCAGAGTGTTTCCATGGCTGTCGATCTTTACAGAAGCAAAGTGCAAACCAGACCCACTGCCTTCGAGTCAATTCAGACTCACAGTGCCCTTAAAGGACAGAATAGGACTGCCTCATTGGGTTTCCAGAGCTGTAAATCTTTATAGAAGCAGGCTGCCTCTTTCTTCCATGGAGCTGCTGATGGGTTTGAACCATCAACCTTTTGGTTAGCAGCTGAATAGTTTAATCACTGAACCACCAGAGGTCCCTGGAGGGGTCTCAGATCACCTAAAGAACATGCACCTAAGCACATAGGACTCCATCCTTTGGGTTCTGAACTCTTGTTCTGTATACATGCCTTCTGATGGTGGAGATAGTTGGTGTGCTCTGGGTCCTCCAGTTCCATGTCACCTGGGCAGCCCCTCCAGTTCTGCTTACCTTTGGAACATCTAAATAGGACCACTTGGAAGGAAAAGAAAAGCTAGGAAAAGAAAAGCACTAGCCTAGCAGTCAAGCACTTGAGTACTAGCTGAAAGGATGGTGGTTCAAAACCGCCTTGGAAGAAAGGCCTGAAGATCTGCTTCCTAAATGACACAGCCTTGAAAACTGTATGGAGCACTTCTCCTCTGCACACATGGGATTGCTGTGAATCAGAATAAACTGGACGGCAACTAATAATCACCACATGCAGCAGCCAGCCCATCTGAGTCAGTTTTCTTCTTCATGGATTCCTCTGGCTAACACATATTTTTAAGCCATTGATAACAACAACACAACTGTATTCAGGGAAGCCTTGGTGGTGCAATAGTTAAACCCATGGCTACTAACTGAAAGGTTAGCAGTTCAAACCCACCAGCTGTAAAGATGACAGCCTTGGAAACCCTTTGGGGCAGTTCTACTCTGTTGTATGCAGTGTAGCAGTGCACTGCCGTGGAGTCAGATCCGACTCATAGTGACCCCTCCTTGGGTTTCCAAGGTGGTATCACTATGGAAGTAGAATGCATGCCCAACCTCCCTTCTGAGGAGTGGCTGGTGGGTTTGAACCACCAGCCTTCTGGTTAGCAGTAAAATGCCTCGGGCACTTCGCCACCAGAGCTCCTTCTAGCCATACATAGTCCTCCGTTTTGTGATGTATTATAAATCGTAGCCTGTTTAGGGTGGGATGTATCTTGAGTCCTGCCTTGCTTGAGAGTGTGAGACTTAAGTCACCACCCTTAGTTTCCTTGAGGGTATATATGTGAAGGGAGCTCTGGTAGCATAGTGCCTAAGGCACTTGACTGCTAACCAGGAGGTTGGCGGTTCAAACCCACCAGCCACTCCTTGGAAGGAAGATGGGGCAATCTACTTCCATAGTGTTACTGCCTTGGAAACCCAAGGAGGAGTTGCTATTAGTCGGTCCGACTCGACGGCACATAACAACAACAATATATGTGAATATTCTGGCAAAGTTTGCTCTCTTTTGCTCTGGATCCTGCATTTGGTTTGTCAACATCTTTACCCCTGGACTTGAGACAGCAGGCAGTCATGTGACCTGCAAATTTGGAGAGACCTTGGTATCAGTACCTGCCCCTCCTGTTGTATAGGGTCTCTATGAGTCAGAACTGATTTGAAGGCAGTGGATTGATGGAGCTGAGTTTGATGACTGGGCCACTGTAGGGCACCTTCCAGCTTTGTTAGACTCTTCTGGGCTGTGTCCCTAACCTGGCCCATGGACATTTGCTTATGACATGTGATTCCTCTTTGTGTGGCATTCAGTGTCACTATATGAGCTCAGTTTGAAGTAGGCTATGGAGGGAGGCTCGCTTGGTGTCAGGCCTCCCTGCCTGGGCCTGAGATTTTTTCCACAGTTGCACCCACTATCTCCAGGGTGGTTCTTGGTTCTGGCTCCAGTTCCATGTAGAACCATGATCCAAACACCTACAGTGCTGAGCCGTATTAATATGTTTAATGCCAGGCTGAGTTAGCAAGGTCAGTTCTGAATCCACCTGCTGCCAGGTCCTTCCCTCCACCTGTGACTTTCCCTCCTGCCTCCGCTCTGAGCTCCAAAGCCAGTGCTGGGAACCCAGGTGTCACTCTGTCTCCCTTAGGGTGGTGGCCTGGGTGCCAAGAAGGGCAACACTGTGAGCATCAGGAGGGGACAGGTACTGATACCGAGGTTTCTCCTGGTGCCCCAGCTTGTGTGGTCAGGATCTCAGAGTGATTGCATACCCTCCCTGGCCTGGGCATCAAGAGATGCCTGGAAGCCAGTGCTGACAAAGCCTGAGGGCTTTGGAGTCACTGCTCCCTGATCAGACCACAGCTCTTCAGAATAGCTCTCCTGTCTTCACCCTTCCTAGCATTTCTTAGACTCCCACTCCACCCAGGCTCCCAGGAGGGAAAGGCTCAGAGCTACCACGCCTATAGAAAATTTTTGCCACAAGAGGGTGTCCGGTGGCCCTTGGTCCTCAGGAGGGGAGCCTGCTGGGGAGGACATACTTCCCTCAGGGGATCCCATGGGCAGGTAACCTGAGAAAGCTTTGGGCAGCCAAGGGCCAGTATCCATGGTGAAATGTCCCCTTGCTCAGAGGTGTGAGAGGCTAGAGTATCTCATTTCATTGCCCTGGGTGTGGTACAGATTCCAGGAGAGAGTCAAAGTGAAGTAGACCTGGCCCCTGCCCATAGATTCTTATTGCTGACTGGGAAGATGGAAGGACATGTCCTGAATTAATTATAGTAGTAGTAATTAGTAGTAATGTTAGTACTAATGATGGTAACACTAATGGAGTCCTTGGGTGGCATAAGTGGTTAAGCACTCAACTTCTAGCCAAAAGATTAGAGGTTCAAATGCGTCTAGAGGGGCATTGGAGGAAAGGCTTGGACATCTACTTTCAAAATGTCCCAGCCATTGAAAACCCTGTGGGGCACAGTTCTACTCTGATATACATGGGGTCACTATGAGTCAGAATTGACTCAACAGCAACTAATAACAATAACAGTAAGTATTGTTATATACGTGCATGCTTTGGAGATATTGAAGGTTCAGTTCCAGATCACTGCAATAAAGTGAATACTGCAATGGAGAGTCACACTGCAAAAAGGGTATGGGGGCGGCAGTGCCTGATCTCCTCTGACTTCATGAGGGCAAGGAGAATCAAGCTGGACATCAGTAGCATCAGCCCAAGGTGGATTCCTATGGGACGGAGGTCAGACATGCCACCACACTTCAACCTCTTTACCAGTTCTGACCCACAGCACCAATTCTGACCCATGGCATTCTCTAATTCATTGATAATCCATTGCAGTGGCCACACAGAACTCACAGAAAGTACTCATGATTATGGGGTTTATTATGGAGGTAACAGGTTACAATTCAGGATCAGAAGCAACTTAGGATATAGTTCTTTGATCAGGACAGCTTCTTTTAAGCCATGCCACAGGCACACTTCTCTCTGGCCTCGGTCTTTGCCCTGCTTGGGCCAGTGTTACAAAGCTCTTTTAGCTCTGCTGATAGGTACCCAGAGAGGAACGCCACTGGGCCAGCAAGCAGTCAGCTTTCTCACTCTGTGGGCCAGGAAGCCTACCACTCTGTCCGTTGTTGGTCTCGTGGTACTGCTGCATCTGCTGCTGCCTTTTCTCTGTCACTGCTTTTCACCATCTCTCACTGTCTCAGCAAAGTATTGCAGTTCTCTCACTCTCTGTCTCTGCCCCCTGGATTGAGGAGGTTCAGTGCAGGGATCTCGGGTCCAAGGATGTGCTCTACTCTGATTCTTTCTTTCTTTCTTTTTAAATACATTTTATTGAAATATAATTTATATACAGTGTGATTCTTCTTTCTTGATGGTAGTGAGATGCCCCTTTCCACCTCTGGGATGGCTCTTTAAGCCTAATAGGATGGCAAAACTGAGTAATCCCCACGTTAGGTTTCCATATACCTAATGTGCACAGTCCCACCTCCACAAGGGTGCCATGTACCTTATGTACATTATTATCAAGTTATACAATTCCTTTGCACAAAGACCTCACATTTGCATGTTGTTGTTGTTATGCACCGTCCAGTTGGACCCGACTAATAGTGACCCCTCCTTGGGTTTCCAAAGCAGTATCACTATGGAAGTAGATTGCCCCATCTTCCTTCCAAGTCACATTTGCATAGTCCCACCCAATCATCTGGTGGGAATCACAAACACCATGGCTAGAAGAGCCATATTAAACAATTTACTGCACCACACACAAATTTTTGGTTTCCCAGTGCATATAAAAGTTATGTTTACATTATATTGTAGTCTATTTAAAGGAGGTATGGTGGTGCTGTTTTTAAGGCATTAGGCTGCTGACCAAAAGGTTGGCAGTTCCAACCCACTAGTCACCCCGTGGGAGAAAGATGAGGCAGTCTGCTTCCATAAAGATTTACAGCCTTGGAAACCCTATGGGGGTCATTGCTGTGAGTCAGAATCAACTCGATAGCAGTGGGTGGATAGTCTATTAAAGGCGCTCTCATGGCATGTAGTTAAAGCATTTGGCTGTTAACCAGAAGTTTGGTGGTTCAAAGCCCCCAGCTGCTCCAAGGGAGAAAGGTGAGGCAGGTTGCTTCCGTAAAGATTTACAGCCTTGGAAACAGTATTCTGGCAGTTGTACTCTGTCTTCTAGAGTCTCTAAGAGTCAGAATTGACTTGATGGTGGTGTGTTTGGTTTAGTTTTGGTAGGCTATTATGGAATCCCTATGGGGCAGTTCCACTCTGTCCTATAGTGTTGCTAAGAGTTGGAATTGACTCAGTGACAGTGGAGGATTTTTGGTTTTATATTCTATTAAATGTAGCATAGTGTCTAAGGCACTTGACTGCTAACCAGAAGGCTGGCAGTTCAAACCCATCAGCCACTCCTCAGAAAGAAGGTTGGGCAATCTACTTCCGTAGTGATACTGCTTCAGAAACCCGAGGAGGGGTCTCTATGAGTTGGGTCCGACTTGATGGCACATAACAACAACAAGTGTACAATAGCATGCTGAAAAAGCTTGACATATTGTGAAAATTTACCAAAATGTGATACAGAGACACAAAGTGAACATGTTATTTGAAAAATGGTGCCAATAGACTTGCTTGGCACAGGGTTGCCACAGATCTTCAATTTGTAAAAAAATGCACTATCTGCAAAGTGCAATAAAGCAAAACATAGTAAAACGAGGTATGCCTGGATAAGTACTTACAATTATTTACAAGAAAGAATCAAAATAATAAGATGACACACGACTACCATTTATTAAGCACTTAGGGCTTTCCTGGGTCCCTTCCCACTCATTATCTTCTCCATTTACCAAATGAGGAAACCGAGGCATAGTAGTTGTCAGAGGCCACAGAGGGGCTGGGATCTCACCAGTCTGCCCAACTTCAGAACCCATGCCCTAGGCATTGCACCCTGCTTCCCCCAAAACCTCGAAGAGACATGACTATTTCTAGAGGGGCAGGGTGCCACTGTGGGAAACTGGAGCCTTCATGAGATGTGTTGACATGCAGTGGGGCCCTTGGAAGGAGAGTTGGTGTGAAGGTCAGGATGGGGTTGACTTTCTGTACAGAGGCTGAGAGATCCTTAGGTGTGAAGTGGCCTTTCTCCCGAGAGTGGAGGCCCATACAGGGACTCAGTGTGGGCAGGGCACAGGGCACCTGGGGCTTCACCTGATTCTTGAACAAGCCCAGTGGAGGCTATGATTTTAACTGCTTTCCCTCTATGACTCGATGGCAAATAACAACAACAACAACAATTTCCCTTTACTATCCTGTGTTCCAGGGGGCAGACGGCATCCGAGGCTTGAAGGGCACCAAAGGCGAGAAGGTGAGTGTTAGCCTCTTCCTGGTTGGTGGCCTCTGGCCTGTTATAGGGTGGCTCTGTGACAGCAGTGCTGAGTAAAGTAAAGCAGGGCTGAGATCACCCCTGAGTGTGAAGGGAACTGATGCCAATTTGGGTGGGAGTTTGGTTATTTGCAAAGGAGAAACGGGGGGCAGGGGTGGGGGGTGTCTCCCAAGGGCCAGACCTGGGCTGGGCTGCATGCTCTCCATACATGGTAAGGGCCCAGCCCCAGATGCAGTTCACAGGCCCCTACACCTGTACACACCCCAAATTTTAGTCCATTCACCAGTTCCTGAGCTTGCAGTGGTGAGTAGACAAGACAGAGCTGCTTGGAGATATGAATACTGACCAGGTAGCAGGCTCGCTCCCTGACTGGCCACACACAGCTTCCAGGCTGCTTCACAAGGCAGCTTGGCAGACAACCCTGTGGCTGTCAGGTTTTCTCCTGAGCAGGCCTTGCAGCCAGAGAGGCTTGCTATGGCCAGTGAGGTGAGAAAAGGGAAGAAAGCCAGGTCACTTGGGGGCCGAGGGGGCCAGGCACTGCCTGGGCCTCCAGCCATGTGCACTTAGACTGCAGACGTTCATGAATGTATGGCAATAATAGGCTCAGAAAACTGTGTTTGGCCAGTCGACCTGTGGGCTGGGAGCAAATGGAACATTCTGGGTAATAAACAGAGATGCTATGCAGCTGTGTGTGCCCTGAAGGGTTGGCACATCTGATGCGCTGGGAGCAGGAACATCCGAACAATGTCTGACTGTGACTGGCCACTGTTCTCTCTCTAGTTTGGTGACTGGGGGCCCCAGAGCCAAATTTAGAGTCCACTATGGCGCACATGGCCTCAGGGGTTCCTCCCTTGGCTAGCCCACCCCACCTGGTCTCCTTGTCCTTTGGGGAAGCTGTTTAGTGCATGTTGTCAATGAGGCTGCGCACAATGTGGAGTTCTCAGGGATTCGGGGCTGCAGGTAGGTGGGATCTGCCCTCAATGGACCCACTTGGGTCCTTTCCTGAGGGCTCTGTTGGCCTTAAGATCATCCTCACGTAGGCACTGAGTGGCCACATGGAGTCTGGATATAATAGACACAGAGTTACTTCATAGTGCTGCGCCATTTGCTGCCCACCCTTATCCTGGGTGAGTGCCCATGGGAGGAGAGGCAGAGAGGTGCCCCCCAGAGTGCCTTCCTTCTGCAATGCTGGCTATACCAGCTTAGGTTCTCTGAGAGCGTTCTTCACCCAGCTCCCCCTCTTCAAACTTGGGCCTGTTCACCAGTCTGGAGTGGTGAATGGACAGCCGAGCTGCTCAGAGGCATGGATACTGACCGGGTAGTAGACTTAGCCCCTGTTCCACCATGCAGAGCTTTCAGACAGCTAAGACCTCAGCCCCCTGGGGCAGCCACATCCCCAGCCTGGAACTGCAGAGGGCTTCATGAGGACAGGCCCAGGGGCTCCTGCCTGTACTGCAGCGTGAGAAGAATCTGGGTGGGCGGAGTTGTGCAGAGCTTGGCCCTGTTGTGAGCAGGCATCACTCTCTTCTGGGAAGCGGCTCATTTGTCTAGGCTGAAGTCCTTGTTCTGCTATCCAGGGTGAAGACGGCTTTCCTGGGTTTAAAGGAGACATGGGCATCAAGGGTGACCGGGTAAGTGTTTGGAGTCTGGGAGGTGGCGTGATTCTGTGGGAGGGCTGGAGTATTTAGAGCCACAGGGCAGCTTCTCCTAGGGCTCACCTCTCCAGAGAGTGACGGTCATGGTGTGGGAACACTGGGGGGCTAGATCCCCCTCCTCACCGTCCACACTCTGAGGCCATAGTGGGTCCCCCCTGGTATTAACCCTCTGGGGCTAGGGACAAGTGTTTTTACCTGGCCCCTGTGCCCCGGGCCTTTATACCACACGGGTGGGTATTTTGGTGTCCTGAATCTGCTGTAACAAAATACCACATGTGGGTAGCCTTAAAGAACAGGAATTTATTTTCTCTCAGTCTGGAAGCTAACAGTCCAAATCAGGGTCTTGGCTGTGTCCATTCCTTCTGCGACCTCTCTCCTTATTCTGGTGTCTGCTGATGATCCTTGGCACCCTTGGCTCATGGACAGGTGCTCACATGGTGTGTGTCTTCCCCCGTGTATGTGTGTCTCTGTGTCTATTCTGCTCTTTTTATAAAGATGCCACTCAGAAGGGATTAGGTTTGGGACCCACCCTCCTACATATGGCCTCATTAGCATAACAAAAGAGAACTCTGATTAACAATCCAGGTTACATTCACAGGCACGGGGTCAGGTCATCCTCATTTCTTTGAGAGGCACAATTTAGCCCATAATGGAGTCCATGGAGATGCTTTTGCCTGGCCGATGCTCTGGGTTGAGGAGCAGTTCATTTGTTGGCCTGCACACATAAAGCCAACAAGGTTGTGCCATGGCTAGGGCCAAAGCTTCCTGTTGAGCCTTTGGAGTCCCTTGGTCCCCCAGGCATCACTAGTTCCTCAGGATGCCCAGCAGCTCTGAGATCTGTGACTTCATACGGGGGTTTCAGGAGAAATCACAGAGCTAGGCTTGCTTTTTAATGAATAATGTAGCTTAGTTCCAGAGAAAGACAGTTGCAGCTGGGAGAGGAGGGGTCTGTGCACAGCTATGGCGGGCACCAGCCGAAAGCCACCAAGCCACTGGCAGTTTTCATGTAAATGAGAGAGGGTAGTGTGAAGGCTTCTCATGGATGTTTCCTGTCAGCCAGCCCTACTGGGCATTTTGAAGTCTCCCTAATAACTTCGGAGTGGATAGAAGCCCAGGTAGAGGGAATGAAGTGCCTCCCACCGTGATGCAGGTGGACACAGAGCCGTGACAGCCCCGAGCACCCGGAGAGACACCCGTCAGGTTAGATGGGCTTCTCGGCAGCAGCAACAGTGATTCCCTTGCAAAGCAGCATCCTTGGAGCCTGCTGGAATGAGAGCCCTCTGTGTGTTCATCACCATGTTCCACGACAGGCACATGGCACAAACCATCTGTGTCTCTGTCAGAGCCAGGGAAAAGATAGTCATCCACCATCAGGTTGCTGGTAAAGACACCAGCTTAGAACTTTCTTCAACGTGGGAGATCCTGCCATGCCATGTGTAAGAGCCCCTCTCAGCTTGACTTGACCATGTCCCTTTATCCTCCCAGTGATGACTGAGTCCACATTTGGGGTCCATATGATGAGGTACAGCTCAAAAATAGATGGCACAAAAAACATTCCATGGTCCTCCTGCTCAGGTCCTGGGAGCCAAGTTCTTGTCACACTGGGTGGGAAGGACACTCCTCATCCCAAGAAACAAGGAAATCGCGTGATGTCCCCCAAAGGACAAAGCTGCAGCCTGGCCTTTTGCAGATGCCCAGTGAATATGTGAGGGATTGTCTTGTTGAGCTAGAGGACAGAGTGCTCTGGACGTGCACACAAGCTCGGGATGACAGGAAATTGTTAACCTTTTCTTTTCTTTTAAAAAAAAAAAAGCTATTGAGATTTGAGTGAAAGTTGACAGAGCAGAATGGTTTTCTACTCAACTGTCCATACACAATGTGTTTTACATTTTGTTTTGTGACACTGAATGCCATCCCCACAATGTACCAGCACTCTTCCCATTTCCTCTCTGTGTTTCCCGTTCGTTCCCAGTCTTCCTTCTTTTCTATCCCTTCCTATCTCCTGAGCTTTCTCCCTAGGTTATTGTCATGCAATGGACATTTTGCTTTGAGGCTGTACAGCGGGTATGCAGCTGCTCTTGGGAACAAACGCTCAGAGGAAGGCTCAGCGATTGGCAGATGCAGGACACGAGAAGTGGGGGCATTCAGGGGCTCAGCATGGCTCTGCTCCTGGCCTGGGCCAAGGCCTCCTCTCCATGACTTAGGGATGCTGGGCAAGGCAATAATTAAGCTCCTTGCATCTGTGTGGCGACATCCTGTGGGCCCCTTGTGCCCAGGTGACTACACAGTTTAGGGATCAGGACCCATTTCAACACCTCCTGGGGTTCAGAAGGAGAAAGTAGTGTTCCCTCTTTCCACCAGTACAGGATTATCCTGCTCTATTTTTGGAAGTAAGTCCTCAGGTGATGCAAATGGTTTGCACTTGACTACTAACCTAAAGATTAGAGGTTCAAACCCACTCAGCAGCACCATGAAAGTAAGGCCTGGCGACGTGTTTCTATAATGGTTACAGCCAAGAGAACAGTGGAGTAATTCCACTCTGTACACGTGGGGTTGCCACGAGTCAGAATCAACTGTAGGGCAACAGGTTTGGGTTTGGGTTCCCCCTACCCCCCACTGCCTGGACTTCTATCTATTTTATTTTGGGAAGTAGCAATTCAGAGCCCCTATTGTTCACCTTTTGTTATAGTCAAAGAGATACTTGATTTGGAGACGGTAATTGGGAGGTGGGAGCGTGCAGCCTTGAGAAAATAGCAGGCCAGCCTCACCAAGATAGGCAGTGGCCCGGGCCTGAACCCCATAATTTACCCCGTGGGATGGGCTCACTCTGTCAGCAACATGGCTGTAGGCCATCAGCTTGGAGAGGCAAGTGTGCCAGGCTTGCTATTAGGAGTGTGCCAGCATCTATTAGGAGAGGCTGCCTGGGATGTGACCGCAAGCCCTTGGGACAGTGGTGGGAGCTGTGGGTGGTAGTGGGAGGCCAGAGGATGGTTTCCCTCACTTTCTGTTCTCTGACTCACAGGGAGAGATTGGACCACCTGGTCCCCGAGGCGAGGATGGCCCTGAAGGTCCAAAGGGTCGAGGAGGTCCCAATGGTGACCCTGGCCCCCTAGGGCCCCCTGGGGAGAAGGTAAGGGAAGCAGGACCTGAGTATGGGGGTTGGGTGGGGCTCCAACCTGACTAGACTCCCTAGGCCCTTCCCCTAGCAACTTGAATGGGCTAAGCCACCCTGTGGTGGGGTACACTTGACTGAAGACCCTGGCCCCATCTCGTTCCCCTACCTGGGACTCAGCCACCCTCCTTGCAAGTGCGATGCTTTCTTGTCCTACATGTGCCCACATCTGCTCCATGGAAGAGCACCTCCTCCTGGGCTTGCCAAGCTCAGGAGTTGGGACTGTGGCACCTACAGGTGTCGTTCTCAGTGGGGGACCCATGTTCACCCAGCCCCTCTCTCTGTAGGGAGGAGGATAGCAGGGCCCCCGAGGTTGTGAAGGCACCTGTCTAGTTGGCAAAGCCCAGCTGTGGTTGCACTGCCTACCCAGCCTCAAAGGAGGGAGGGACAGTAAACTTTCCACCACTTCTCCCAAGGCTAGAGCTCTTCTACTGAAGACTAGGAAAAGTCTCACAGGTCAAGAATACTTGGGGCTTGCGTCTTTACCCACTCTGGCTTCAGATGGCATCTGACGTCTTCTCTTGGGGTCTTTGTCTCATACCAGGGTAGGGGTTACTGGGGACCTGGGTACTCAAGAAGTCACCTGGAAGAAACGACCAGTGGAGGCCTCCCTATTATGATCATGTTCTTCAGCCTTCAGAGACTGCTCCCGTCCACTCCCCACCAGAATGCACTGGCTTTCTGTCTACTCTGAGAAAATGACTTGAGAAACTCCATCTAATGCAACTCTTATCTCTCCCCAGGGGAAGCTTGGAGTCCCAGGATTGCCAGGGTACCCGGGAAGACAAGGGCCCAAGGTAATTTACATCCTTACATGGTGTTGGGCTTCTGGGGATGCCCTAAGGACACTCCTGACCCGGCCCCACCCTGCACCTTAGCACTTACCATCCCTACGAGCACTTCAAGGGCAGAAATGGATGTCAGACTCCTGTGTCTCTCAAAGGTTGTTCTGTGCACAGCATTGCATTCCCTGGGCTGAGCTGGAGGGAGGTGCTTGCACATTAGCCAAGCTTTCAGAGAAGACAGTAGAACCAGAGCTGAGTGTGGGCAAACACCTGCCCCTGGTCCCACTACCCAACACCCTGGCAGGGCCCCATCACCCCCACCCCTGGCCCCACCATCTGACACTTTGGCAGGGCCCATCACCCTCACCCCTGGCCCCACTACCCAACACTCTGGTAGGGCCTATCACCTCCACCCTTGGCCCTACCACCTGACACTCTGTCAGGGCCCATCACCTGATACCCTAGCAGGGCCCACCACCCCCTCTGTTGCCCACACAGAAACTCAGGGACTGTCTCCTCACAACTCTGACTCACTTTGGAGATTACAAGGTCATTTTCTTGTAACTGAGCATCAACAAAAGATGAAAACTTTTCTAACATGAAATCACATTCCACTTTAAGTGAAACAGCTCCTTACGGCTTTGGAAATCCTTTAAAACATTATTTTCCCACAAATCCCACATTTTATTATTCATGGATCTTCCTTAAAAAAATAACTGGCTGCCCAGCACAAGGGACATGATTAACGACAGAGAGAGTCCCTTCCTCTTTCCTCCGATTTGCATCTGCGCCATTTGTGAGTGCAGTTAGCTGAGGCACCTGCTAGGAGTCAGGGTTCGGTCCCATCAGTAGAGAGAGGTGTGGCGGCAGTCTCAAGTCTGGGTGTTTCTATTCCAGTGAAGGGACATCTGAACCCTGTCCTTCCTGTGCAGAATGACATCCACCCTAGTGTGTGCAAGCCTACCCCCAACACACAGGAGAGGGTGTGCTGTAACCAGGCTTTTGTGTTGTGTCCAATGTACCTACAGACTACATCAGTGCCATCTGTCTGCTGGGGGCTTGATGGACATGCTTCATTTGGGGAAGGGGGGTGAGGAGAGGAAACATTTGATGAGAGTAGGGCAGATAGACTTCAAGTCTGGGCTACCTTTTGGGAAGGTGAAGGTATGATTTTTAATTGCCGGCATGTCCTGTGGGCAGTGACTAAGTGTAGTGACCCCATCCTGAGCAGGGCTCTGGAGACCCCTGTGCCCCAGGTGTCCTCACTGCTGTCTTCGGCTGGATGGACAAATGGGCACAAATGGGCTGATGCAGGATTTGGAACATTGTGCGCTATTCAGGAACACAAGCATGTTCAGGTCAGGATGTTAGCCATCTTGGGAGGAGGGGCCTCTGGAGGGCAGCAGCCAGCACTAATGTCCATGGACTAGTGAAATGACCCTCAGTGTCCAGGGAGTGAGCCAGTTTTCTTTTCGTACATCCCAGGGGTTTGGGCATCCACTAGATGAAAGCCCTTACTCTCATCTTTTATCTCTGTGTTCCTTGTAAAGATCTAGATTGAGTGGCTGCTTGATGCCTCTGTGGGCACATTTTTATTTTTTCTGACTTTGAAGGCCGCTACTCTTTACTTGGTAGCATCCTGGGATGATACCAAAGCATGGCAACAAGGAACAAAAACAAAATGTCATAAATGTGAGAGGCACACCTCCTTGTCTCTAGCTAAATCTTACAGTGTCTGGTCCCTTTTCTTCCAAGTTAGCAATGTTATGTAGATGTATGTGTGTGGTAGCAGAGGGTGTGTGTATGTGTGTGTGTGTGTGTGGTTAAGGTTGAGTTTGGAATTTTAAATTTGGAGTTTAAGAGATAATCAAAGGATATTTGTTGAGTGGGTGGGTGTGTGGGTCGGAAAGTGAGTGGATAGGCAGATGGGTGGATGGATGAGAAAATGAATGGAAAGATCTATGAAAAATAAAATGTGAGATTTGAGTGATGGGTAGGTGAGTGGATAGGTGGGTGGACAGGTAGGTAGATAGATGGGTGGGTGGACAGATGAGTGGATGAGTGGGCAGGTGGGTGGATGGGTGGGTGGATGAGTGGATGGATAAGTAGATGGCTGGGTGAATGGATGGACCAATAGATGGGTGGACGGGGAGATGGGTGGATAGATGGATGGGTGAGTGGTTGGGTGATGGATAAGTGGATGGCTGAGTGAATGGATAGGCACATGGGTGAGTGCATGGCTGGCTGGGTGGATGGGTAGGTGGATGAAGTTTGTGTCAGGGTAATTAACTACAACAGACATGTCCTCCAGTTGCACGTGCTTCACAGCCAATCCTGGCCAGTCTTCACACCATTTCTTCATCATCTATCTCCCTCTCTTTCAGGGTTCCATTGGATTTCCTGGGTTTCCTGGTGCCAATGGAGAGAAGGGCGGCAGGGTAAGCACAGCCTGGCCTCTGGTCAGGGAACTTGTTCTTCAACCTTGTTATCTCTGGGAATGTTCTCAAGTCCACGGCCTGTTAATTTCTCATCTACTTTGCTGCCAACACTGCTTTTAAGAACAGCCGGCCTTGAGCTCATGACCTTAAGCACTAAGCGCTGTGCTTGTCCCCAGCGCTGGGCTGGGTAGTGATGTGACAGGGAGGCCAGCAGGCAGAGAAGGAACCATGTCATGATGAGAAAATAGAGCTTTGTAGTAAACACCACTTCCCACAGAGCTCCTTTCAGTCATTGGTGAGAACCAGATTCTGGTCTTCACCCAAAGGGCCCTCTTCTAAACTGGTTTTAAAAGGAGGGAAAATGTTTTATTTTCATCCTTCCCACTACCTCCTAGTCCAAGTTCACGAGGCTTCATCCCCTTGTCATTACCAAGCTGCCATCAGCCTACAATACCTGCTGGGGTGTGATGGGGTTATTATTGCAAACAAAATTGTTCCCAGGTGCTGGGCTGGGGAGCTGTGTTCCTCCCCTGCCTGCCTGTGCCTGAACTGGCCAGGAGGCCACATCACCAAATCTGTGCTGAGCACTACCCATCAAATATGATATAGAATCTGCCACAGGCCTTTGACACTGAGCCGGCACATGGGGATAGAGACTGTCTGGGCTGTGCAGCAACTGCAGAGGAACTGTGAGGACCCAGCCTCAGAGAGACACAGCTGTCCCATGTGCTGCCACATAACCGAGCTTCAGCCCACACTCCCACCATCATGCCCCATCCGGTCTCTCATGGCAGAGATGGAGCTCTGGGGTATGCCCCTCCTCAGACATGCTGCTCCTGCTAACATCCTCATGTTAACTTGGGTCCACATGCTCTCTAAAGCAGGGAGAAAGGCGATAAGCCAACCAAAGCCCATGTAAGCAGATATGTCACAAAGGAAAAGCCATGACTGTGCTGAGGCTATGCAGCAGCAGGGACACAGAGGAGCTGGGCCCATGCCTGAGGAACAGCTGAGGTCTGCATGCCATGGTGGTGCCCCGGTCCTGCCCTCCTCATGCAGGCCCTAGAGTTGACTGCAGCCCTTGGTGGAGAGGTAGCTTTGATGTGGAGGGGCTGGACCAAGTGGCAGCCTCTCTGCTCAACAGCATATGCCATCCCTCTACTCTGCCAGGGCCATTGGCCTGCCCACAGTGGTGCAGACAGAGTCATGCTGGGGGATGGATCAACTGTGCTGGAAGCTGCTCTCTGTCTTGGCTTATGAATCACTACACAAACTAGATGCCACATGCTCTGATCCTGGAGTAGCTGGGTAGGGGTGGGCATGGTCCTGGTGACAGCCACTGGGAAGGCCGTGGCTGTGAGGAGTGATCTCACCTGGCCACTGTGTGACACTCAGATAGAGCAGGGGCATGTGAGTGTCTAGATAAGCATGGCTTTCCAACTGCAGATGACTTTTCTTGCTCCCTGGGTTGACAGTTTTGAATGTCTGGTCTATTCAGATGCTCCTGCTATGGGGTGAGTGTATGTTTGTGTGTGGATGGATGAGATTGATGGGCTGAGGTCACAGTCTGGGTCCTGTTGGCCCTGTGCCCCTAGCAGGAAGGGCTGCTGGAGCATCTTTGTGACAGAGCCTGGGTCTTGTTCTAGAAGGATCTTGGGGTGCCAAGTTGAGGATGAATAGTAGCAAGGTAAAGGGGAGTGGAGAGATGAGGGAGAGGCTGTGGTAGTTCTAGCACAAGAGGACACTGATGCAGACCAGGGTAGTGGCCAAGGAAGTGTGGGAAGCTGTTGGTAGAGCCCACAACTCCAAGCTGTCCTGTGAAACTGGTCACTTATTGGGGCTTCAGCTGCATTTAAAAGTCCTCCCCAAGAATTCCAAATACAGTTCTGACCACAGAAACAATGGAGAGGTGAAGATGGAAGTTTCCCACCCTCACCCAGTATGGACAGCACTGAGCTGGTATAGGCTGTGGTTGAATAGCAGGGGTAGGGGTGTCTGCTGGCAAAGGGAAGCTATGGCCAAGGCACCTGCTCTGCATCTGGGTGAAACTTGTGTCCAGTTCTCTCCAGCTTAGTCTCAGGGAGCTGCTTAGTCTCAGGCTGGAGACAACACAAAAATTAGTCAAGATTTTCCAATCCTTTCCAGGCCCCTCTCAGGCCCCAGAGCACAGGTTAGCACCATCCTTGGTCTCTGCTTCATCCCTGGTCACAGAGCATGCCTGGTACCCAGCTGCATCAGGGAAGAGAATCCCTCATCAAGTTGCAGCATGGACTGGAGGTCAAGTACACGGGCCTGGTTTCCTGTGGAACTCATAGTAATGGTGATGTGTTGAGATGGCACTCAGCCATCTCTATCTCTCTGTCAGGATGAATCACAGCCTCCTATTCCGGAAGCCACATGCAGCACCCCACTCATAAGCTTGCTGTTGTGTCAGTGCCACAGGAAGAGGTTCTGAGTATGAGATGGTGGTCTTGATGGCAGAGTTGCTTCATAGTGAGCTCCAGAGCACAGGGGATGTGGGTTGGCAGGAAGAGGTTCTAAGTAGGGGATTGGTTATCTCAATGGAGAAGTTGCTTTATGCTGTGTTTTGAAGCACAGGGGATGTGGATCAGCAGCACCAGGGGCCCTCTCAGTGGGCTTAGCCCTCTAGCTTGGGCCTATGAGTGAGGCTGCCCAGGTGTCTACAGGGGGAGGGCCAGGCTGCCCCGCAGCTGGACCCACCTCTTGGTTCACTGTGCAGCCTTGTGTTGGGTCAGTAGAAGCTTCTGGATGCTTGTTCACTGTGTGGGCCTTCCATGGCATAAGGCCACTCCATGTCCCACTGTGTGTCTGTCCTCACTTGTTCTTTGGCTTTGTGATTCCTCATAGCCATGGGTTTTCATCTTGTGACAGGTCATTCCTTGAACATACCAAGTGCTGAGTACTGCACAGGTGCTGGTGGCACAGGAGGGTAAGCCAAATGTCCCCATGCAGCCCAGAGGAGTGTGCCAGCAGCCTAGCACACATAAGAGTGGAACAGGGGCCATATTCTCAGGAGCACCCCAGGAAGTCAGAGCACCATCCCAGGGGTAGGGAGTAGGATCCAGCCGCGACCTGCGAGGTAGACAGAGGTTGGATGAATGAGATGGGGTGGGGAGAAGCTTGCAGCATCTCAGGGGGACACAGTGAAGGTCTGCGTGCAGTGGGCTCAGCAAGCAAAAGCTGGGATTGCCAGCAGGGGAATGATGGGGCTGCAGAGCCTGGCACAGGGGGACTTCTAAAGTGTAGCTCTGTTCCCAGAGTGGGGAATAGGTGGCAAAGGGCAGAGAGCTGTGAGTCAGGGCAGGGCAGGTCGGGTCAGATCAGAGGTCTGTATTCCAGAGAGGTCCTTTTAAACCTTTTTGGATATTCTGCTCAGATGGAAGCTTCTTGATGCTGGAGTGCTAGGCATGACCGATTGTATGCGTGCATATGTATATACTTGTGTATGTGCATGTACATGTGAGTATGTATTTACTTTGCGTGTGTGCATGAGTATGTGCACATGTGAGTGTGTATATGTGTGTGTGCATGTGTGTGTAAGCACATGTGTGAGTGCATGTGTGTATGTATGTGTGCACATTTGTGCATGGGTATGTGCTGCAGGTGTGCACATGTGTGAGTATACACATGTGCACTGTGTGTGCCCTTGTGTGCATGTGTGTGAGTATGTTTATATGTGTACATATGTGTGTACATTTGTGTGTCCAAGGGCTGCTTGTGAACCCGCTAGGCCACTCTCCTGCCTGCCCGACTGTAACTCAGAGTTAGTGCCTTCGTTCTGTTGTGCATCACCTATTGGTTAAACATGAAAGCAGTTCTCTTCCACCAAAAGCTGGCTATGGCAAAAGGAACAGAAACAAGCTGAACGCTTCTCTGGCCTGGACCCTGGAGCAGCGTGGAGCCTTGAAGAGCCGCTCTTAGAAATGTTTGCCGGCTGTGGAAGGCTCCTCCTCCCTGTGCATTCGGCTTCTTGGCTTGAGACCTCCTAGGCCACCTTGACAATGGCAGAGGACATGGACAAAGACTACAGACTGGGAAGACAGTCTCTATCACAGCCCAGAACTCCTTGGCTTGAGTTAGTTTGCAAAGAGCACTGATGAGCAAGAGGCCAGCAGGAGGCGAGATGGACTTGGTGGCTGGCCTTCCATTTCACTTCCTACAGGGTCTTCCTGCCTGAACCTCAGACAGACTCTACTTATACCATCAGGGCTCGTTTGCTGCAGGCTGAGCCACATCCCTGTCATCAGCTGATGAAGCCATTTCAATGGAGGGTTTGGGTTGGGTGTTGCTGGCAGAGATGGAGGCAGTTGAGATAATTCAGCAGTGTGGGTCACCCACAAATGCCAAGAACTAGCCAGGTTTAGCTGTGGGTGCTTCCCATAGCTATAAAAAGAGTTGACCCTTTGAAGAAAGCAGATGTTTCATTAATTTTCATATATAAATATTTATTTAAAGCCAAAGGATAATTAATATACTGGAGCCAGAGTGTGCTGTTAAAAGGCAACATAATTAATTCATCACTGTAAATGGTTTTATTAGACTCATTCAAAACAAGGGGGCGAGAGAGCAGTGGTGATGCTGGAGGTGAAGGAACGAGATGGTGGGAGGATGATCATCAGGGCTTCAGCAGATCCTTCTTGGCCTTGTCAGTAGAAACTAGAATAAAATTAGGCAAAGGAATCAAGAAGCCGTGGAGCGAGAGGTCCTATGCTGTGTCTCTTACCCCCATATGCTGTGGTGGACTGCATTTCTCAGCTGTTACAGCTTTGTTTCAGAAAATACATTTCCCTGTGGTTGGAAAATGCAAAACAACTGCAGTGACAGACAAGACATCTACATTCTCTGAGAAGAGAAGAAATGGACTCTTGGATGTATGATTTATATATTAAATTGTGAGTTTGCGTGTCTGCAGAGCCTGTTGAAAATTTAATGGCTAATATCCTTAACTGTAGCAAAAGTAAATTATGTATGAAAGGGGTCGGCTTTCTTCTCTTTTCTTACCATAATGATCTACCCCTGCTGTGAGAGAGGACTTCGGCAAGGGGAATGGGTAACGACTTTGAGGGAGAGGAGCCCAGTGATGGCAGCAGTTAGTATCCATCAGACTCAGGGAGAAGATTGGATTCCAACAAGACTTGGGCAGGGATGGGGAATGCTCAGTGGCCAGCGCAAGGCACACTTGCTCGGCCTGACAGGTCTCCTGTGGACACAGAGACAAGGAAGCTGGTCTGGAGGCTTCTCAATACTCAGGAGAGGGTGCCTCCGGCAGGGATGGACATTACACAAGTAACTGACTACCTTTCCTCTTTGGTTCTAGGGGACTCCTGGAAAGCCAGGACCAAGGGGACAGCGTGGCCCAACGGTAACCATCTATCCTGCTGGCTCTTGGGCATCTAAGAGCACATGCCAGTGGAGTGAGGGAGGGGCTGTCTATGAATCTGGAAAATTCAGTGCTGACCTTTCTCCTGTCTCTGTCCCCAGGGTCCACGGGGTGAGAGAGGCCCACGGGGCATCACCGGGAAGCCTGGGCCCAAGGTATGGCTGTGTATGTCTATGGTTCTCTGAGGTGGTCAGCTTGAAGTAGGGCCACCACTGACCCCCAGTCAATGCCCCTAAGACATGGTGCCCCTGGGGGCAATTTATGGGATTTTCATTAAAAAAAAAAAAGTTTCCTTGGAGACATTGGAAAACAGTCATGGCAATCTGCTTCTGAAAGGTCACAGCCTTGACAACCCTATGGGACAGTTCTACTGTGCACATATGGAGTCACTGTGAGTTGGAATCAACTCAACAACACAAGATGCAGTTCCTGTCTTCCAGTTAGATCAATCCAGTTATGTGGCTATGTGTGACACCCCCAGGATATGGCTCTGTCCCCTAAAGGCAGTAGTTCTATGGCTCAGGAGGCCAGGCCCAACTGGACCCTGGGCAGACCCCTCCATGGTGCAGATGTACCCAACTCTGAAAGAGGCCTGTGTCTCCTCTGAAAGCAGTTTGGGAGCTGCAGAGAGGGAGGCTTTGCCAGAATCCAAAGACTGTCCTCCCTACCCTGTGAGCCAGCCTCACACGGACCTTCTTTCTGCCAAGGGGTCTTGAAGCCCCTCTCCAGATCCTGAATCTGGAAGCATCGACTTCAGCCTGTGTAGCTGTTCCCAATTCTGTCTGGACTTAGTTCTAAAGTACAGCCTGCTAAGGAAATGAGCCTTCTGATTGGCTGGGGGACAGAATGGGCTGTGGAGATGTGCCTTCAGTTTGGCTGGAGGACAGAATGGGCTGTCCTTTGCTAGCTGGAGTGTACTCAAATACAGGGATACCTTCCTTTATTGCACAAAGCTTCACAGATGTTAAAGTTTTTACACATTGGAGTTTTGTGGCAACCCTGCATTGAGTGAATCTGTTTGGTGTCATTTTTCCAATAGCACATGGTCACTTTATGGCTCTGTGTCAGATTTTGGTCATTCTCATGGTATTTCAAACTTTTTCACAATGGTATTGAATACTGAATAGATTGTGTATCATGTAAGCATGACTTTTATATGCACTGGAGACCAAAACAATGCATGGGACCCACTTTATTGCAACATTCTTTTTATTGCAGTGGTCTGGAATCGAACTCACCATATCTCCAAGGTCTGGCTGCAATAAAACCAATTGTAGTCCAGACAACTCTGCTCATGGTGGGCCCACATGTGTCACAGTAGAACTGTGCTCCATGGAGTTTTCATTGGCTAAGTTTTTTGGAAGTAGATCACAAGGCCTTTCTTTCAAGGTGTCCCTGGGTGAACTGCACCTCTAACCTGCCAGTTAGTGGTCCAAGGCTTGATCCACCTAGGGACTTCACTCAGCCAAAGGCTATATGCAGTGCTTCCATAATCAGCTCTGGGACCCAGTAGTGCTTTCCCCATAAGCTGACCTAATAATGCTCACCTGCCAGGGACTGAGAACTTGATGGAGCAGCAGCTGTCATGGGTGAGGGTGGCTTTATACTAGAGTTTGGATCTGTCTTGGAATTTCGATGTGCTTTATCTCACTGCAGGGGGCCATTCCTATCAGGACCCTGGGCTATCAGCTCTCTGTTAGGTCTAAGCCTTGTGAGCACTGATCTGCCCTGATCAATCCAGTTATGTGGCTATGTGTGACACCCCCAGGATGTGGCTCTGTCCCCTAAAGACAGTAGTTCTGTGGCCCAAGGAGGCCAGGCCCAATGCTATTGGTCTCTGTGAGGGTCAGGGTGACCTTCAGGAACCCCATATGGCCAGCTTAGGCTCTGAAATTGTGATGAGGTCCCAGCCAGAGTCTTTGATCAAATGTAATAAATAGTAATAAGCTTTTCTCTGTCTCTCTCCTAAGGGCAACTCTGGAGGTGACGGCCCAGCTGGCCCTCCCGGGGAACGGGTAAGTGCTCCTGAGCAGAGATCATAATGAATCTCTCCAGGAGGGCACCATACTGCAGATACCCCCTGCTTTCTTCCTGGGCTTGGTAGGGAGAGGAAAGTGGGGCTTCACCCTGCTGGGGAGAGAGTTTTCCCAAAGTCCTCAAGGCAGATATGTGATTTCTACACTGGGATTGGAATCTGTTGGTTGGAGATCTCAACTCCATCCATTTGCTAGGTCTCAGGGTTTTGGAGGTAGCTGAGATATTGGAAACTGAGTCCTTGACCCATCCCATCCCATCCCCAAAGCACCTGTGACCTGACCTCCTCCAGTCCCTTGCCCAGGCCTCTTCTTTACTGTCTGAGAGGGAAGGAGGTAGACTAGGTGAAGATGAGGTCATGGGGAGCACAAAGGAATGGCACTTGCACTCAAGAGCCAATGGCTTGGGGTGGGTGGCACTGAAGACTTCCTAGCCCTTGCACACTGGAGAGGACTCTGTCTTCAAACTGGCCATTCTCTGTTCCTAGGGACCCAATGGACCTCAAGGACCCACGGGATTTCCTGGACCCAAGGGCCCCCCTGTAAGTAGCTTGTTTTCCTTGCTGGGCTGGTATGTCTAGCTCCTCTGACCTCAGGATTTCCTGGAGATACTTGTCCTTCCCTGAGTGCCATTGAGCACGCAGGATGTGGTGGTGGTGGTGGTGTCTGTGTAAGGGGAGCATTCCTTGACTTATAGACGCATTGCTCCAAGCTCCAGTCTCTTCTTCCTTCTCCATATGGGCTCTTCCTCTCTGTCTCTCTGTCTTCAAATCCCTCTGTCCTTGTGAGGATACCAATCACTGGATTTAGGGCCCACCCTAATCCAGCATGACCTCATCTTAACTTGATTACATCTGCAAAGACCCAATTTCCAAATAAGATCACATTACTGTGAAAGGGATCACAACAGAAGGTCCTAGGTAGAGTGGGAAAAAAACGTGGAACAAAACACAAAACCGTTAAAAAGACCAGGCTTGCTTGTCTGACAGAGACTGGTGGACCCCAGAGAGTATGGCCCTTAGAGACCCTTCAGGCCTGGAACTGAACTCACCCCCATACCTCAACTTTCAGCCAAATGATAGACAGGCCTATGAGGTGAATAATAATACCAGGGAGGTATGCACTCATTAGAACAATCAACCATATCAGATCAAAACAGCAGCATTTGCCCAGCAATAAAGCTCAGAAGACAGGAAGGGACTGGAAAGAAGGATGCATGGAAACAATAAAAACCAGGAAGAAATGGGAGGAGTGCTGTTACATCGTAGAGATTGAAATCAATGTCATGAAGCAAAATGTGTATGAATTGTTGAATAGGAAACCAATTTTCTCTGTAAACTTTCACCCAAATCACAATTTTAAAAATAATAAAATTAAGATGAAAAAAGAAAAAAAAAATAAGGTCACATTCACGGGTACTGGGGGTTAACCCTTCAACACATCTTTTTTGAGGGACAACACTCACCCACAACAGGTGCAGTATGCGACTGTTTTCTTGAATACCCTGCAAATAGAGCAACACTTTCAGACAATGGGGACTGTAGCCTCCTGGGGCACCACAGAAGCCCATGGCTCTCTGAATTAAACAGACTTGAGTCAAAGTCTGACCATATACCCTCCTGGCTGTGACTTCAGGGAGCTGGTTAAACTCTCCCTGCTTTAGAGTCCCCACTGGGAGGTGAGGCAGCAGCATGCATGCGTCTGGGGGTGTTGTGAGGGTTAATGAGGTGATGTGCAGGGAGGTGGAACATGTGCCCTGCTCAGGATGGGCTGCACCTGAACCTCATCTTATCATCAGCACAACTGTCATGGTGATTTCTGTTCAGAAGACACCCATGGACAAGAGCCATTATTATTGCCCAAGGAGGCATTAAATCTGGAGGTGCAGTCTTCTTGGAACTGAATGGGACTTCTTTCCTTTGCTTCTTTCTCCAGGGACCCCCAGGCAAGGATGGGCTCCCCGGACACCCTGGACAGAGAGGCGAGACTGTGAGTATTGGGGTGCTGGGGGCACAGGCTGCCTAGCTTCTTCCTATTGGTTCTCCTGGAGCCCTGTATTAGGGACTGCCTCCACTTCATGGTACAGTGGAGAAAGAACCTACTTTGCTTGGTAGAGACTGGTCAGCAGGTCTTGGAGGGCCAGTGTCTTCTGCTGATGTGGGCTAGGCCCTTGGTGGAGAACCCAGAGCTGGCAGCAGCCGTGCAGGCTGGCAGCACTCTGTGTGATCTGTGTGCAGAGGCAAAGGCTGGTCTTAGCAAGTTTGGTTCAAAGGTCACACCACAAATCACCACAATGCAAACAAAACGTCACATCTTGGAACCTTGTCCAGCCAACTCTTTCTTTTTCCCTCCAGAATAATTTTGAGCACAACCAGCTTCAACTACATGCATTTTCATTAAAATGTGGTTGCAACAGTTCTGCAGTTTAGTTGGGCACTCAGGTTTTTATGCTGCAGACTTATAGGAAAGGACCCTGGGCCTCTCGCCAACCCCAGCCCTATTTAGCTGGGTTGCTCCTGCTGTTGGGTAGGTGGTAGGGGGTTTGGAGAGCTCCTTCAACCTCTCTTTTATAGTATTAAAACAAAAATTATATAAGCCAATAATAAAAACTGATTGAAGTTTATTTAATATATGATTTGCAAATTGGGATAATATTTCGAACTAGAGTCAAAACCGTTCTGGGGAAGAAACATCTTTTACAAATTCTTATATTCCAGTTTTTCATTAGCAATTACATGTTGCCATGGAAACAGGGCCAGAACAGCTTTTACAAAATAACATTTTCTTGGGAAATAATTCAGATAATTACTGATTTACCTTTGGTGTGCCTGCTTCCCAAACCGCTCAGGGATGGATGAGTCTTGAGAGAGCACAAGGGCCAAAGCAGGGTTTCTTGATTAATTAGCATCATTAGGCTATTTTCTGACTTCAGGGTGACTTTTAGGAAACCAGTTTCTACAAGGCTCAAAGATCCTCTCAGGGTAATGGCCCAGATGGGTAACCTCAGCCTCTGTGGAATCCAGAAATTGGATTCTACAAGAATGAAAACTCTTCCTCAGTACACAAGCAGACAGGTGACAGATCGTGTTGAAACCACACAGCTGTGCTCACAACAGGCGGCATTACAATCTAGGATCACCTTCCAACTTGCCCTGACCTTTAGAAGTTTCTGCACAGGCAATGCTTCTACACCTTCAAGGACACCAGCATTTTCAGTTGGAAGAGGTGTTATCAGAAATGTGATCATTTTCTGGCCCCATTAGCCAAGTGGGACTGGGCCCAGCTTCACACCCTGTTTATGGAAGGGGATGTCCCAGGAAAAGTGGGGGTGCAAACTGACCAGCTGTGTACCCTGACCTCCACATCCCCATATTCCTTCTCTGTGTGAGCCCCTTTGTCTCTGACTTTCATGTTCTTGTGTTCTCTGTACATGTACCCTGTGTCCCTGACCTTCATGTTCCTATGTTCCTTCTCTGTGTGAACTCCTGTGACCCTGACCTCCATGTTCCCATGTTCCTTCTCTATGCATGGACCTATACCCCTGACCTCCACGTTCTCATGTTCCTTCTCTGTGTGAACACCTATGCCCCTGACTTTCACATTCCCATGTTCCCTCTCTGTGTGAACCCCCCTGTATCCCTGACCTCCACATTACTGTTTCTTCTCTGTGCCCAGCTGAAAGGACAGACGTGTGGCGTTGGTGTAAATACAGGATGGCCATGCTGCAGGTTTGCTGGAATGGCCCTTGGCCTCTGTAGCTGCATTCCCTGTATAGATGGTCTTTAACGGACTCTCACAGCAAGAGCAGGTTCCACATGAAATAGGCCTGAATTCCATATTTCATATGTTCTCGGTGTCCGCTTTTAGAAAAGCTCTTTTTGTCCCTCTTTGCCTCATTGTGATGAAGCTTCTTTTAATTATACCTTCCTGGGTGTTTGCTGCATGGTGTGTGGTTTGTGATTAATGGCGATTACTCTGCTCCTTTGTTTACATAGAAAAATTAAAACATATCTTCTGAGCCCAGCATATTTTTCTCAAATGCCTTTCCAAAGAGACAAGATAAAAGGCTTTACATCTTACATACTTTTTTCCCTCAGATTTATTCTGGGAAGAAGCTGGTAAAATAATTAAGCTGCTTGTCTCTCTGGAAAAATAATATACGTTCTTTCCAGCTACCTTCAGCCATACTTTTGTGTGAGAGAGCTGTGCGGTGCTGCTGGGGCCCCCCTCTCTGACACCCACCTGGCACCCAATGTCTCCTCTGCAGGCTAGTCCAGACTCCCTCATGGGAAAGGTCTCCCCTGCCTGGGGTCCTGATTTGTTTTTTCATTTGAAATAGTTGTTCTTTCTTCTAAAGATTTATTCCTCATCACCAGTCCTGGGTGGTCCCAGCCATGGGCCAAATGGGGGAAAGGGGGCTTTCTTTTTTCATCTTTAACACTGATGTGAACAGAGCCTGCCTGAGGCACATGCTGCACTCTCCCCTGGCCCACCAAGCAGGCAGACACCCTTGACTGATCCACCACCCCTTATCTCTCTCACTCTGTAAATGCCCCCTGCTGAGGGCATTGCAGGGGACAATGGCTGTTTCAGCTCACTGTGTGCCACTCAGCTGGGCTAAGGCAGACCAAACCAAACCAAACTCACTGCCATTGAGTCGGATCCAACTCATAATGACCCCTTCTTGGGTTTCCGAGGTGATAATACTATGGAAGTAGATTGCCCTACCTTCTTCTTAGGAATGGGCTGGGAGGAAACCCAAAAACAAGCACACTACCATCAAGTCAATTCTGACTCAGAGCCCATAGAGGACAGAGTGGAACTGCCCCATTTACAAGGCTGTAAATGTTTAAGGAAGCAAATCCCAAACCAAACCCACTGCCAGGGAGTTGATTCCGAATCACAGTGCCTCTAAGGGACAGAGTAGAACTGCCCCCTAGGTTTTCCAAGGCTGGTACATCTGAAGCAGGCTGCCTCATCTTTCTCTCAGGGAGCAGCAGAGAGCCACCTAGAATTTGTAAGGAAGCTGAGTCTGATGTGGGTGTTCATGGCCTAGAGGCAGCACATGAACTTGCAATGCTTGCACGTGGGCAGCTCTGATGGTGACACAAGAGCACCTGGCTCACCTGCCAAGCAGCTGGGGTTGAAAACAAGCTGCTTCCCCCTCCAGATTCAAGCGCTTCCTTCTAAAAGGTGCTGGGTGTGACACCTGCACATCTCTGCCTGTGTCACCTGGAGCTGCAGATGGTGTCTTGTCAGCACGGTCACAGCTCTGCAGATGGCCCCAGGAGTGAGGCTGGCCTTGCCTCGCAGCCACCTTCTGCTTTGAAGGAGCATACATACAGTGTAGCCAAATTATTAAATGTTAAGCTGGGCTTATTCCCTACACGTGAGTGTGCAGAGCAGAAATGCCACCTTCCTGCTGGATTTCAGTAATAATACTCCTGAGCCACTGGGTTTGGGAAGCAGCAAGCCTCGTTCTCTCTTGGTTTGATTAAGTACAGAGGAGCACACTGGTTGCCTGCTGTGCATTCAAGGCATTGAGGAAGAAGGCAGAACGAGGCCCACAAAGTCACTAATGAGAATAGCACGGAGGTGGCTCCCCAGCCGGGATCTCGGCAGCCGAGAAATGGCACTGAGCCTACTCAGAAAATGAGTGTTTAGTGGCATGGTAAAGGATAATGGTTTAAAATCTGTACCTCTGCACAGTGGAGAGCCCCAAGTGAAACTAACTTGTCTGGCTTCATTAGCTTCATGGAATTCATACAGAAATGAAGCATGAGAAACAAGGCCTCGTGAATGAAATCTGCAGTGCCCTCCATGAGGGGGATGGGATAGAGGAAACATGCAGACAACAAGAGCAGTGTGTCTGGGGTTACTGGGAGCTGCCCCTCAGCATGGAATTATGTCTCTTCACAGGGATTCCAAGGCAAGACCGGCCCTCCCGGCCCCCCAGGTGTGGTTGGCCCTCAGGTGAGATACAACACCCTTGCACTCAGGGACCACCCGTCGCCTGACATGGGGTTCTCAAGGGAGAAGCAGTTGCTGTCCCATTGGTTCCGACTTGTGACCCCACACATGTCAGTAGAACTGTGCTCCATAGGGTCCTCAGTGGCTGATTTTCAGAAGCAGATGGCCAGGCCTTTCTTCCAAGGTTCCTCTGGGCAAACTAGAACCTCCAACCTTTCAGTAATCTGCCAAGTGTGTTGACTGTTTGTGCCATATGTGGACTTCTTAAGATAGATAGGTAGATCTGTGTAGATCAATAAAGAGAAGACATATCTCGAGATTTATGTAGAGAAAGCTGAGTTTGAGGAATTAGTTCACATGATCGACGGCTGGCAAGTCTACAATCTGTTGGTCACACAACAGGGTGGACAGTTGAGCAGACCTTATGTCCCAAAATCACAAGTTAGGTGATAAGAGAGAAAAGAGGAGCTCTGGCAAGATGTCCCTTTATAGTCTGGAGGCAGAACATGCCCAGGAATCTCCCTGTTTGCACTTCAGCCTTCACCTGATTGGATAAAGCCCATCGCATTGTGAATGACTTAATCTTATGTAGCTAGTTAATAACAGCCTTTACACTTGTATTTGACCCAACAACTGGGCACACAGCCCAGCTGAGTTGGCACGTGATATTCACCACCTCATATGTTGTCACCCATGCATGTGGCAGAGGGGACCATGGCTCAGGATCATGTCCCCTATGATTCCAGAGATGCTATTAACAGCGGGTCCTGAGTCACTTAGATGCTGGTTAACATTGGGAAGGGTTCTGCTCTCTGCAGAACCATGTAGAGAGGAGAGGGACCAGTCCTGGCCAGGCAGGTGGAGCAAGTACAGCAGCTTGAGGCCAGGGGGACGGTTGGGCTAGCATGAAGCCAGGTTCCTCCCGGGGAGGGCCAGCTGTGCAGTTGTTGGTGCCCATGGCAGCCTGGTTCCCCTGACCCTGACCCTGCCTGGGCTCCTCCAGCAATGGAGGAGTGGCCGAGAGTAGGCTGGACAGGCAGGAGGTGGGCTTATTTCTTGAAAGGAGGTTCTGGCCCACTGCAGCTGTAGCCTTGAGGACACGCAGCACACTGTCCTGCATGGCATCTCTCCATGGCTGCCTTGGCACCTTCACTTCCTGTGCTGGCTTCCCGACCATGTCCTGGGAAGTGCAAGCCAGCCCTGCTGGATGAAGGCACCTCAGATATGGAGAGAGGGGAGCTCCAGGCCCTGTGTGGGCAATCAGCAGGCCTGCTAATGGTATCGTCCATGCTTGCTTGCTTTTTCCTTTTCCAATTTTGCTGGAAGGAGAAGGCAAGCAAAGGAAGGTGGAGGCTGGGTGAACATGGGGCAGGGCTCTGCCTCTGAGGCCAGGATGGTCCTTAGACTTGGGGGGAAGCTTCACGTTCTTATGTGTCACTTGGAAACAAGTTTGTGGCTAACACTGTTTGTGCCCGTAGGGTCCAACTGGAGAGACTGGCCCAATGGGGGAGCGTGGCCACCCTGGGCCTCCGGGGCCTCCCGGTGAGCAGGGGCTCCCAGGCATGGCTGGAAAAGAGGGGACGAAGGTGAGTTCCTTGAGTCCTCCCTGTCAGGATGTCTCTGAAGGTCATTTCTAGACTATGCTTTATCTCTTACTTTGTTCTGATAAGGGGAGAATTTCTCAAAAAAACGCTTTCCAAACTCTGTGGATCTAACTCTATGTTTGTGCTATTGAACCAAGATGTGAGCTGGCCTCATAGTGCAGGTGAGGGCAGGGAACCAGAGCAGCCATCTCAGCCCTTCGGCTCCATCTGGGTCCTACCTGCAGCTCCTCTTGGCTCCCAGAAGGAATAAAAGTTCCTTCCACTCTGTGTGTCTGAAAAGAGGTCAGCAGAAAGTGCAAACACTCTTAGTGCTTCATATGGCTGAAACAGATTCAGTGGAAAGTGAGCTTGAAAACCCCCACCCAAGAAGAGAAAAGCAAATTATAAAAAATATGAAACTCACATGTTTATATCTCACCTCTTGGCACCTGCTCTAAATGTGTCTACTTTCTGGATCTCTGAAGCCTCTTCCCTCCAGCCAGGAGACCCCAAGGTAGAGGCCAAGACTTCCTATCATTTAGCATGAAGATAAAAAGCCCTTCCCTGAAAAATGAAGGACACAAGGAAACATAGATTCTCCAGCCTTCATATGACTGCACACAAAAAGAAGCTTAAAACAATATGTGTGTAATATGTAGGGTCACTGTGAGTTGGAATCAACTCAACAGCAATGGGTAATGGATGTGTGTGTGTATGTGTATATGTGTGTGTACAAAGCCCATTGCCATCAAGTCCATTCTGACTCATAGTGACCCTGTAGGACAGAGAAGAGCTGCCCCATAGGGTTCCCAAGGCTGAAATCTTTATAGAAGCAGATTACCTCATCTTTCTCCTATGGAGCAGCTGGTGCATTCAAACTGCAGAGCCTTTGGTTGACAGCCGAGCTCTTAACCATTGCACCATCAAGGCTCCTTTTATGTGTGTGTGTGTGTGTGTGTATCATATATGTACATAAATATAGAAATTTACACATATCTAAATGAAACATAGTGAAACAAATAAAGAAATACTGAAAAATGTGTGGATGTAATGTTTTCAGTATTTCTTTATTTGCTTTACTTTTTATATTTATATACGTGTGTGTGTGTATGTGTGTTATGTGTGTCTCAGCCATACAGAGAGACTTCAGATGTGGAGAAATGTGCCCCTTTCCATGGGTACCATCCAGGTAGGAGGCTAAAAGCATTTGACTTGCTGATCTAGAAAGGACCCATGCTTCCAAGGTAGATCCCAGACAAACTTCTGGATAATGTCAGAGCTTTTGTGTACCTCAGAGAAGATGTAAGTTTCAGGGGACACATCTCTTCAGAAAATTTGGCTTTAGGCTTGGATCAAATATCTGGAGCCACTATTTAGAATTGTGCTTTGGGCGTTTGTTTTGGTCGCAGACTCCTTTCCTAAGCAGCATCTGAGGAGGAGCCCAGACATGTAGCACAGGAGACTTCATATCTCCTTACAACTCTAGAGATCTGAACCCCACGGAGCTGTCCATACCTCTGAGCTACGAGGTTGGGCAGTGCTGCATGTGGGCAGCTCCCCAGGGTCAAGGCTAGATTCAGAAATTCCTTTTGAAGCAGGTTGCCATGGTAGAAACCTCCTGGTCCAATCATTCCTAGCTGGATCTCAGAGAGAAGGCCCTGCCCAGCTCCTGGAACCTTCTCCTAGGCACCACATCTCTGCAGCTGGCAGGGGCAGAAGAAGCTAACTGAAGGCTCTGTTTCAGGGTGACCCCGGCCCCGCCGGCATCCCTGGGAAGGATGGACCCCCAGGACTGCGTGGCTTCCCTGGGGACAGAGGTCTTCCTGGACCAGTGGTGAGTGATGGGCCAGATGGGACATGAGAGTGGATAGTGCCCAGCCCAGCCTCTCAGCAGAAGACCTTGACACACATTCTCATTGTTCACAGGGAGCTCTTGGTCTGAAAGGCAATGAAGGCCCTCCTGGTCCCCCTGGGCCTGCGGTAAGTGGTTCTGGCTTGGCACAATGCCCTCTCTCCCACCCTCTACCTCACACCTGCTTCTGTAGGAGGGCAGGAGAGGGCCTCTGCCACCCTGCTTCTACCACGTGGCCTGTGAAGGGTGTAGTGGAAGAGATGGGGTTTGAAGAGGGGCTAATAGTGGGTGATGAGGGTCCCATGTAATCGTAGCATGTGGAGGAGGAGCAATGAGTGAGTGCTTAGGGGTCAGATGGTCCCAAAGGGGAGAGTGACATCAGGCCCTTGGGTGTGGAAGGGTCACTGAAGGCAGCAAGTAAGGAGGACATGCCCCTAGACATCAAGGGGTGGCAGATGCATGCTTGGCTGAGTCGGGGAGAAGACACACAGATCACATAGATCCTCAAAATGCCAGAGCAAACAGACTGCCTGCAAAGGGCCATTGAGAAATATGGTGGGTTCCAGTGAGCAGGTGAGTGGCAGGGTCAAGTGGGGCTTTGGGGAATCCTGTCACACAGTTTGAGAGCCTTGGAAATAAACCATTTTCTTGCCCCTACCCAGGGATCTCCGGGGGAGAGAGGTCCTGCTGGTGCTGCTGGGCCCATTGGAATTCCAGGGCGCCCTGGGCCTCAGGGCCCTCCAGGGCCGGCTGGAGAGAAAGGGGCTCCTGTAAGTACTACCAGGCAGGGGGGCTACAGTGGGAACCCCTCTTGGGGTGGAGGTATGGGGTTCCTCACATGCCCAGCCTTGTCCCTCTCCTGCCATGTCTCTGTGGGTATTTCTCTGAGGTGTTCACAGCACTGTGGTGGGAGGAGATGGATGGGTTTATAGTATGGTCTATGGTGTCCTGACTAGGGCCCAGGTGGAGGGTTCCATTGTTTCCATGTTGTCCAGTGAGGGCTGAGCTGGGGTGCTGCATGGGGATGTATCAGCAGTATACTGGCCAGTGCTCAGACAAATCAGCACTTGGCTTGGACACCATGTCTATGGCTGGTCCTGCAGGCAGAGGAAGGAGACAAGGTACTGAGTGAGATCAATTATCCATGCAAGTCTCCTTGATCAGAACAAATAATCCACTAGTCACTGGTGTGTACATGGGTCTTTATTACTTACAGTCATCAGGATGGTAATAAACAGAGTGGGATTTATCAAGAGCCAGGTTCTTCCAAAAGGCTCCCATCAGAGGTGCAAAGTTTGATCACTTCCATGCATACCCCTCAATGTGCTGAGGGTGAGAAAACAAAGGGGGTCTCTGGCCCAAGGTTGATGTATTATAAAGGGGAGAGCATATGTGGTAGATAGCAAGGGAAAGGTACACCTGGCCTTGCCATCTGGTACCAAGAAGGTGTCACTTGTTCAGGTACAAAACAGTATAACAAGAAAGGACATTCCTTCCCCTCTAGCTGCAAGATTAATTTTGTAAACCTGTATTTGCTGATTAAAGGTTCAGTGGGTTAAAATCACCTGGAGAAATGCCTCCCCTGGGATGCATACTAAGTAGACAGTAGGGTTGGCCAGGTGCCATATGGTACCCATGCATGAGCAGAAACAGAGACAGCTACTATGTGCCCAGAATAGGGAGGAAGGCTCCTCTGACAAGGAAAAGGGGCAAGGAAAGAGAAAAAGACCCAATTCCCAGCCTCCTTAGCAGAGGATGCTCCGGGCCCCAGATCTTAGCTTAGGATGGGAATCAGGAGGCAGACCATCCTCTCTACAGAGGGCCTAGAAACACTGTGTGTTCAGCGGATTGGTCATGGGACCCCTCAGGGTACCCCTCAGGGGCATAGGGAATGGATGAGTCATACCACCTGCTCTGTGGACACCCTCTGACCATGGCTGTAGCCCAAGGCCATCTCTCTGAGAGGGAGATGGATATTTGATCTAGCAGCATATGTGGAGAGCTTATGCTAGCCAAGGCAGGGTGGGGTGGGGTGGAGGATGTGTGATGGGAAGATATGGGACGTTGTCCTCTACCCCTACAATAGTCTGACCTCTCTGGGAACCCTGGATTGTACAGGTTTTATGAAAGCTCCGGACAGTGGATATGCATCTGCCAGACTTGCCCAAATATTGGGTTCCATGAAGGAGATTAATGAATGCCCCTTCTTGCCTTGCATTTAACTAAGCAGAAGATTGGTGGTTCAAATCCACCCAGTGGCATCATGGAAGAAAGTCCTGGCAATCTACTTTCGTAGAGATTACACCCATTGGAAACCCTATGGAGCAGTTCTACTCAGTAACTCATGGGACCACCATGAGTTGCAGTTGACTCACTGGTAGTGGGTTTCTTATTGCCTTGGACATTTCCTGGAATGCATACTGCTACCCCTTCTTGCAAGCCCCCTCCCCAGAATAACTCATAAGACACCCCTGATTGCCTTGGGGTGGCTCACCCTGATCCACATCAGACTCAAATCACATGAGTTGAACCTTCCGCTGGGCCCCGCATTCCAATGGCCATGGAGCAAGCCTCAGTTGTTCCTTTCTGAATTCAGAATGTGAGGTGGGCCTGAGTTCTGAGCATGGGCCCACACCAACACAGCCATCTCCGATGAGCTAGGATGCAAGTGGTGTTTGTGTTAGGAGGGTGACATTTCCCTCACAGCTGCTCTGAGGCAGGAAGAATAGCCTGGTTGTGTTCCATGGGTGAAGGCACCATGAAATCATTTTGGAAACACCTGTGCTATTGAGACTATGGTCAATATGTTATTGGGGATAAAACCAGTTGTGATGACATCTAAAAATGTCCAGCGATGCCCCCAGCACATTGATCCATTGAATAACCCTCCAGAAAACTGTGTTTAGAACATAAAAAGCACATACAAGTCTGTAAAAAATGGTTTGGTTCACTGTTTCAAGACAATAAATATTTAAGCAGAAGCCTAGCAAGAGCTGCATGTTCCAGCTAAAAGTTGGCATTCCTGAAAATAGCTCCAGAGGAAAGGAAAAGTTGAGAGAAAGTCAGGGCACCTCCAAGAACATGACCTGACTGGTGATGAGGACAGGAAAGTCCCAGGCAAGCCCTGCCTGTGGCCTTGGCATTTGTACTGGCTTAATTAGATTTGAAATTTATCCATCAACTAAGTCTGAGGAGTAGACAGTGACTTGTACAGCAAGGAAAGGAGCAGATACACTGGAAGCAGCGGCCATGTCCTCATCCCTGAGAGCAGAGGTGCCAGGTGACGGGAGAGTGGCTGCTGCCTGTGTTCAGATCTGAGGACTGAATGTCCATTTCCCCTCCCAAATATGCATACCCTTCATCCTGTGTGTCTGTTGGAAGAAGAGGTCCCTGGTTAGGGTGAGACAGTTCAAGCCATTCACACAGTGGTAGATGGTAACATAGTTAAGCAAAGCAAGAGCCTAGAACCATTTGAGATTACCAACAGGACAGTTATGAGGCAAATGAATCAAAGTCACAGGAAAGGATAGATAATGTATGTGTGTTTATGCGTGCACACACATGTACGTGAGTGCATATGCACGTGTGCGTGCATGTGTGTGCATCCATGTGTGTGCATGTCTCTCTCTGTGTGTGTGCATGTGCATGTGCGCACAGGTAGTATATTTGCAGAGAACTGGAAGTGTGAAAAAAGCCATGGCAGGGCTGGCTCTCAGGCTGCTGCAGTTACTAGCCTAGAATGCCCTGAGAACAATGCACAGAGGCTCCGCATTGGTTTGAGCCCTGCCTCTGCTCACTCACAGAGCCTGTGTTTCCCCATCTGTGAAAGAATGGTACTTTGCAGAATGAGTGTGACAGTGCCTGGCTCAGAGCTAGCCCTCAATGTTCCTGCTGAAACCCATTAGGATGGCGGGGATGGTCACTCTCCAAGAGCTCCTGCCTTTTCTCCTGAGCTCCCCTCTGGAGTGATGAGCTAGGGTGGGATGTCCACAGGATGGAGCCACATCTAACCAGCAGTCTTCTGTTCTCTCTAGGGTGAGAAAGGGCCACAAGGCCCCGCTGGCCGAGATGGTCTTCAGGGCCCCGTGGGGCTCCCTGGCCCAGCAGGCCCTGTGGGTCCCCCTGGAGAAGATGGAGATAAGGTAAGGGGACTGCAGGCAACTTCTCCACCCCAGATGGTGCCCTGTGGCTGCACAGGCCAATGCAAGCCAACCAGTCATTTTAAACGGAGAGGAGCACCCAGGCACAGGGCTCTAGGCACCATGAATGCTCTAGAAGCAGCCCACAGTGATTGGTGATGAGGGAAGCTTGGGGAGCTCCGAGATTGGCCCTCCTATGCAGCCCTGACATTGTCCTGGACAGTTGCTGTTAGAGCCAAGGTAGAGAAAAGGCCCTGTGTGCCCCAGTCATTCACATCCATACTCTGCAGAGGCCATGGGAATGAGGCTCCGTCACTGTCTGTTAAAGTGTTCACTGCATTATCAAGCCTTCCTTCATTAAGATTGGGCTTTATAATTCAAATGCAATTACCACAGGCACACATATTCCATACCTTTTTTAAAGGAAATGGTGAGATTTAGCTCTTGGGTCTAACATTCTTTGTGATAAGCCTCTGGTGACATTCACGACTTTGTCACCTCTGGTAGATCAAGACTTGCATCGCAGGGTGGAAAAAGCCTGCACCAATAGCAGCACAGGAGAAGATTTTAATAGCTTCTCTGGAAGCATAGCAATTGGGTTGCCTGTCGTTAAGCTGTCATGTTGGCAGTCCAATATGAAAACAAAGTCAATCTTTTTAATATGCGTTTTCCCACATTTTAAAATCTACTAAAATTCTGCATAGCGTAAGATGGAGACACTGTTCCTTTTATGCTTTGCGTTATAAAGGAAATAAAATTAATATATGGAACATTTCTTCTTTGGAAAGGCATGGAGCCACCTGGAGGAGGGATTATTCTTAACCCCCAGGGAACATTAGTTATGAGGACAGATAATGTCTACCAGCTTGTGGGGCTGTCTGACAGAACCTTCCACATTTTCCCCTAGGGTGAGATCGGAGAGCCAGGACAGAAAGGGAGCAAGGGAGACAAAGGCGAGCAGGTAAGAAGCACTTCAGTGCATGTAGATGACTGTGGATTTTGGAGGTGACCACTGCAGAGGTCATGTGAGTGGTGTGACATGTGGCCTTCACGATGATTGCTGAGACATAGCTGATTGAATTTCCTGTCCTGTAAAAATCTCCTATATGTGTATATATGTACATGATATATGCCTATGTCTATTTATGTATATGTGTGTATGTGCATATGTGTCTGTATATGTACATATGTATATGTGTATATATGGTGTGTATGTATGTGATGTGTACGTGTGTATGTATGTATTGTGCATGTGTGTATTTATAAGTATATGTGTCTGCAAATATATGTATGTCTATGTATGTGTATATATGCATGTATACATATATATGTATGTTATGCGTATGTGTGTATAATTGTGTGTGTGTGTGTATATGTATATGTGTATAAGTATAAAGGAGCCCTGGTGATACAGTGGTTAGAGCACATGGCTGTTAACTAAAAGGTTGGCAGTGTGAACCCACCAATCGCTCTACGGGAGAAAGATGAGGCAGTCTGCTTCCATAAGGATTATAGCCTTGGAAATTATATGGGGCAGTTTTACTCTGTCCTATAGAATCACTGAGTCAGAATTGACTCGATGGAGGGTATAAATATATATGTGTATGTACGTACATGTGTATATAAGTATATGCTTATGGGCATACATATATGCATGTATATATGTGTGTATGTGTATATATAGATATGTACATATATGTGTATGGGAGTGAACCTCTTGGTGTATGTCTATGCATGTATATATATATCTATATGTGTGTGTATGCATGTGGACATGTGGACATATGTATGGGAGTGAACCTCTTGATGTGTGTATATATATATATATATATATATATATCCATGTATATCTATTTTTATCCAATGGAATATAGAAATTATAAAACAATATTATTAATATCACACACAAGTAAAATTTTGCTGAAGGTAATTCAGAAACCATTGCAGCATTATGTTGATGGAAAACTTCCAGAAATTTAAGCTGGATTCAGAAGAGGATGTAGAATGCAGTTATCATTGCTGATGTCAGATGTATCTTGGCTGAAAATAAAGAATTCCAGAAAGATGTTTACCTATGTTTTATTGACTATGCAAAGGCATTCAGCTTTATTGATCATAATAAATCATGAATAACATTGCAGAGAATGAGAAATCCAGAATATATAATTGTGCTCACGAGGAACCTGTGTATAGATCAAGAGACAGTTATTCAAACAGAACAAAGGGATGCTGTGTGGTTTTAAATCAGGAAAGATGTGCATCAGGGTTGTATCCTTTCACCATATTTATTCAATCTGTATGCTGAGCAAATAATCCGAGATACTGGACTATATGAAGAAGAATGTGGCATCAGAGTTGGAGGAAGACTCATTAACAACCTTGCTTATTGAAACTGAAGAAAACTTGAAAGCACTTACTAATAAGATTAAAGACTACAGTCTTCAGTATGGGTTATATCTCAACATAAAGAAAACAAAAATTCTTACCACTGGACCGATAAACAACATCATGATAAATGGGGAAAAGACTGAAGTTGTCAAAGATTTCATTTTACTTGGATCTACAATCAACACCCATGGAAGCAGCAGTCAAGAAATCAAATGACATATTGCAGTGGGCAAATCTGCTACAAGGGACCTCTTTAAAGTGTTAACAAAGATGTCACTTTGAAGATTAAGGTGTGCCTAACTCAAGCCATGGTATTTTCAGTCACCTCATATGCATGTGAGACGGAGACAATGAATAAGGGAGACCGAAGAAATGTTGATGCCTTTGAATTGCAGTGTTGGCAAAGAATCCTGAAAATGCCACGGACTGCCAGAAGAACAAACAAATCTGTCCTGGATGAAGTGCTGCTGGAATGCTCCTTAGAAGTGAGAATGGCCAGACTTTGTCTCACCTACTTTGGTCATGTTATCAGAAGGATCCAGTCCCTGGAGAAGGATATCATGCTTGGTAAAGTGGAGGGTCAGCTAAAAAGGGGAAGACCCTCAATGAGATGGATTGACTCAGTGGCTACAATGATGGGCTCAAGCATAGCAAGGTTTCTTAGAATGGCACAAGACTGAGCAGTGTTTCATTCTGTTGTACATAGGGTCAATGTGAATTGGAGCCGACTTGATGACACCTAACAACACCATGTATCTGTGTATGTATGTATGCATATGTATGCATATGTACATATGTATGGGAGTGAACCTCTTGGTGTGTGTGTGTGTGTATACACACACACACATGTATATGTACATATGCATACGTATGCATGGTTATGTATACACCTGTGTATGGGAATGAGTCTCTTGATGTACATATATGCATGTACATGTATATTTATGTGTATATGAGCATATGGAGATATATGTATGTGTGTCTGGGAGTGACCCTCTTTGTGTATGTGTGTGTATGTATATATATGTATTATATGCATGTGTATGTATGTATGGATACATATATGTGTTTGGGAGTGAACCTCTTGTGTATATGTACATGTTTGCCTATCTGTATATGTGTGTTTACATGTATACATACATGTACATGTGTCTAGAAGTGAGCCTGTTGGTGCTGAAATGAGCAGGTGTAAGGAATGAACCAGGGGAGCTCTGGTAGCATACAGCCTAAGGCACTTGACTGCTAACCAGAAGGCTGGCAGTTCAAACCCACCAGCCGCTCCTCGGAAGGAAGGCTGGGCAATCTACTTCTGTAGTAATACTGCCCCGGCAACCCACAGAGGGGTTGCTATGAGTCGGGTCCGACTCAACAGCACACAACAACAACAAGAAGGAATGAACCAGAGGAGCATTTCTGTCCTGAGGGCTCCACGTCCACAGATACACTCACTATCCTTGGTGCTGAGGACAGCAGAATATCCTGACAGACACAGCAGCAGACCCAATGCTCGTGCATTTTTTCTCTCCCTTTTTTTCCTCTTATTCTGTTCTGAAATGCTCACGTGTCCTTTGCACCTGGCTACCAGCTTCCCTTACTGGCTGTGAGCCATCATCTCCCTAGTTACCATGTAGCCCAGCTTTCCTCCAATGTCCTTGTTCTGGGCACTGAGTGCCTGTGTCCCCATGGGACCTGTCACTGGTGGTACTGCCTCTGCTGCTGTGACCTGTCTCCTTAGCCACCGTGTGGCTGAGCCTCCCCAAATGTCTTTATTCCCGGCACTAGGTGACTGTGTTTCCATGGGACCTGTTGCTGGTGGTGCTGCCCTCCACCTCTGATTGGGCCTCTGAGCAAGGCAGTGGCCCTCTGCCCTTGGGTTACTCTCTCCCTACCTCTGATTGCTGAGTGCCACGTGTGGGGATGGGTCCACTGTTCAGGTTCCTCTGCTTGGCCTCAGCTGTGTCTCTGGAAGCAACCATGTGTCTTTGTCTCCCTACAGGGTCCTCCCGGGCCTACAGGTCCTCAAGGCCCCATTGGTCAGCCAGGCCCCTCCGTAAGTATCTGTTGTTAATGACCCTTAGAAAAGCGTGCCTGCAAGCTGGCTTATCACCAATGCCTCGTCCTCATCCTCAACTCAATGGTTTCCCTGCAGGGGGCAGATGGAGAGCCAGGACCTAGGGGCCAGCAGGGCCTTTTCGGGCAGAAAGGTGATGAGGGCCCACGAGGTTTCCCGGGCCCCCCGGGCCCTGTGGGGCTGCAGGTAAGGCCACAGTTTTCAAAGTGGTTGAGGGTTCACTGTGCATGCTCCTGCATCTTTTTGTGTATACCTCCCCCATCCTGTCCTTCAAGGATGGGAAGCCAGATTGGGCTGCAGAGGGCCTTCAGGTGGGGTCCCCATCAAACCAGAAGTCCAAGTCCTGCAGTCCCACACCTGCCCACGGCTGCTTCTCCTAACCCATGACATTAATTCCCATGCTTGTGTAAAATCTGGGAGCTCTGGTGGCATAATGCCTAAAGCACTTGATTACTAACCAGAAGCCTGGCGGTTCAAACCCACCAGCCACTCCTTGGAAGGAAAATTGAGTAATCTACTTCCATGGTAATACTGCCTCAGAAACCCAAGGAGGGGTCGCTATGAGTCAGAGCCAACTCGACGGCAGTTGAGTTTGATTTTTTGTTTTTGAATGTAAAATCTGGAAAACGCTGATCAACTATAAAAAAGAAAACAAGCATGACTTCTAAACATCCCATCTAGAAGTTATGCCTATAAATATTTGGTCCCATTTCCTTTGCAGACCTTCTAACTATGCATATTAACATATGCACATATGTCATTTATTTGGCTTTTGCAAAATCTGAATCATGCTGTAAGCATGGTAAGTTCTGTGCCCAGTGTTTCCCATTTCTTATCACATTATGAGTTCTGTCAAATGTCACTGAGTGGCCTTTCAGTGCCCAGCTTCCTAGCTGTGGCCTAGTTTTCCAGCACACGGTTGCAGTAGAGTTTGTGTAAACACCCCCTCCATCAACTCGGGCATTGTTTTGTGGGACACTTGAGTAAGCACCTTTGTCCAAGAATCTTACATCCTTCTTCAGTGATCTCCTTGGGCTGCATTCTCAGGGTTGTGAAGATGGGATGCCCTCACATTCTTGCTGTGCGCATGGAAACACATTCCAAGCTCTGAGTGTCTGTGTTGTGTTGGCAGAACACACGCGTCTGTGTGTTTGTTAGATGAATGCTAACTTTACGGTCTCGGACCCCTTCCTGTTTCCACTAGGGCTTGCCAGGACCTCCAGGGGAGAAGGGTGAGACAGGAGATGTGGGCCAGATGGTAAGTGTGGAGGGGACATAGGACCCAGCTGTGGCAACTGCTTTACATTTTGGGAAAGCGTTTATATTTCTTCTGTGCTCAATGGCCACTCCCTTTTCTAGGGCCCCCCAGGTCCCCCTGGCCCCCGAGGACCCTCTGGATCTCCAGGTGCTGATGGGCCACAAGGCCCTCCAGGTGGAATCGGAAACCCTGGAGCAGTGGGTGAGAAGGTAACTCCTCTTAACTACTTATAGTGTCAGCTCTGTCTGTGGGAGGAGAACCATGGTGTGAATGTATGTGTACGTGTGTATATGTGTGTATGCATGTGCACACATGTGTGTGTGTATGTGAGGGGGAGCATGTGTGTACCTGGGTGTGAGCTTTGGAGTGTGTACACAGATATACAAGTGTGTTGCTGGGTCATTCCTGTCAGATGCATTTTAAAACTTAGAAATGGAACAGAGATGCTCTGACATGTTGACTCATGACAACCTGTGGCCAAATTTCCAAATGTGCCCCCACCAGGAAAGCCCCTGCTCCTTCTCTAGGACTGAGCTTGCTGGATATATTGGTCTGTCCCTTGCAGTGCCATCATTGCTACTTTACAGTTTCCATTTAGTCAAATTCTTGGCTTCTCAGAGCCCAGGGTCTGGTTATGCAATCTGATGAATTTTAGGTTCTGGACCCTCAAGATGATGAAATGAGCATGACAGATGTGTGCATATGTGTATGTATGCATGTGTGTCCATGTGTGTGGTAGGCATTTTGGTACTGGGATATGACTCCACTTCAGTGCTAACGAATTTTCACTGTTTTAAACACGTGTCTTGGTTACTTTGGATAAAAGGAAGTGAACACATATGTCCCCATTCCCTTGCATTCCCTGGACACTGTTTCCAGAGATTTCTTTCTGACTTCAGACCATTAAATTAAAAGAACTCTGCTGTCACTGCTCATTTTTATGACAAGAAAACTAAAGAGAAGCAGCTGAGACCACAGATTAACACTGTGTTAGCCTCTGCCGTGAAGGGCACCCTCTCTCGGTGGCATCCCCTCCCTCTGCATATGCCCCTTCCTTTCCACCACCCTGTCGCTGCATGTCCCTGACGATGCTGTGCTCGGTTCTCTCTCTTGCTCTGCACAGGCAGTCCCTGCCTGTGAGGCTGCCCACACCGCCTGCCCCAAGCTTCTCATAATTATCCTTCATCTGCACTTGCACAAGGAAGCATCCTCATCACCCTCCCCTGTAATCAAATGCCCTTCCTGTGTTCTCATGTACCTGTGTAAACCACTCTCCATTTTTCATGCACAGACCATGTCTCAGGACCCCTCCTGCACACCCCCCCCATCCGAGAGGCTGTTTAGGACAGCTGCCTCACAAACCCAAGGCCTTTGGAGACATGGTAAATGCTTGAACCTGGAGCAGTGGCTTGTACCACGTCTATAACTGTGTTGTGCTTTCTCCTTAGGGTGAGCCTGGAGAAGCTGGGGAACCTGGTCTTCCAGGAGAAGGGGGCCCCCCGGTGAGTGGGATTTGGGGAGGGGTGGGAAGTTACCAAGCAGGAGAATGGACAGGGTGCTGGGTTGGGAGCGCCAACTCTGCCTCAACTTTCTCATCCATGTAATGGACTCATAACTCCTCTTGTGCAGACCTAACAGGATTACTGTAAAAAAAAGGGAAGGAGAAAGTGTGATGAGGAGAGAGCACAAGCGTGTGTGTGTGTGTCTGTGTGTGTGTGCCTATATGCACATGGACCTTAGGACCAGTGACTGGTAGCTACTCTGTTATCTGGTATTCAGGTCCCTTTCGGGGGTTGTCATAAACATAAGTGGGGATGATGGTCACCCTCATCACCTTCAAGGCCAGATTTTGGCTGGGGCAGCAGCCTGCAGCAAAGACACCCCTTTGCACTGGGCAGCGGAGATCCCTGGGGGCGGTGGCCTTTCTCATCTTCCTGATATGCTGATGACCAGCACTGTTTCCCATCTTTGGCTGCTTGCTGGGGGATGGTGCTAGGGAGGGATGGTTCTTCCTCCCAGAACCAGAGAGTTGGTCAGATGGATACTTGCTACGAGGCTTTCAGGCCTAGGCAGCCTCTGGGTAGAATAAGACTTCTTAGTCTCTAGCCATTCCTTCCACCCAAGAACCACTGGGCTAGGGGGTGATCTGGGCCCTGCAGCCCCCTGTGGTCTGTGCTGCCTGCTCTAATCCAAGTGTTGGTCCCTCCCAACACGAGGCCTGGCTTTAGTGCCTGCAATACCTACTGAGCTCCTGGGCCCAGCATCAAGGGGCAAATGGGGGCAGACCCTCAGGGGTCATAGCTAAGGGCCAAGAGGGGAGTAGAGCGACTATTAGCCCTGGGCCAATGCCCAGCCACAGTTGGCCCTCACTAGTTATTGGTTAGACAGATGATGTGGCATAAACCAGGGTAAGGCACTCCCTCTGGCCACTGTGAGGTCTGCTCTGCACAACGTGGACATTTTGCTTTTCCCTCCAGGGGCCCAAAGGAGAGAGGGGGGAAAAGGGCGAGTCAGGCCCTTCTGGTGCTGCTGGACCCCCCGGACCCAAAGGCCCCCCTGGAGATGACGGACCCAAAGGCAGCCCTGTGAGTAGCTCCATAAGCCCTGCACCCGGGTCAGCCTGAGAAGTCAGGGTGCACCCTGCTTGGGGAAATGTCCATGACTATTACGTGTCTCCAGATCTAGAAGTTACCAAACCAGCTATTGAACCACAATAGCCAGACAAGAAAGGGGAGACTTGGGTTAGAGAAGAAGGCCTTGGAGGGTCCATCCTTGGAGAATGCCTCACCTTTGTGGATGAGGCTGAAAAGTACCATGCGAAGGCCACCATGCTCCCACAGACACCCCCTCCTCTGGCCTAGTTTTGCATAATAAGGGGCTCTGTGCTTTGAAGGTCAGGCTCTGGCCTCAGCCTGGAGCTCCCAGGAGTGGAGGTGTGGGCAGGTACCTGACCCTCCTTTGCCTGTTCCTGGAAGGCTAGAGTTCTGATCCCCATCTTGCCTACCTCCCAGGCTTCCTTGGTGGTGAGATGAGGTCATGTCCAGGAAGGACCTGCCTGTGATGTGGAGTGCACTGCAGGCAATTGTCAGAATACTCTGGGAGCTAGATGATTAGGATGACTGTTGGTGCTGCAACAGGCCTGACAGTGTGTGCTCATGACTTCATGTGCTTCCCTCTCCTTTCTAGGGCCCTGTGGGCTTCCCTGGAGATCCTGGTCCCCCTGGAGAGCCAGGCCCTGCGGTAGGTATCACAAGGACAAGGCTGATTGGTTGATTGCTCCCCCCACAGCCACAGACCTGCCCTGTGTCAGACCCATGTGTGTTTCTTTCTGGTTATTTCTCTTTGATGAATCAAGAGAGCTCCTCTAGGGGCACAGCACCCTCCCTAAAGGCACCCACACTCTGAGAGTTAAACAGGGGTGCATGCATGTCCTGTTCTGAGTACACTGGGTTACAACTCTGGGGGACTTGGGTTAGGGGAAGAGACCAGAGATGTGTCAGGTGTTGGTGCGTGAACTTGGGGCACCATCCAGGTGGCAGGAAGTAACCTGGTCTTGTCTCCACAGGGTCAAGATGGTCCACCTGGGGACAAAGGAGATGATGGTGAACCTGGGCAAACGGTGGGTGCGCCATGATCAGAGCTACCTGGGCATTCTGGCCCACATTCTTGGTGGAGGGTGTCAGCATGTGTCCTAGAATGTCAAAGCTTACTCTGTTGATTTCTGAGAAAAATGCGTGCCTAGTTACTTGATAAGGCTGATTCTTAACCAAATGACAGCATGAGCTCCCTCTGAGGGTCTGTTGGAAGTTGTGGACCCTCTTCTAGAAGAAAAATGCATGTATTGTATATTTACACAAATAACACATACATTATACTGTTTTTTGCAAAATGTGTAACCACTTCACAAATTAGTTTCCTATGTGTGCTATATGCATTATACGCATGTGTGCATTATTTTGGTGGTTGTACTATATGTGGAAATCATACCAGCAGTTCTGCATACAGCCCCAGGGATTTCATAGCCCGCCCCACAGACTTCCTCAGGAGCTTTAAGATTTACCTGTATATCTGCCCAACAGGGCCACATGTCTCTCTTCACAGCTCTTCAGCTTCTACCCTATGAACTGACACCACATCAGACACTGCAGCCCACACTTGACATTGATGTTTCTAACCCCGGCTTCAAGCAGAGAATCCCTCTGCTGTGAAGCAGACCCCTGGACAGGATTCACATTACAGTGACCTCTGTTCTTACAGCTACTCTTGCCCCTACCCCACATTAAACACAGCAAACTGCTGTCTGAAATGATGCACCCAGAGGCCCAAGTCAATGTTACTAATCTTAGATAAGCGGCAATGCAAAGAAAGGGTTAAGGGCACACATTCAGCTCTTGGGTCCTTGGGTCTTTGTTCTGATTCCTTCATTTCTAGCCTGTGGTGGGTGGTATTTCTCCTCCCTGCACCTTGGTTAAAGGGGACTTGGTAGCTCCTGCTGGGGAGGTTGGGGGTAGGGATTAAGCCAGCCATCATGTACCAGGAGCTAAGTGTGGGGTAGTTCCCAGTGCAGTGAGGCCGTGGGCTGATGGAGCAAGAATTCCTGGTGAGACCTTCCCATATGACCTCTGAAGGGAGAGGCCATTCTCGAAGGCCAATGGTAGCTAAAATGAAAAAATGGCGTGCAGACAAGCCTGATCCACTCTGTCTGAGTCTCACAGACCTGAGTCTGAAATATCCGTGTGTTCTTTCTCTAATGCCAGGGATCTCCAGGTCCGACTGGTGAGCCGGGTCCATCAGGGCCTCCAGGAAAAAGGGTAAATATTTCTGCAAGCCTCTCTTCGCCTAGGGGTTTCCTGCATGAAATGTATCCCTCTTTGCCATTCTGCACGTGGACCCCAGATGCTCTCAGCAACACCGATAGGGAAACTGCTGAGTTTGAGTGTGTTTTCTGCTCAGCTTCACACCATGCTGTCAGAGTGGGTGTAAGCATTGTGCCCTGGCTTCTTTCATGCTGGGCCAACTGCAGACGCCATCAGTAACCTGCGTCCTGGGAGGAAAACACCCACTAAGCGGGAGACTCCTTCCTTGTGTCAGACCTTTCTGAGAAGTCAGAACTTGATGCAAAGCTGTCATTTGCATGCTGACAAATCTGGCTGGTTGCTGGGGCTGTGTGAAGTTAGGCTGCCTGACATGGAACCAGGCAAAGGCCCCAGGTTCAGGGTGAGGAGTGCCCCCCAGATTGGCCAAGGGGCCTGATTCTGGAGAGGAGTCAGGAAGGTCCTCACTCTAGCAGCTGAAGCTGTCTCCCACCCTGCCCGGCCACCCTTCTGGACCTTCTGCTTCCAGCCCTGTCTCCTTAGACACTGAGCTCATCGGGCTGCCTCTGCTGGCCAAGCTTGTCACATGTGACTCTCTTATTTGTTCCAGGGTCCCCCTGGGCCTGCAGGCCCCGAAGGCAGACAGGGAGAGAAAGGAGCCAAGGTAATGTGCTTTTAGCCAGGCCTTCTAGAGAGCTGCTACATGGCAGCAGGCAAGTGAGCAGGATAGGGGTCCAAACCTGGTGCACCCACAGGGTGGAGAGTTGCTGGCTAGCCCCAGACGGGGACCTGGCTCCTGTCACAAACCCAGGAAAGGGAACAATCTTCTCCAAAGGAAATTAGCTCTTGAGGGCCTGAGCCCTTGTGGTAGTGATTTTCGATATCACACATCTGTCCACCCTGCATCTGAGGGAGGAGGAGGGTGGGGCTGGAGTCAGAAAAACTGGGTTTAAGTTCTGCTCTGCCACAAATGGGCTAGGTGAACTCCTTCTGGACCTATGACCTGGCTGGGTCTCTGCTTCCTCACACCTGAGGTGGAGAGGAACACAAGGCTATGCTCCTGGGACCAAAGAGGAGAGTGAGTGCTGGACCTGGCACTCAGAGCACCAGAATGATCTCTCAGTGTGGCCTTGGTGGGGCCCACCCATAATGACACTATCTACCTCCTTCCTAGAGATGCTGTGTGATTACGTGATAGTAGAAATCCTACAGCCTCATGTTTGCTCAGGAAAGGGTGGCCGTGACTGCTGGAGTGGCTGTGGCTATCATGTTCACTGTGACTACTCTGTCTGTCATAGGGCTGTGTCTGTTACAGTGGATGGGGTCTCTATGTTAGTTGTGACCACCATGTCCACCATGGTGGCCACAGACACATCTGCCATGGTGATCATAACTAATGTGTCCTCTGTGAGCACTCTATCTGCTATGGTGGTCTGTTATTCATCATGGCTGTGACCCTCATCTCTGTGGTGACTGTCATGCTCACCATAGCAGTCATAACCACCACTGTGACCATCATGTCCACTGTGAGAGACTGAGGTGCCCAGCTGGCTGAGGTACAGAGTGAGATGAGGAATTGGCCGTTAGAGCTTCCTTAATGAGTGTGAAGAATTTGGGGCAGCTCCTGGATTCCTGGGGGAGATCAGGGCTCCCTCAAAGGCACCCTGGAGTTTGGGAATAGTGAGCTAGTGTGATCAGGTGCCCCAAGCCCCTTGATGCCACTCCTTTGTTCTTCTCATGCCCTCTAGGGAGAAGCCGGCTTGGAAGGCCCTCCTGGGAAGACTGGCCCCATCGGCCCCCAGGGGGCACCAGGGAAGCCCGGGCCTGATGGCCTGCGGGGGATCCCTGGGCCTGTGGTGAGTGGGCTATGGCCTAGGAGGGAGCCTGTGGTCAGGGATGGGGGCAGAGGACTGCCGGGAGTGGGACCCAGGCATAGGGATGGGCCATGTGTGGCTCACATGGAAGGTTGATTGTGTTTCAGGGTGAACAAGGTCTCCCAGGATCCCCAGGCCCAGATGGTCCCCCTGGCCCCATGGTGAGTGACATTTCTGTGGTAGTGGTAGGAGAGGGTGGTTTGTCACATGGGACCCCTGGGATGAGGAGTATGACCCCTCTGCCTTCTTCTACAGGGCCCACCTGGACTCCCTGGCCTCAAAGGAGACTCAGGTCCCAAGGGTGAAAAGGTAAGATGGAACTACAGTGCCTATGCGGTCCAAACTGAGACCTTCAACAGCCTTGGTTTCTGGCTGAACCAGATAGTCACCCGTATTTATTATGAGCCTCTGTAGGCTCATGACAGCATCCTTAGAGATGGAAAAACAAGGAAAAAGAATATAGATATTGGTTCTCAGGCACAGTCCCTGCCTCCAAGGGAGCCCTTGAGCAGTTTGGGAGAAGCGTATCCATGTAGGAATAGAAAAAGAACATTCCACATCCCACTAGACACGGAGGTCCTGAGGGCGCTCAGGATCCAAGGAGCAGACACTCTCTCTGGACACAGCCTTCTCAATTACTTCCTAGAGGACATGTGGGGGCACTTTGCAGTGGGGGCAAAACCTTTTTTTTAAAAGTTGGTGGTGATTTTGTCTATTCACACTGATTTACTTATAAATGTAAAATATACTCATAAACCAAACAACAAGTTGTATATAAAAAATGCAATAGAGAACCTTCCTTTTCTACTCCAGTGCTCGTTACCACTACCCACCCCCAGCCTCTTAAGTAATGAAAGTGAGAGAAATCCTTCTAGAACTTTCAATGGGCTCATGTTAAGCAAACATATACATGCATATGTAGCAGATTTTCCTTTTTGTAAAAACATAAAAAATAATTGTTGTATTTATAATATCCTACAATGTTCTTTCCATGCCAGTACACAAATGTAGGTTTTGATTCCTATAACAAAGGACACACACATTTACTATGGGAAAAAATGGAAAATGCATATAAAGGAAAACCATAAACATAAAATTATCACTCAGGAAAAATCACTTTTATCATTGTACTCCAGCTGTGTCTGTCTCCCTACTTGTTCTTTAGGTATAATTTTCAACCAAGTAACAGTCACATCATGCAACTGTATTGTTGCCTGACTGTCTTGTGAGCTTGTCACCCTTTCATGAGTTGCTGACCAGTGACTCATGATGTCCCAGCTCATGGATGTACCACCACTTCTAATTGGCCCTCATGGTGGAACACCAGGTCCCTGGTGGTGCAAACTGTTTGCACTTGACTATTCACCTAAAGGGAGCTCTGGTGGCATAGTCCCTAAGGCATTTGACTACTAACCAGAAGGCTGGCAGTTCAAACCCACGAGCCACACCTCAGAAGAAAGATTGGGCAATCTACTTCCGTAGTGATATCACCTCAGAAACCCAAGGAAGGGTTGCTATGAGTTGGGCCTGACTCAATGGCAGTGAGTTTGGGTTTTTTGGTATTCACCTAAAGGTTGCCCATTCAAACTCACCCAGCATCACCATGGAAGAAAGATCTGGTGATCTGCTTCCAAAAGATTCTGATAAAAACCCCAAAACATTGCTATCAAGTTGATTCTGACTTATAGTGAGCTTATAGGACAGAGTAGAACTGCTCCATAGGGTTTCCAATGCTGTAATCTTTATGGGACCAGATTGTCACATCCCAGAAAATCCTGTGAAGCGGTTCTATCCTGTAACACATGAGGTCACCGTGAGTCAGAGTCAATTTGATGGCAGTGGGTTTAGTTTTCTTGGTGGTTGGACATGAGGTATTGCCCCAATGCTTCTTCCTGCCTTTGTCTTCTTCAGGGTCATCCAGGCTTGATTGGACTCATTGGGCCTCCAGGTGAACAGGGGGAGAAGGGTGACCGAGGCCTCCCTGGCCCACAGGGCTCATCCGGCCCCAAGGGAGAGCAGGTTTGTGAGACAGATCCTCAGTGAATCTACTTGCTGGCTAGTAGCTCCTTTTCGAGATGTGATTCTATGAATTTATGAAATTCTTAAAATGATCAAAATCCCATGGGCTACAAAATAAAGGTAAAGAAGTAGAGCACTTTCTTCTGACATGAAGTTTGGTGCTCTGCCCTTGCTTGTAGCTGAGACCCTCATGGGAAGTTAATGCTGGATGTGGGATCAAAGTGGGAGTCCAGGCTGGGCACTGGGTCAAGCTGAGAGTCAGGGCTGGGCTCAGGGTCAAGGTGGGTGTCAGGGCTGGGCTTGGGGTCAAGAGGGGAGTCAGGGCTGGGCTCGTGTCTAGGTGAGGGCTGCTACAGGGGCCTTTTCTGCAGGCAGGAAGGGTTTCGAATGTATCGGCACTCTGAGCCCCTGGCTTGGTCTGGGCTACATGTGAAGAGGCTGATGGAGAGAGGTTCTGGCAGTGTACTTACGTGGCCACACGTTTAGAAGCTGTGGAGGACTGAGTGGACAGGGCTCCAGGCACTCCTTACCCCTGGAGCCTGCTCTGAGGGAGCGACCAGCACCATGAACAGAGCAGAGAGAAAGGGAACCAGCCACGACAGAGTGGTCAAGGGGGCAGGCAGTGGACATAAGTCAGTTCAGTATTTCAAATTATAATGGTCAATGCAATGTCATGTGTCAGTGTCACCTCCCATGGTCCTATAGATCCTGGAGAGTTCTGGTGCTAGGCTAGCAGCCTCTCAGGAGGCTTCTGGCCCCACAAGGACAGGTGACACCCACCAATGCCCTGAAAGTGGCCAGGGGTACAGAGTGCAGGATTTCTACCTTCCCTTTGTCATGTAACAGTTAACGCTGAGTTTTCTTTGCCTTTCTAGGGTATCACTGGTCCTTCTGGCCCAATTGGCCCCCCGGGACCCCCTGGCTTACCGGTGTGTATCTGGCAGGGGAAGTGATTCCCTTGATTGTTCCTGAGGGAGACAGAGAGCCAGGGAGGCTGAGGGTGGTTGCAGGAGGATAGGTCCTGGTCTCAGTGTGTGGTAAAGAGTCATGGGAGACAGGCAGGGTTGGGCTCCCAGGGTTGATTTGCTCATTAACCCAAAGTTGGGGTTCTGTGTGACGACAGCAAGAATGGAGTTGCGGGGCCCTAGTTTAGGGTGGATATGAAGAAGGGAGCCTCTGTCTCTGGGCTATCTAGGAAAAACATAAACTTTAATCATCCTTAAGGATTTTGAGAAGGCCAGGGAGAGTGGGAATGCTCCAGTCAACAGGGAGGTGGCACCTTCTGTACTGGGTAGCCTGCCCCAGGCAGGAGAAGCAGGGAGACCCAGTGTCTAGGTACCCTAACCTGGGCCCCTTAACATTACTGTGAAACCCAGGGCTTCCCATATACATGCTGCAAAACCCAGGACTCAAAACTCCTATAGCATTTATCCTCCACTTGCCCAGCCCAGCTAGCCTCTGTGTCTTTCCAGGGGCTGGGCCTTGAGTCACTGCCCAAGTGCCCCCCAGGCATCTCCCTGCTCTGTCCTCCCTCAGAGAGGGTGTGTCTGTCTGGGCCCTGAGGCCAGGATGCCACCTTTCCCCACTCACTCAGTTCTGCCAGCTGGGGACTGGGGTGGTTGGCCTGGGCCAGTGGTCCCTGCCTGTAGGGTGAGCCCCAGCATGTCTGGCCATCCCTGCCTCCCAGTCCAGCACGTGTGTGGAGTTCTGCAGGGAGAGGCTGGCATATGGAGGTTGGAGAGGCCTGGGTAGGACCGTGGTTGGGCACATGCCCCGGATGAGGGCACTGTCAGCTACTAATTTCTCTGCCTTCCACCCTTGCAGGGTCCTCCTGGTCCAAAAGGCGCCAAGGGCTCCTCGGTAAGTGGCTGTGTCTTGGACCCCATGCTGCCTGAGGGGTTGTGGAGGGGAGGGTGTGTTCTGTGGGTAGAGACCATCTGTGTACCCTATGGTCCATCCCTCAGGCTCTGTCCTTTTCTAGACTTTCCGAGCACAGGTCCACACAGCCAGCTCACATGCCCAGGAGTATGGGCTGTCCACCCCACCTTAGGAAAACAGACTGTCCCCAAAGTACCATCCCAGGGGCCTTCATGAAGGCCCACAGGGTCCCCCTGCACTCAGACCTATTGTTCTGCCCTCCCTCATGCTGTGTCACCTCTCCACAAAGGTTCCCAAGGCCATTCTAGAGCTCAAGGGGAATTTGTTCTTTCTTCTTTCCTCCAGGGTCCCACTGGCCCAAAGGGTGAGGCAGGCCAGCCAGGGCCTCCTGGCTTGCCGGTAAGTGGCCACTGAGCCCTGGGGAGGGATTGGGGGTTCGTGGGAGTTCTATGGCAGCTTCTGCTCATGCAGTGTCTATTAGAGGCTTGTATGGGGTGGTCCTGCCTGAGACAGCACAGCAGAAGTCACACAAGACCCTGCCACAGAGCCTAAGGAGAGAGAGTGTGAGTGTGAGTGTGTGAGTGTGTGTGTGAGAGTGTCAGTTCATCTGAGGTATAGGACGAGGCTCAGTTGTACACCAGGATGTAGCAATCATGATACAGGAACAGTCCTACCAGCCACCTTTGGCTGTGACTCTCTCCACCCCCATCTTCATTCTTGGGGGGGGTCCTCCTGCACAGCCTGAATGGCTTGTGCACCAATAGGCATTAACAAGTCTCCACTGTGTGTTCAGGGCACAGCTTTCAGTCCCACTGGGGATGGGACAGGAAACACTGTGTAGGGCTGTGAGTGGGCTGTGGTGGCTCCGGAGGGTCAGTCATCGCAGAGGGGCAGGGCAGGCCTGTGAAGCTGGAGTTACTGGCCCCAAAGGTCACAGGGAGCTGGTGGTGGGGCTGGACAGGTGCATATGAAGACAAAAAGAGGGAAAAAAAGGTGCTGGGAGGGACAGGTGCCATGTAGGTGGGACATGATATGGAAGGCCCCTGTGGGAACCCTGCTGCCTTGGCTCTGCACCTTCCCTAGGACCATCCAGTCCTCTTCACCTACCAAATCTTCTCCTACCCCAGGGCCCCCCAGGCGAAGTCATCCAGCCCCTGCCGATCCAGGCATCCAGGACTCGGCGGAACATTGATGCCAGCCAGCTGATGGATGAGGGGAATGGTGAGAACTACATGGATTATGCCGATGGCATGGAGGAAATCTTCGGCTCACTCAACTCCCTGAAGCTAGAGATCGAGCAGATGAAGCGGCCACTGGGCACTCAGCAGAACCCCGCCCGCACCTGCAAGGACCTGCAGCTCTGCCACCCTGACTTCCCCGACGGTAGGGGTGGAGTCTGGTAGGGGTGGGGCCTGGTGGAGACAGGGCCTGAGTATGTAGAGTGGGGACTGGTAGGGGTGGGGCATGGGTACATGGATCAGGACCTGGGTGCATGGAGCAGAACCTGGTAGGAGAGGGACCTAGGTGTGTGGTGTGTGGCCTGGGTGTGTAGGGTGAGACTTGGTAGAGACACGACCTGGGTGTTTGAGGTAGGGTCTGGTGGAGGAGGGGCCTGAATGCATGGTGTGGAGCCTGTGTACATAGTACTTAGGGCAATGCTTGGGTGCATGGGCTGTGCCTGGATAGTAGGTGCAGGATCAGGATGGTAGGGGTGGGGCCTAGGTATATGGGGCAAGGCCTGCATGGGAGCCAGGGCCTTGCAGGTTAGGAAAGGGCCTGAGTGCATGGGCAGAACCTGACAGGTGGGGACAAGGCCTGGATGTGGGGCAGCTCTGGTGGATGTAGTGAGGGTTTACCAGGCCCACAGGACAAGTGGAGTGTGGCATGGACAGTACAGCTGAGTCGGAGTGGGAGAACACAGAACTTGGAGTTGAATAGATCTCGGCAGTCTCTTGGCCTCTCTCGGCCTCAGCTTCCCCATCTGTGGAGTGGGGATGGAGAAGGGCCTCACCCTTCTTCACCTTATGGGGTCATCACACAGTGAGATGACATGGTCCTTAGGAGTCAGGCATTAGGAGGAGATCGAGGCTTGCAGCTGGACAGACCTGGGTTCTTGTCCTATCAGAGCCATTTTCAGTAGGGTGACCTGCTTCACCCTGAGCCCCTTGATCCTGACCTATAAATTGGGAATAAAATATCCATCTATTAGAGGACACTGTCTAATGAGATGTGCAACAAATGCTTTGAGCAGTCATAGCCAGCCCTGATGTGAGTGCTACTGTTATAATCAGCATTAGTATGATGGTTGCTATTTGTGTCACCACTAGTATAACTAGGGGTCCCTGGGTGGCACAGTTCAATGCTTGCCTACTAGCCAAAAGGCTGGTGGTTTGAGCCCACCCAGAGGCACCTTGGAAGACAGGCCTAATGATCTGCTTCCAAAAGGCCAGAGCCTTAAAAACACAGTTCTACTCTGCACATGAGTCAAAATCCAATTGATGGCGACTAACAACAATAAATCTGTATTATTTTACTATCAAGATCAATATTAATATCAGTATAGTATTAGACTTAGTATTGCCGTTAGGATCAGGATCAGTATGGTATTAGATGCTGTACTTGGGAAAACAAACATTGGGGTATCATGGGATGTAAATCATCCTCATTCTTACCATCTTTAAATCAAGACTGCCCACCTGTTGAAATATAAAATTATACTCGTTTCCCTTTTCTCCCATGGGAAGCAGGAAAGTTTCTTCATTTTCCTGCAAGATTTGTAGGGCTCTCTATGCTTGCAGGAGACTTTGCTTCAAGGGCATGAGTTTTCAAAGTTCCCTCCAGAACGTTTTCTGAATTTCTATCCACCCATCAAGTGGGCAGTGCCCCGCCTAGCCCTGCTTACCAGAACATGTGTTGATGTACTTCTTGGCCAGCTGTTCTTGGGGAATGGGTCTATCCAAAATTCTTTGTGGACCCAGCAGGAAATGAGAAACAGTCAGCAAGCCCCAGGAAGGCTGTGGTGGCAGCACTTCAGCTCAGCCTCATTTTCTGACTGCTGGCTGACACCTGGCAATGCTCTGGCTTCATCCGGCAAACAGCTCTCACATGCTTCCTGCCTCTGTATCTCTCTACCAGGTGAATACTGGGTGGACCCCAACCAAGGGTGCTCCAGGGACTCATTCAAAGTCTACTGTAACTTCACAGCTGGCGGGGCTACATGTGTCTTCCCAGACAAGAAGTCCGAAGGGGTAAGTGCCTGGTCTCAGCCCCTCCACAATGAGGGTTTCACGGGTGTTGCACATATGCAGCTTTAGAATGAAAGTCAGTGGCTGGTCTGTTTCTGGAGGAAACAGACTCCTAAAAGCAGACTGTTGTAAGAAGATATTTTAACAACAGCAGGGTGTCATGGACCTGGGGTTCTGGGAAACTGGACAGGTTGGCGCTCTCACTGCGGGGCTATCTGCTGGCTGCCCCCTGCTCCTGCCCTGTGCTCCAAGTGGAACTGGCAGTCCATAAAGTCCTCTAAGAGCCTCTGGGGTTGTTCTGGCCGGAGGCCAGTCTAGCACCCTCTGCAGGATTATGGCGAAGTGTAAGTCCATCAGAAGACAACTTCTACAGACTACAACTTTGCCTGCTTTTGAGTGAGCTTGTTTCTGTGACATTTGCTTCTATCTCCTCCAAGCACAATGTGTTGTCATGAAGCATATTTAGGAGCCCTGGTGGCACAACTGTTAAGCACTCAGCTGCTAAACTAGTGGTTGGCAGTTCAAACCCACCAGCAGCTCTGCAGGAGAAAGACCTGGCAATCCGCTCCCATAAAGATTCAGCCCAGGACACACTGTGGGGCTGTTCTACTCTGTCACATGGGTCACTGTGAGTCAGAATTGATTCAACAGCACCCAACAAGTCTATAGTAACAACTGTGCTTAGCGAGACCTGACTCACTGAAACTCTGCAGTATCACTTCAACAGTCACCTCCGTGGCCTTTTGAGGGGATCACCTGTGGTGCAAGAGCGCGTATGCAAACAGGTGTGTCACAGGGGGTATGGCACAAATACATGTGTGTGCATAAAGTTGTGTGCATAGGTGTATGTAAATGGTTGTGTGGTGTGCATGTGTGTGGACAGGTGTGTGCATGGGTGCATGTGAGCAGTGGTGTGCTGTGGGGGAAGATGTGTGCATGGGTGTGTGTAAGTGGTTGTGTGGTATGCATGTATGGGCAGGTGCATGGATATATAATGAGTGGTTGTGGTATATGTACATATGGACAAGTGTGTGCATTAGTGTATGTGAGCAGTAGTGTGGTGGGTATGTGTGAGTGGTGTGTGGTAAGAGTGAGGGGAGGTGTGTGCATGGGTATGTGTGGTATATGGGGGTAGATGTGTGCATGGGGGTGTGTGAGCATTTGTGTGGTATGTGTGGGTATAGGCATGTGCATGGGGGGGAGTGGTTGTGTGTGGATGTGTGTGAGAGGGTGTGTGTCTGCTTACATGAACACCTAGCCCAAAAGCTCCTGCATGGCCTGATGCCAGCCTCATCTGGCTGGCCCTCCAATGCAGAGCAGAGACACCGTCCAGGGCATGTGCAAGGCTCATCTCTCTCCACACTGGAGACAGCACCATGGAGAGGGCAGCTGAGCCTCTAGCCACAAGACCCCATCTCTCACAGAATTACATTTCTCAGGCTGAGAGGGTCTAAAAACCAGGGACATTGCAGGACATGGAGGGCTTCCTTAGGACCATGAGGGCAGTGTGGCATGTATGGTGATGAGAACCGTTTCTCTGAGTGTAGGGGTCAGGAACCAGGGCCTGGCGAGTGCTGCTCATCTCCTACAGTTGTAAGGCAGATCTGGTGACAGAACTTGCCTCAAAGGAAAACTTAGCCTGGTATCTGGCATGCTTTATTCATTCTAGAATTTGGAATATTGACACAACTCTGAGTTGGATAGCTAAGGGACAGATGTTGCTGGATGGGTCTCCCAGCTGTCCTTCCTCACATCTCTCAAGCACATGGCTGAGGCTGGAGCCCCCTTGGCCCAGACAGGCGAGAAGGGTGGGTCTTGTCCTGTTGGTCAAGATCCTGTCACTGACTGGGAAGATGACGCAGACATCAGCTGTGGGACTGGCCGTGTCCAGCCTCAATAGACACTCCTGGGAACATCCCTCAAAGATGGCCAGTCATCACATAACCTGAGACAAAGTGTCCACCTTCTGGAGGCTGCAGTCAGAATGGGCAAATGTCCATTCCCTCCTAAACAGCTGACAGATGCTGCTTCATGAGAGAGAGCAGCTAAGTTCTCCTCAGGGGCCTCTTCCCACCACTCCCTAAATCATGCCATAGGTGCAGCATGCTCCAGCACTCGGGGTCTGGAGGCCTTTGCAGAATCTGACTGGGAATATGTGTGGGCCAACATCATACCCTCCACAATTCAAGATTTCAGGTCCCCAAGGACCTTGTTCCTAAACAGAGTTGCTGTGGCTGGAAGAGGCCAATGAAAGCCTAGAGACCCTCCATCTTGGTTCCTGTTTTTTTGGCCCAAGAGCCAAAATGGAGTTCACATAGAAAAGATGGCTTTTGTCACTAGCCTTATGGCTGGAGAAGGAGTACTTTGGGCCCCACAGCATGGAGGCCTCCCAGGTGCCAGGACAGCTGCATGGCTTGATCTCCTCTTCACGCATGCCAACCAGCCAGTACCTCCAGGGTCATGCTGGGTGCAGTGTTCCTCAGATGGCTGCCTCATTTCAGGGCAGCAGAAGTGGTCAAGCACTTGCTTAAAGCTTGCCAGCATCACTGAGCCCCTCCATGGTCCTCTTCCCAGAAGACTTGCCTCTATGGGACCCAAGCTTGGCTCCGACAGTGGGCAGGTTTGGAGACAAAGTGAAAGGGATTGAAAATTTCTGGATGGACTGGAGGCAAACTTGCCACCCCTTGTTCTCCAGTGCATCCTCTTTGATGGCTTAAGGTCAGCTTGAAGGAGGAGGCTTGGGGGCATGGGGACAAGGATTCAGACTCTGCACCCATTGAGAATGACTCAGGTTGGGATCTGGCGGAGATCCCAAGGGACCAGCGTTAGTGAAGATGGGGTCAGTGGCCCTATGGTCCCTTTCAGTCCTCTCCAGGGTCTCTGCCCCTGCCCAGATGCATCCACGAGCAGCCAGCAATGGAGACTTCTTCCTAGAGGAAGGAGCCACCCATCTGCCCTTTCACTCACTCACCTACCCAGCCACCCAGTCACCTACCCACTCACTCACGCACCCATCCACCCACTCACTCACCTGCTCACCTACCCACTCACTTACCCTCCCACCCACCCATTCACTCTCCCACTCACCCACCCACTCACTCATTTGTCCATTCATCCATTCCACAGCATTTCTGTGCTGGGCTGTCCAGAATCCTGTGGGCTTGGCCACTGCAGAAGCCAGACCCCACACAAGAAGAGGTCCTCCGAGGGTCAGAGCCAGTGTTCCTGCTGAAGTGGTGTCTGCCTCGTGTGAATGCTTTTCAGTGACTTGTTGTCACCGTCAACATAGACCATTTGTGACTTGCCCACCAGTCCCTGGTTCTCAGTCCCAAAGAGAACAACCCACCACCACACATACTCTCTCATACTTACACATGCTTTCGCTCACACACAATTATTGTCACTCTCACACACACACATAATCACATATGCGTATACTCACACACACATTCACTCTCACACACTCACACACATATATACACTCATTCAACACTCATACACTCACACACACACTCATACACACTCAACACTCATACACAATCATAACATGTTCATACACTCACACTCTATCATTCACACACACTCACTCTCACATTCTCTCATGCACTCATACACTCAACACTCATACACTGTCACACTAATACACACTCACTCATTTCCACACACACTTATATACATATATATATATACACTCATCCAACACAGTGTACTAACACTCACTCTCACTCTTTTACACATACTCATACACCCATATACACTCATGTATATATACTCACTCTCACACTCACATACACTCGTGTGTACACTCAACACAATGCACTAACATACATCATTTACTCACATGTACACTGTCACACATCACACACTCATATACTCATACTTACATCACACAGCCTCACTCTCACTCATACACATTCTCACATACACCCACTCATGCATTCAGAGAGTTAGTCTGCCATATCTGTAGCAGCCCAGGAGGCCCTGGCAGCATCCCTGCCCACTGCAGTCCCTGATGGAGGTCATGGAGAGGAGCCACACCCCACAGGTCATTAGGATCCAACAGAATGCTGGCACATCCCCTCGCCTAGCCATCACTGTTGGCTCTTGCTATCGTTATCATCTTTATTGTGGTTTCTGAGAGTCCATTCATTCATGTTTTCATTAACTGATCCACTCCACAGTGTTTCTGAATATTTATTCAGTGGCAAGCACTGTTGCAGACACTAGATTTGCACAAGTCAATAGGATAGGGGTAAGCTATGGAAACTGATAGGATACAGAAAGCCTGGCTCCTCCAACTCACTGCAGTCTTGGTCCTGGAGGCCCTGGCCTTCACAGGTAGAGATGCTGCATCTAAGCCCATCTGTCAGCATCCTCTCCCAATGGGGGAGGCAGACAGGACCTAGGAGAACCGTGTGTGCAGAAGACAGGAGGATTAACCCTTTTGTTTTCTGTTTCTCTCTCTCTCTCTCTCTCTGCCTACTCTCTTGATATTTAGGCCAGAATCACTTCTTGGCCCAAAGAAAACCCGGGTTCCTGGTTCAGTGAATTCAAGCGTGGTAAACTGGTAAGACACCTCACCCTTCTTGGCGGTTGTCGCTTTAAACCCGCCCATCTCCTATCTTGCAGAGTAAAATGGCCCGCTGGCCCAAAGAGCGGCCCTCCACCTGGTATAGTCAGTACAAGCGCGGGTCCCTGGTAAGTGGCCACCGGGCACTGCCTGCTTGCAGCTCAGCCTGGCTCAGCTCTGCATGGCACTCATCGCCATGTGCCGCACCCACTCTTGCCCTTCCTTCACGCCAGCCTGATGACAGCAGGACTTGGACAGTCCTTTCCTCTCACCCATCCCTATGGCCCCCATGAGAGTTATTTTCACCCAAGAGTAGGTCGACAGTTTTCTGTGTAGATGTAGGATGTAGGGCTGGCATCTTGGGAGTCCAGAGCCCTAGCTGGGGGTAGAAACCACACCACAGTATGTTGGCCACCCAGGAACGAAGATCAGAAGCCAGGAGTGGGAGGGCCTTGTTGTGCCAAGCCCCAGTGGGTGGTGGGCCAGCTGGGTCTTTAGGATCCTTTCTGGCCATTGCTCCTGGCCTACATCTGGCCACACTCCTGCATGTAAACTCCAGGTCCAATGTTCATGGAGCCAGTCCTATCCTAATCCATCTCAAAATGAAGAGACACTGGCATCCCTTGGAAGACCCACGTAGGATGCAAATGGCCTATGTTTGGCCAGCATCAGGATCCAGGGCACTAAAGCTTATTTGGGGCTATATATAGGAAGCCAGTGGCTACTTCTGCACCATTGAGCATTCTTCCCCGACACCTCCAGAGTTTGATCTAGTTCCTTCCTTGATTGAGCATGAAGTTCCATGCTCCCCTTCCAGCCATGTCAGGGCAGAGCTTCAGGAATACAGACGGGCTTCATGTGCCCCTGAGATGCCCTACTTTCTGCCTTATATTTACTTTCCCTTCTAGTCTACCTGCCACTAAGGGCCCTAGAAGGTGGCTCTTTCTCACTCAGAAGTTGGTGCCTGGCACTGTGACCCCTGAACCCACACAGTCCTTGATCTAGTGCTCACCTGGCCCAGCTCCAGCCTCCCTGCATGTGCAGAGCCATGTCTCCAACATGACTCAGGCACTGTGCTTCACCCCAGAACTCCAAGTAGCCCCTAGCCAGCCTATGTCTTTGTATAGCTCTGACACCCCTGTCCCCTAACCCGAGGCACCTTGTGGCTGACAAGAATGTCCTTTGTCCTCGGCACAGACTGCTGGTCACAGCAGCTCCATCCCAGTCCTGTGAGGGCTGTGCTCACCTGGCCACGTCTCGGATGCTTCTTTATTATTTTCCACTGTGGACTTCAGACTCCCTATTCTTTTCCTCCTGCTGGCTTCCCCTTCTCCACCTTATTGTGCTGTCTTCAGAAAAGAGCCCCTGGACACAGAAGGACCTGAAGTGGACCCTCAGGAAAGAGAGCCCGAGTATGATGGTTAGGTGGGGGAAGGAACCACAGAGAAGAGGAGAGCTTCCTATTGCAGGCAGGTGGCAGGCTCCTCTCTGCCGTCCTTGTGGCTACTGCCGCAAGGAGTCCCTGAGTGGTGTAAACAGTTAACATGCTCAGCTGCTAACTGAAAGGTTGGTGGTTCAAATCCACCCACAGGAAGCTTGGAAGAAAGGCCTAGTGGCCAACTTCTGAAAAATTAACCATTGGGAACATCAGGAAGCACAGTTTTACTCTGTCACCACAAGTTAGGGTTGACTCGATAGCAACTGTTTTTGTGTGTGTTTGTGGTTACCGCTGGCACTTGGCCCTGCCTTCTCCCCTGTGGAGAGAGCAAACTTACACCTTAAACCCACTTTTACTCATCTGGGAAGATGGTTATGGAACTCTTTTCTACCAGCAGCCCCCAAGGTCTGCCTCTTGCTTTGGGCCTGTTGTATATAGCAGTTGGCAGAGGAGGGAGGTGAAGGGATGGTTCAGGGACATGTCAACTTATCTGTGGCCTTGTCTACTCACTCATGGCCCTGGTTCTCCATGATATTCATGAAGGGGGGAGGAGGTGGAGGAAGGTTCCAGCTATGGCCCAGACATGACCCATCGGGACGACACTGCAGAGCCCCCTTCAGGTCCCACGGGGCCTAGATGCTTTGCCAGCCTTCAACTCCAGGTCCTTCTGTGTCCTGCACCCACTGGCCTTTCTGTGCATGTCCCCCTGAGTCAGTCACTTCCCCTCCGGAGGAGCGCCTAGCAGGACCTGGATTCCGGTTGGTACTCAATTTTTCTTCTCCAGGTCTGACATAAGTGGAGTCTGCAGGTAGCTTTGGGAAGGGCTGTATCCTCACTGCCCTGTGGGAAGGGGCATGGCCCCAGGCTTGGCTCTGTGACCCTTAGCACTCTCTGATTATATGGAAAATGGGGTGTCAGATGTATCCATCCCCTTCCTGCTCCCCACTATACCCCAGTGCTGCCCATGGATGGGGCATGAGGCCTCCTTCTCTTCCTTGACCCCTGGAACCAATCCCCACTTGATGGATTCCACACCCCTATCTGTCCATCCATTCATCCATCCCCTGGAGGAAAGTCAAGCCCACTTCCTGCTCTGGCATCCTGACCCAGTGGTCCATGGGGTGAGGAGACCCTGTTTCAAGGGTGGCAGGCCAGTCTTAAGTCAGTGGATGGTTCTCTGCTCATTCAACAAACGCAGACTGGGGCCCCTGCCCTCCAGGAACCCTGGCTCAGCGGGGGTGTGCCCACCACTTAGCAGTGGGCAAAAGGTTAATGGGACACTAGAGACTGACAGTACATTCTGGGGGCAGAGGGAGGAGGTCTGTAGTATCTGTGAAGGAAGGGTGACCATATGGATGCCCAGAGATGGGCACTGGAGAAAGAGCTTCTGAACCTCTGCCTGGGAGGAAGCAATTCATCCATACAGCCAGTCTTCATCAGCTCCTGCTGAGGCTGCCCCAGTGTTGGGCACTATGGTCCAGTGGTGGGCAGAGTAAGAAGACAGTACTTTGATGAGCCCAGGTGGTGCAGGTGGACACTGTGGGCCAAAGGTCAGCTGTAAGAGCACCTGACCCAGGTGGAGTGGGATCAGAGTAGGCTTCTTTGAGGAGGTGGCACATCTGCTGAGACCTAGAGAATGAACTAGCCAGGCAAAGGAGTGGGTGGATTTAAATTTCTGAAAGAACTGGGCTACGGTTCACTTAGTTTCTAAGAGCTGCAGACTAGGGCGGCAGCAATGCTGTGTTGCCAGGCCATTGTGTATGTGGGTTTTGTTGCCAAGTGGGTACATCCTTCTCTGCTGAGCCCCACCCATCCCCTTGCAGCTCTCCTATGTGGATGCCGAAGGCAACCCTGTGGGTGTGGTGCAGATGACCTTCCTGCGGCTGCTCAGTGCCTCCGCCCACCAAAATGTCACCTACAACTGCTACCAGTCAGTCGCCTGGCAGGATGCCACCACGGGAAGCTACGACAAAGCCATCCGTTTCCTGGGCTCCAATGATGAGGAGATGTCTTATGACAACAGCCCCTACATCCGTGCCCTGGTAGATGGCTGTGCGGTGAGTGTGCATGGGACAAGTCTGCCACTAGGGACCCTGGGAGGACTCCATCTGTGTGTGCTCCTTGTCAGTCATGCATCCACTCAACATTTATTGACTGAGCACCTAGTGTGTGCTGGGCTCTGAGCTCCACCCTGGGGGTACAGTGAGGGCCCTCAAGGAGGCTTCTGCCCCAGAGTATGGTCAGAGTGTAGCTGACTCTGGCAGCCTGGTGAGAGCAGAGACATGAGATCCGTGCACTCAGCCAGAGTTCAGGAACCTTTCCTAGTGTCAGGGTCAGGAAAGGAAATGGGAGCCAGTAGAGGCCTGGTGACCTGGGTCCCTACCCTGTGCCTGCGTGGGGCATGAAATTAAAGACACATTGGTCCATTTCAGAATGTGTGGGTTCCCTGTCCTGTGGGTTGATATGGGAATGACCAGAGCTAAGGTTGGAGATGTTTCTGGGAACGTGGTGTCACTGTTAGTTGCCATTGGCTCCAACTCATGGTGACCTCACATGTAACAGAGCAAAACACTGCCCAGTCCTCCTCCTTTTTGATCATTGTTATTCCATCTTAAAGAAGAAAAATCATCTCACTCTTTTGCCTGAATCCCTATAGCAATTATTTCTAGCTGCACGGTTATCCTTTGAGCATCTCTTGTCATAGTAGCAAGATAAGGGGTCCCTGGAATACCCAGTTAGACTTAAGGTCAAGAGAAGGACTGGTAGCCCTCGCTTCATGACATTTTTATTCCAGAAGGAAAAGATGCCAACCTTGAAGAGGTGGGAGGACGACCACTGAGGGAAGGAACAGACTCTGCCAGCAGCCAGGCAGGGGGGCCAGAAAAGGCTGAGTGTGGGTACCACATGGAGGCTAGGAGATGGGGTGTTATGGGGAGTGGCTGGCAGTAAGTCAGCCAGGTGTGGGGCAGCTCCACTTACCCTAAACCCTGGCAAGTCCAGCCACCAATTTTGAAAAGCCACTGTCCTCCCATTTAATGGTGGAGGCCAGTGCCTGGGGCATACTGGAGGGGGCTGGTTGGCTGTGACTCAGAGGCCAACTTGATTCATGTTGAAATAATAGCCAAAAAACGTGGGACGTGTGGGCATAGCACCCCTGGCTGATGGACGGTGCAGAGCAGGGCCTGGCCCATAGAGAGGCACAAATCTCTAGGCAAGAAGGCCTGAAACCCATGCCCCATAAATCCTGGTGTTTGTGCAGCTTTATGAGCCCCTGGGGGCGGTTGCGCCCCATAATGGTTATTTATGCCTCTGGAATAGTGGCAGGGGCACTGCCTGTATGTGCTGCCTGGCTTTAGATACGTTGTTCGGAATGCTCTGATATTCAGAGCAGCGGACCCAATGAATCTAGGAGCCACCCTGCAGCCCAGCAAATGTCACTGTCCCGGGGTGGGGAAGGGAGATGAGGGCTGTACACTAAGCCGTTTACCCATCTCCCTCTGGGCAAAGAGGGTATCTTAGTTATGTGGTAACAGAAATACCACAAGTGGATGGCTTTAATAAACAGAGATTCATTTTCTCACAGTTTAGGAAGGTAGAAGTTCAAGTTAGGGTGCCAGTTAGGGGAAGGCTTTCTTTCTCTGTCAGCTCTGGGGAAGGTCCTTGTCTTCTTTCACCATCTGTGGGCCTAGTATTCCTTGGAGATCTACATGAATCTTGGCATCAGTCTTCCCCTAGGTCTAGGAGGTTCTCAGCACAGGGATCACTGGTCCAAAGGATGCACTTCACTCCTGGGTCTTCTATCTCAATGGTAGGAGGTCCCTTTGATCTCTGCTTGCTTGTTTAATCTATTTTATTTCTCAAAAGAGATTGACTCTTGATAAAAACCAATCCTATAGATTATGTCTTGCTTCATTAACATAACTGCCTCCAATCTTGCCTCATTAGTCCTTAATATCATACACAAGTGAAATTTTGCTGAAAATAATTTAAAAATGGTTGCAGCAGTATATAGTCAGGAAGTACCAGAAATCCAAGCCAGATTCAGAAGAGGGTGTGGTATGAGGGACGTAATTGCTGATATCTATCTGATGGATTTGGCTGAAAGCAGAGAATACCAGAAAGATGTTTACCTATGGTTATTGATTATAAAATGGCAGTTGACTGTGTGGATCATAACCAATTATGGGTAACATTGGGAAGAATGTAATTATAGAACACTTACTTGTGCTCGTGAAGAACCTACCTGTACATAGACTAAGAGACAGTCATTTGAACAGAACAAGGGGGTACTGCATGGTTTACTATCAAGAAAGGTATGCATCAGTGTTGAATTCTTTCACCATATTTGTTCCATCTGTATGCTAAGCAAATAATCAGAGAACCTGGACTATATGAAGAAGAGTGCAGCATCAGGATTGGAGGAAGACTCATTAACAAGCTGCAATATGCAGATGACACAATCTTGTTTGCTGAAAGTGAAGATGCCTGGAAGCACTTACTGATGAAGATCAAAGATTATAGCCTTTAATATGAATTACACCTCAACATAACAACAAAAAAGTCCTCACAACTGAACCAATAAGTAACATCATGATGAATGGAGAAAAGATTGAAATTGTTGGGGATTTCATTTTACTTGGATCCGTAATCAATGCCCATAGCAGCAGCAGATAAGAAATCAAATAGTGTATGGCACTGGGCAAATCTACTGCAAAAGACATCTTTAAAGTGTTAAAGAGCAAAAAGTTCTTTTTGAAGACTAAGTTGCGCCTGCCCTAAGCCATGGTGTTTTCAGTAGCCTCATTTACACGTGAAAGCTAGACAATGAATAAGGAAGGTCACAGAAGAATTGATGCATTTGATTGTGTGGCTTTGGCAAAGAATACTAAAAATACCTGGACCACCAGAAGAACAAATCTTTCTGTGAAGATGAACAGTCAGAATGCTCCTTAGAAGCAAGAATGGTCGGACTTCATCTCTTAGAGTTTACTTATGTTATCAGGAGGAACCAATCACTGAACAAGGACATCATGCTTGGTAAAATAGAGGATCAGTGAAAAAGAGGAAGACCTTCAATGAGATGAATTGGTATAATGGCTGCAACAGTGGGCTCAGGCATAGCAAGTATTGTGAGGATGACACAGGAGTGGACATTGTTTCATTCTGTTGTACACGGGGTCCCTGTGAGTAGGAACCAACTCTATGGCACCTGTCTTAGTTCTCTAGTGCTGCTATAACAGAAATATCACAAGTGGGTGGCTATAACAAATTTATTCTCTTACAGTTTAGGTGGATAGAAGTGTGAATTCAAGACTGGGACCTCTGGTAGTGTAGTGCCTAAGGCACCTGACTGCTATCCAGAAGGCCGGCGGTTCAAACCCACCAGCCACTCCTCGGAAGGAAGATGGGGCAATCTACTTCCATAGTGATACTGCCTTGGAAACCCAAGGAGGGGTCGCTATGAGTCAGGTCCGACTCCATGGCACATAACAACAACAACAACAACAAAAGACTAGGCTAGAAGTCCGAGTTCAGAGCGCAGGCTTTAAGGGAAAATTTTCTCTCTCTGGATTCTGGGTGGAGGCCCCTTGACCTTGGGCTTCAGCTCTGCCTTCCAGGCACAGCAAAGTGGAGGCTTCTCCTGACTCAAGCAGCTGGTGACTGCTGAGGCTGAGGAATCCAAGATTGGCAAGCAAAATGTCAGATTGTTGGCTCACAGACTGCAAAGGCAACAATCCCATGATTGGCAGGTGACGCATCAGGTCACTGGTTCAACTCCAGGAACTGGAGATTATGATGGGCCAAATGCAGGATCCCAAAATAAGCAAAAAGGTAGAGACCTTTTCTGAAGCTTCTCCTACATACACCAATGCAGGCCATACCCTGAAGCAGGCCACACTCTGAAGGCAACTCCCCTTCACCTGATTAGCTGCTCATAGCAGATTCTACCATAGAGGTGATTACAACACATCCAATCTCATTATGGGGAATGACTACACCCAGATGCCAAGCAACTCAAAAGTGCAACCTAGCCAAGTAGACAACCTTAACTACTATAGCATTTAACAACAACAACAAATAATCCTACTTCATTAACATCATGGAAGTGAGGATTTACAACACATAGATAACTACATCAGGTCACAAAATGGAGAATAATTGCATAATACTGAGAATCATATCCTAGCCAAGTTGACATATATCTTGGGGGGGCACAATGCATAGCAGAGGGGTTGGTACTGCCCTGCCCAAGGGCCCCTGGCTTGGGGAGGCTTAGGCTGCTTGGCTCCCATGACAGCACTGCCCTTCCATTCACTGCCCTTCCAATGGAGGCCAGGACAGCAGCCTCACATCGTCCTCTGCACTGTGATGGGCTGCACCAAGGGAAGCAGGGGGTACCCAGAGGGATGGTGCTTCAGTGGACTGAGGTGGCCACTGGCTCCTCCTCGCTGGTTTGGTCAAGGAACGCTTGAGGAGGTAGCTGCCCCCCTGCCCACCTGTGCTTTCCCAACTGTACTCCATCCTTACCCCACAGCCGCCTGGAAGTAGAGACTTACGGCCTTCCTTTGCTGTCCTATGGGTTGGCTTAATGTCTCCAGGCCGCCTTAAGCAGGTCCTTCAAGGCTGTTTCTCAAAGGGTAGCCCACGAGCCCTGCATATCAGAGTCATCTGAGTTTCCAACCATCAGTGAGCAGATTCTGGCTCACTGATGGTATAGAAACTAGTAGAACCCCTGAGACTATGGCCCTTGGTCACCCTTCAGACCTGGAACTGAACTCACTCTGTTAGCTGAATTTTCAGTTAAGCAGTAAGCAGGTCTACAAGGTGGACAATAACTCTAGAAAGGCAGATGCTCCTTAGAACAGTCAACCATAGGAGATCCAAAGGGCAGAATTTGCCCAAGAACAAAGTTCAGAAGGCAGGAGGGAATAGGAGAGAAGGAATGGAAATGAGAAACAGGGAGGATGTGGGAGGAGTGATGTTACATTGAGGGGATTGCAGTCAATGACATGAAACAAAATGTGTGTGAATTGTTGAATGGAAAACTGATTTGCTCTGTAAACTTTCACCCAAGTCACAATAATAATAATAATAATAAAGGCAGATCCTGAATACCACCCTCAACTTGTTCAAGAAAAACCTCAGGGGTGAACTCTGCACTGTTTCCCTAGAGAATTCCTATTTGCCCTGAAGGAGATGAAGTTGAGGAGCCAGCAGTCATACAGGTGGCTCCTCAATGCTCTTACCTACAGGCTTTCCTCTGGTCAGAGAAGGTTTCACTTCATTCACACACCCACCTCTAGGAAGTCAGTATACCCATTTTACACTTGAGAAAACACTTTTACACTTTTACACTTGAGAAAACCATTTTACACTTGAGTCAAAGAGAAAGTGTTGTTGGGTGCCATTGAGTTGATTCCAAATCATAGTGACCCCACATGACAGTGTAGAACTGCCCCATAGGGTTTCCTTGGCTGTAATCTTTATGGGAGCAGATTGCCAGGCCTTTCTCCTATGGAACAGCTGCGTGAGTTCAAAGCACCAACCCTTTGGTTAGCAGCCACACACTTAATGATTTTGTCACCAGGACTCCTTTGAAAGGAATGTATTGGTTATCTATTGCTGTATAACAAAGCCAGTAAACCAGTTGCTGTCAAATTGACTCCAACTCATGATGACACCATATGTGTCAGATTAGAACCACTCTATAAGTAGATCACCAGGCCTTTCTTCTGAAGCACCTTTGGGTAGACTTGAACCACCAACCTTTCAGTTAGAGCCAAGTGTGTTAGCATTTTCACCACCCACCAAGTACCTGAGCATTTAGCAGCTCAAAATAACAAATACTATCTCAATGGATTTCTGTGGGTCAGGAGTCTGGGAGGTTGGCTGAAGGTTCTGGCCTAGAGCCTTAGGAGGTCACTAGTCCTGTCATCATCTGACTGGGATGAGAGTCTGTTTAAGATGGAGCCCTCACGTAGCATCTTCAGTTTCTCCCTATGTACTCCTCTCCATAGGTCTGCTCATGATGTTGCCTCTCCCAGGTCAAGTGATCTGAGAGTGAGGCGGGCACTCAAGGCAAATGCCACAGGTCTTTTATAACCTGATCTTGACAATGGCACTTCCCACCTTCCCAACAGCCCATACTGGGACAGTGTGGGCACCACAGCAAGGCATGGGTACCCTGGAGGCTGCCTAACCCAGAGCAGGAGTGACATTACAATGCTCACCTATATACTAGGTGCTTCTCATGACCATGCATGGTTCCAGGCCTTTACGAGGTCCTCTGCAGCAACCTGCACAGCCCCTAGGAGGGCAACTCTGCATCGATCCCACTCTACAAATGGAGATGGGCCGGAGAGGTTCAGCATCTGTACCGCAGCCATGTGGCTGGTCAGTTGCAAAGTCAGGACTGCATTGGGGTCTGTGGCCTCAGAGGCTGGGTGGCCTCCCTCCTTCTACTGGTCTTTCCTATGATGTGTTCAAAGTAAGCAAGCTGAAGTCCTTCCACCCTCACTTCTAAGGTGCATTCTGCTTGCATTTGTTCATTCTTCTGGCAATCCACAGTATATTCAAGTAGGAGATGTCCACACTGGCCTGGGGGTAGGCAGGATGGAGTGGGATTAGCTGCTCCTCTTAGCATAGGAGGCCTGGGAGAATGCTGTGGTAGCTCTTAGGCTCACCCCTACATCCTTCATTCCTGGGCCACGTAGAAGAGTTACAAAGTGTCCTTGGGATCATGTGTGGGAATTTGCCTCCTGCTTTCCCAAGGGGCTGGGGGGTAATGCATGTGTTCTGCAGCTCAGGTCACACCAGGGGCAGGAGTCAAGTGCACTGAGGTGGGAGGCTACCCTTATTTGGAGACACATGTGGTGCATTTGGTGACGGGTTAACCCAGCCTTCTGCTGCCCCTAACCAGTGTCTGTCTCTTCCTATCCCTAGACAAGGAAAGGCTATCAAAAGACTGTGCTGGAGCTCGACACCCCCAAAGTGGAGCAAGTACCCATCGTGGATATCATGTTCAATGACTTCGGTGAAGCGTCACAGAAATTTGGGTTTGAAGTAGGGCCAGCATGCTTCATGGGCTAGGAGCTGCCAAGTGCCCCAAATGAGCAACCTCATGACCTCAGTACGCTGCTTGTGAGCGTCCTGTGCGCAGTCCCATCCCGGACTGTGAAGGTTTCTCGTCCCCGCCCTGACTTCAGCCATGTCTCGGCACCTCAGTGCTGGACCCCAAACCAAGAGAGAACCAAGGCAAAGAGAAGAGTCGTGCCCCAAGGAGCCGGATCACATGACCTAGATGTGCCACAGCCTCGGGCCACGCTCGGCCCCCCCAAGTGCCTCCTTCTCCAGGCCCCCTTCTGCGTACACCCCACCCCACAGGGACAGAACACAGGCCATGCTTTCTGCCACCAAGCTCGACCGCTCATTTGCAGCAGATAGCTTGCGTAGGGTGGGGATGGGCCATAGTATTTGGATATTATTTTTTAAATTCAACTTGAAGAGGTTTATTTCCCTTGACCTTCAAAAAGTGTTCTGAGGAAAGCCTTGTAAAGGTCACCCCGCCGTGGCCAGAGCCTCCTATGGTCCATGTCATTCCACATGTGCCTTTCTGGTGGATTAAAGGTGCTTATGTTGTTGTGAGTTTTAAGTAAATATTTGTATTGTATTGTTATAAATGTGCCGTGTCCCTTACTTTCAGTCATGCATGTCAACCCAGCCACCATACCCCATCTCCCAGGAATATCGGGGACTGGGGTCAGGTCGTGGATTCTAATGAGCAGTGGGAAGTTCCCACCCCTACCCTGGCCAAGAACTTACAGTCAGTGGGAACTGGACCTAAGGCAGCAAGGATTCGGGCTGTCATTTACAGAGCAGGTGCCTACGCCCTTCTTACGCAGTGTTTGATTAGCTCTGGATTTTTTTTTTTTTTTTCAATGGAAAGGGGCTAAAAAGAACAACGTGTTTTATCCTCTGCCTTTCCTGTGTGCACTTCAATGAAAGCACAGGCTTGAGTTCATTTCGATTGCCTCCTGTCTCTACTTGTCTTCCTGCAGAGCCTGATAGGAGACTGTCCAGGGCAGGGAAACCACATTTCCTACAGATAATTATTAAGGGAAAATTGGTGCTGACTTTTACACTTCTCTTTGTGGTGCTATCTGTTTTAAGATCTCCTTGAAGGCAACACGGGGGGCACCTGGCCACCCCTCATTTCTCCCAGCTTTCTTTATCTCATTTCTTGCCTCCCCAGTCTGAGTTTTTGCCAAGGACTTTAAGGTACCTGCACATCACCGCCCACCCCTTAGGCACAGGGAGCCACACACTGAAGGCTGGTTACAATACTGGGCTATGCTGACTTGATTTAAATACACACACACACACATACACACATGAAACACAAAGACTTCCTGTGTTGTGTACAGTGCAATGAGAGCAGATTGTATTCAGTTGCCGAATGTTTGTGGTGCTAATTTCTGTGTTTGCTCCAAGAACTGAAATGAAACTGTCCGGTTGTCATGTGCTGTCTCAGATGCAGCCCCAGTGGACAGCAGAAGATGCAGTGAACTCTGAGGTGCTCTGAGGGGCTGCTGGTCACACCGTGTTCCCATGTGAGTGAGCAGCTTGGATTTCACCTGCAAAGGCTGTGGGCTCAGGTGCTGGCAGCTTCCAGCTTGGTGCTGGGAGACGCCCTCTGGACGCCATCCTGCTCCTTGGCATCAAGGAGAGGGGTGCCTGCTGTGGGCAGGAGGACCCCAGGGGCCAGCAAGGAAAGGCTACCCTTACTGTGAAAAGTCACCCTGGTGCAATACCCTTTCCTGCCAAGGTGGGGAGAGCAAGTCAGTCCTGACAAGCCCACACAGCCCCCAGGATTGAGCCGTGAGATAGGCCTGTATCAGGTGCTCTCTCCACCCACCGACATGGTACTGCTTAGGAACCCCAGCCAAGTAACCCAGAAGTAGCAAAATAACCTGAACACGAGTCCCCGAATTTCCCTAGGACACAAGTCTTGCTCTTGCCAAAGAAAAGCCTGGCTTGGAGGTCCTCAGATCCTGGGACCCCCTGCACCAGTGGTCTCACAGCCATCTCTTCAAAGGAAAAGCCATATGAGAAGGAGGCCTGTGCTGTCACGGTGCCCTGTGGAGCCCGTCTAGGTCATGTGATTCTGTTGTGATTTCTCATCCCGCCTGATTTGTCCTTTTATCCTGTCATCATCTTCCTCTGTCAGTCCCTCCAAAGTTGTTGTGATTTGTATTGAAGTTCAAATTGTGTCCCGTTCTCCCCAAACCCCTTTAGCTACGGTATATTGCAATAAAATTACTTCTTATATTTGCAGAAATTCTTTTGGTGTAATTTTATTTTTTTTCTCCTAATATATATAATTGGATGAATGTTGAAGAGACAAAGAAAACAAACAGAAAACCTATAGTGAAAACTCTAGGATATCAGCCCTTTCAAATAGAATGTCAAGTGCCACATTGTACATTCCCTAAAAACCCAATAGACATGTCATTGATTTTAACTGTAATGCCCAGGGCAAGGGTATTTTAAACTATTTTAAGCCTGTGTACCAAAGGAACAATTGTACTAGTGTTTTCAATAAATCAAGTTACTGTTTCCACCTTAAACAGATGTGATTGCGATGTCTTTACATGGATAATCTCTTCTAGAGGATCAGCACATGACTGGTCCCTATGAGGCAAAGGTTAAAAATGTCCCAAATGTCCAGTTTCTCCCAACAGCTGTAGCACTCCATCCTCCCTAACATCAACTCCTCCCCTCTTCAGTACTCTCCCTTCTGTCTTTGTGTTCCATAATGCAGAGAACCCACAGACCATCAAGGAAATGGCTCATGTGGTTTTGAAGGCTGGCTAGTTCCAAATTTGTGGGTCAGGTGTCAGTCTGGAGGCCTCTCAATTCAGGTGGTTGCAAGGGCTGACAGCCCAAATTGTCAGGTCAGATAGATGATAGGCTGCTGGCTCACAAGGCTGCAGAAGCTGGTGAATCTGGTTAGACAATGGGTAGCTCAAGTCCCAAGAGCCAGAGGTCAGATGATGACAAGACAGATGCAGGATCCAAAGCAAGAGAGAGAACTTTGCCAGAGCATTCATATGTATTGGATGCAGACCAGACTCTCAAGAAAACTCTCCTTACCTGAGCAAAACAGTACAAAGATAAAAAGGGTGGTGACTGAGGTAAGGGTAGTGACTTGAGTCACATCCTCTAGTAAGATGGTGACTCAAGATACATCCCATCCTTATCCTATCTCATTAACATGATGGATAACTCACTCCCAAATGGGAAAATGGAGGATAATTGCATCAGATCACAAAATGGGGACAATTACATCAGACCACAAAATACAGGATGAATAATACATCATTAAAAAAACTGCCAAACCATGTTTCTTTGCTATTCATAAGGTTTTCCCTGGCCAATTCTTTGAGAAGTGCCAATTACGTAATTACATTAACTGTTAAACCACTGAAACTCATGGGCAAGCCAAGTTGAGACATAATCTTAACCATCATAGATTCCATACACCTTCTTTGCATTAGCAGCAGCTATCTAATCCCCTTGGTGAGCCACAATACCTTATTTGCATAGTCCCACTCAACCATTATGTGGGAGTCACAAAGACTATGGCTAGAAAGACCATATTAACTAATTTACTGCACTGCAGTCTTCTTAAGTGTAACCAGGTGTGATACAGTTTCTAGAAATTAAAACCCCAACCCATTGCTGTCAAGTTAATTCCAACACTTTAGTAGGACAGAGGATAACTGCCCTATAGGATTTCCAAGGCTGTAATCTTTACAGAAGCAAAATGCCACATCTTTCTCCCCCAGAGCAGCTGTTGGGTTCAAACTGTGACCTTTCAGTTAGCAGCTGAACACTTTAACCACTGTATCACAAAGGCTCCTTTGTTGTTGTTATGTGCTGTGGAGTTGGACCCAACTCATAGCGACCCCTCTTTGAGTTTCCAAGGTGGTATCACTATGAAAGTGGATTGTTCAACCTTTCTTCCGAGGAGTGGCTGGTGGGTTTGAACGACCAGCCTTCTGGTTAGCAGTCGATGCCTTAGGCACTACACTACCAGAGCTCCCAAGCTCCTTTAAAAACTCTAAATAATGGCAATGGTCACAGAGAAGAGGGAAAGGGGGTGGTAGGTCATTGTCAGATGGCGCTCTCTCCTCAGAAGGAAAAAAGGAAAGAGGGCTCAGCTGAAGACACAGAGCTATTCCCTGTGGAAGGTGCTAGAATGGGGCCAGGCACTAACCCATAAGCCTTCCTGGGTGAGTTTCAACAAGTCTCAAGTGTCAAACCTTTTTGTCCTGGGCACTCAGCACTCTGGGGCAAGTGTCCCCCAAAGCTTTCTAGTGCTAGGTTCTGGGTGTGAAGCAGATTGGCCTTCCTGGGCCCTCATGCCTGAGTGGGTTGGGTTGGGTGGCTCCGTGGGGCTCATCCTGGCCGGTGACTATTGAGCAGACGTGTGGTCAGGTGTGGCTTCTCCAGACTTCTCCAGTGTCCACTGGCCCCATCCCACAGGTGCTGGCACCCTCAATGGCCCCTGAGCAAATCCCCAGCTAACCTTCGATAAACTCATTGCAGGAGAGAAACAAATTGTCTCCTGTATCTGGGGGTTGTTTATTCCTACAGCACAAGCTAGACTAGTAGTTCTCAAAGTATAGTCACTGGGCCTGCAGCAACAGCTTCACCTTGTTAGGGAAGCAAAGTCCTGGCCTTATCTTAGTCCTCCTGAATCAGACACTTTATGGGAGTGGTCCAGAAATCTGGGTTTTACCAAGGCCTTTAACAAGGCCTCATCCAAGGGATTCAGATGCTCATTCAAGTTTGAAAATCACTGATCTAGATGATCCAGGATTATATAGACATGGGTGCCTGAAGGTGGGGGCTACTTTCACAACCACCTCAAAATGAAGACAGGAAGCACTTCCCAGTACAGTGTCACCATGACCTGCCCACATGCAGTGCAGTATCCCCATGCTTTGAGCAGAGGAGCTGGAATCAGCATCTTTGACTGAGAGTGTTCTCTGCTATCATCCCATCTGTGCACCACCTGCAAGAGC